GTCCTCTATCCGAGATTACTTTATCATGGAGGCCAAATCTCTTGAATACGTTTTTGAGAAATAATTTGGCCACTCCTTCTGAGGTGATGTTTTTGTTACATGGTGAAATAATTACCCCCTTCATAAGCCCATGGTCTACCACGATCATGATAGAGTCGAAGCCTCCCGATAATGGCAGGTTGGTGATGAGGTCGACGGAAACCTGAGAAAAAGGGCGAGTGGCAGCGGAGGGGATGGGCCGCAAAGGCGGGGTGGTCGGATGTGTGTCAGCTTTCATCTGCTGGCACAACGCGCATCCGTCAACGTATTTGCGAATATAGGTTCCCATGGCGGGCCACCAAAAATCCCGCTTCACCAATTCTTCTGTTTTGAACCGGCCGGGGTGTCCTGCCGTGGGGTGATCATGGTGTTTGAATAACACATCATGCCGTTGGGCCATCGGTACGTAGGCCCTGTGCTTATAAAAGAGGACGCCATTGGTGCATGTCCAGTCGGAGAGGGCAGATTTCATTGGGGGAAGGCATATCCCATCCAATGCCTGTACGGCTTTCTGATATATGGGATCGTCGGCGGAGTTGCGCGCGATGCTATCCGATAGGTTGTTGTCGATCAATCGAACGAACATGGTATCAGGGAGGAGAATGCGATTCTCGTTATCGTCTTTTCCGAATGAGTGGTCTGGGCGTCGTGATAGGGCATCGGGGGCAGCCAGTTTAGTACCTGCAACGTGGTGCAACTCCAACTGAAAGTTTGATAAAATAAGCTGCCAACGCGCTTGTCTCCTAGTTAACTTCTGGGTGGAGCGGAAGTACAGGAGGTTCATATGATCCGTGAATACTATCACGACATGGGGGCTTGCTTCAAGGTAGTGGCGCCATTCCGAAAGTGCCCGGATGACCGCCAGTAATTCTCTATCAAAGATTTCATAGTTTCGTTCTGCGGGGTTGAGTGATTGAGACAAGTAACCGCAAGGATGGTACATCCCGTTTTCATCGGTTTGTAACAACACCGCCCCGGTTGCTGCAAGTGATGCATCAGTAGCAATTGCGAATTGTCGAGTTGGGTCAGGATTTCGTAGTACTGGTTGCGATAGAAAGGCGTTTTTGAGACGATCAAAGGCGTTTTGGCAATCGTTGGTCCATAAAAAGGGGTGGTCCTTTTTTGTGAGGTCAATGAGGGGTCGGGCGATATCGGAGTAATGAGCGATGAATGCTCGGTAGAAATTACAAAACCCTAAGAATGACCGTGTATCTTTCAAGTTTTCTGGGGTTGGCCAGTGCTTGATTCCGTCTACTTTAGCAGGTTCCATACCCACTTCTCTGGGTCGAATTATCATTCCAAGATACTCTACTTCTTTCGTGTTGAAAGTGCATTTCTCTGGTTTGACAAACAGCTTTTCTCTTCGAAGGATATTGAGGATTTCGATCGTGCGTGCCTGGTGTTGCTGAAGATCTTTCGAGAAGATCAAAAGGTCGTCCATATAAATGACCAACCACCCCTCGTTTATCTGTTGCTGACAGAGGTTCGCCATAAACGCTTGGAATGTCGCTGGGGAGTTTGTCAGTCCGAAGAACATGACTGTTGGTTCAAACAACCCTTCTTCTGTCGTAAATGCTGCCTTCCAGCAATCCTCAGGGTGAATTCTAATGTTATTGTACCCCGACCTTATGTCGATCTTTGTGAAGTATTTGGCGTCATAGAGTCGTTCAATGAGAGATTTCGGCAAAGGGAGGGGGTATTGGTTCCATATGGTCCAATCATTTAGATATCGGTAATCTTGACAGGGACGTAATTCTCCGCTTTTCTTTCCTATGAAAAAGAACCCGCTGGCTTGAGGGGACTTTGATGGGACAATGAAACCTTTCTTGGTATTTTCTTCGATAAAGGTTTTGACAGCTTCTTGTTCCTTCCCAGATAACGGATAAATTTTTGACGTTTTGGGTATGAACCCTGGTTTAAGATCGATGCGATGATCTACACCAGGTCGTTCGGGTGGGACTTTGTTAAGACCGTCTTTGGCGAAAACATCTCGGTATTGGTGTAAAAAAGGGGGAACGAGTTCTTCAAAGGTTTTCTTTTGTTTTTCTATTTCTCCTGTGACTGTGAATTCTTGGGCTTTATTACTCGTTTTTCCGAAGTTTTGTTCTGTTTTCGATGTTCCGTCACGAATGAGCGGGGTATCAAAAGATATATCTTCGATGATGCGTACGGTTGATCCATCTGTGGCGTATTCAACGAGTACTTCATTGTTGGCTAGCTGATAGGCTAGGGGATCGAGGACCGGGGGTTTGAAATTTTCTGACCAAACATTGTCCTTAGTGTCATAGTTAGGGATTTCTTCATCCATTACTTCTTCTACGGAGGTGGTATAGGGGGAGGTGGTTTCATTAATTGCCACCTTCACCTGTATTGGCTTCCATAGTTTGGAGTTTACCCAAACTCGAGACGTTTCTTTTTTGATTTCCTTTGTTTTCTTGAAGAGTGGTGGAAGGGATTTCCCTCGTCGTCTTCTATCGATATCTCTTTCTATAGTCAACGATCTTTTTGTTGGTGGGAGTGATACCGTTTTGGCTTCCCAATCGATCTGAGGTTTTAATGCCGCGAGCCAAGGGAATCCTAAGAGGATTTTGTCTTGCTTGGCGAGTTTTGCTATATTGAACTTTCCGATCATGGTTCGTTGGTCAATTTTGATCGTGAGTACGCAATAGCGAGAGATGAGTCCTCCTTGAGCGTCTGATCCGTCGGCAGTGATGACCGGGAAAGGTCTAGAGAGTTTGTGGGTTTTTATTTTGTGCCTTTTACAAAAGGCGTCGCTTATGAAGGTTCCGGATGCTCCGGAGTCGATGATCATGGACGTTTCGACGGTTTGTACGCGTTTATCGGAAAAAATGGATGCAGGAATTCTTAATTCATTTCTAGTTCCGATAGAACATATTAGTCGTACAGGGATAGGGGGTACTGACGTCGAAGCAGTTCCCCTTTCTAAAAATCCACTTCCATGAAGCGACACTCTACTTCAGTAAAGTCGCTATCTTCTTCTTCCTCGACTTCTTTCACTTTCATGGTTTTCCTCCGGATTGGCGCTTTCCCTTTTGAGGTGTCTTCTTCGTTCTTTTCCTTCTTCCTCCTGATAGGTGTTTTTCTGGAGGAGGGGGCGCGACTTTCGACTTCATCGTCGCTGCTGCTTTCTTCTTCTTTATTTCTTCGGATCTGGTCCCTTTCTCTAGGGTGGAAAGAGGTGTCGTTGGCGCGATGTCCTACTTGATGACATTTGAAGCATCTTCCTTCTTTGAGGTGTTTCTTTAGCTCTGCGTCTGATAGATGGCTTATACGATCGACTTCCATATCTCACTTCTTCTGGGAACATAGTGCTTGTTCCCGAAGTTCTTCTTCTTCTGCTGGTTGGGCCTTTCTTTTCTTTTAATGGCCTTCAACCTTTGGAAAGCATTATCGAGGTTGATACAAGTGTTAACCACGGTGTCGAAGTTGTCAAGGCTTTCACCGGTACGGTGCAGGCTGTCTTGAAGTCCGTAATCTAAACCTTGTCTGAAGAATTCGATCAGGGGGGCTTGTTCGGACATTCCTGCCCTGTGTGCGAGGAGTTTGTAGTTGGAGATGTAGGTGTGGAGATCTCCCCTCATTTCCAATCCTCGGATCTTCATCATAGCGGTTCCAGCGGGATCCATGGGTTTAAAGGCCTCGTCGAAGTCTTTTTTGAATGTGGCCCAAGTTCCGTAACCGATCATTTGGCCAGAGGTATCTTTTCTCTTAGGGTCTAGGGCTGCTTCCATGAAGTCTTCTGCCCATATTGCTGCATTTCCTTTGGTCATGTAAGATAACACTAGGATGATCTTTTTCTTGTCTTCGTTGTATACTTGATCATTGATATCAAGGTACGCGTGACATTTCATCATGAATCTCTTGGATTCTTCTCGGTCTCCATCAAATTCGGGGGGAGCCGATCTTAAGTTCTATATCTTTGGCTTTGGTTGTCATGGCGTTCAAAGGAGGGATATTTGGTAGGGCTCCTAGGTTCAAGGCTCCGATCAAGGGAGTTAGCGAAGTCGTGGTGTTGGTTTCGTTGCAGATGGCAACGGTTCAGTTTATAAGACTTTAATCTTTTGTTATGACTGGGATAAGTCGAGCTATCTGTGTCTGAATAGACAATCGGCGAAGTGCCAGATAGACGGAGGTCTACTCTCGGTTGAGAGATCAAGGGTTCTGGCTAAGGCGAGTGTCGCTGACTCCCTTAGAATAGTGGTTCTTAGACAGTAAGGTTGGAGACCTTACTGAAGAACAATGTTCCAGGTAAAACCCAGTAGATTAAAGTAAAGAATACAATCGGTTGGTAGCTAGTCTATATAGCTAATGTTCAAGCAGAGCTTGTAAATGGTTATCAAGATAGAAGCGTGATAAGGAGAAAGATAAGGCGGACAGCCCGCTTGGCGAAGATAAGAGATAAGCATGATATGGACGGCCCATTTGTAAGCGAGATAAGAGAAATGAAGATAGGGGTAAAATGTTACTGTAACAGCACACATATCAAGTTTCATTCTAATATAACGAGAAAAACTACTCACAGTATAAAGTCTAGCGCCCATGCAGATGAATGTCTCAGTTCTGTTTCCAGAGACTGAGACGTGAGTACCTATACCTTAGCTTGTCGTATACAAACGCTAACGCAATGTAGTTGTCTTACCTGTTAGGTACACATTTCGTTAATGCAGAGTTCTGTTTCCAGAGACTGAGACTTGTCTTACCTGTTAGATTCTGACCGCACATCGACTCTGATCTTGAGACGTTGGGTGTTCAACTTTGAGCTCCCCTATTATCAACACGTATAGCAAATCACTTGACTAAATAATATGACGAAAAATTTGTATCTCTCCTTCAAATCTACTTCGGAACACCAATCAATACCTTCAAGAAATTGGTAATAAATAAAAGCAAATTTCCCTGCTCTTTGGAGGGCACCAGACAACCGTTAACTGCACCGATTATCACACACCACTACCAGTCGATATTTCCACGCGCTCCTGGAAAGCGACTGAGGTCATACCAGTTGCTGCGTCAGAATCGGCCATGAGCTTGGCATAGTATTCCCGGACACCAAGGATCAGGCGCGGTCCCAACACAAACATCTGCACGACCTCCAAAATCTGACTAACCCCAGAAATGATCTGAGCGTCCAGGGAAAAGCACTATAGAAATGATAAATTGTGGTAGTGTGCATAGGCAAGTGAAAGATTGACATACCACGAAGAATGTTGGATATAAATCAAAAATGAGCTCGATGCCAGAAACAGCAACAACGCTACCACGTCCGACCTGTCAGTGGAAAAAAGGAACAACAATCACAATATGAGCTTACCTCGCAAAGTAAACTGCGTGAGTTTTCATCAACACCGTGAAACAGTCCTCGATAATCCCTCCTGCGGAATGTTGTCGCAGTTCACGGAAGTGTTTTATCGCAATCCAGACTGCGAGACATAGCGTGAGGACCTCCCATACAATGGCAAGAATCCAAGTAATCGAATTCAGAAGTGGGATATCGTTTGAATAGTTAAGCTGGCACTGATAAGTGCCGGAGAGAATGAGTTCCTCTGGTATCAATGAGTCTCATGCACGTTTATTTTCATTCACAATTAGACCCACCCCCTGAAGTATGCATCACTGCCATTATAGCGGCCACTGCATCGAAAGTGTTGATAGCCAGGAAGGTGGCAATGAGAAGTATCAGGATCTTTCTGGATCCTTGATACATCGCATGCAACCGAGCGATGATGATGACTTGCAGCATGTTTCAGTCAAGTTAATATCACTGAGGTCTCGCAAGTGCAAAGCTTACCCCACAGCATCGCAAATACCACAACATTCGTCCAATCACCTATGGTGTATATAATCCAGCCTGACGAATCCGATCAGTGATCGGCCTCGGGTGCCACACTCCAAACAGACTCACATCTGTGGCAGTATAGCATGGCAGTCATTAGTGAACCAAGAAATTGGCAAATGACCACACCCACTGCTACAGGGAACCACGGTTAATTGGAGGGGAATAGCAAGCATCTGTGCAGAAGACTCACAGTATCTGTCAATGAGATAGTCGGAACACTGACTATATGTCGTTGGTCAGAATAAACACGGACAGCGAATGTACTAAGGGGACATACTCAGAATGATCAGGCTGGTTATGAGAGATAGACAATTAGCACAACATCGAGTGTGTAGCCTTCCGGACATACACAGCGTATAAGATTCCAAGGTAACGTGCCTAGGGTACTTGCAAGTCAGCACAACATGGCAACCACAGCAAACAAGCCACATACACCGAGATACATAACTGTCATTAGGGACCATTGTTGTCTCTGGCATCAGATGTATTTTCGTGTGTGTTCCTCTGACACCAGACTCTGCTCACCCAGATGAGCTCCACCTATAAAGCCATTCTCAGCGAGATGGCTACTCCAGTCATACCATCGACATACCTCTTGTCCGAATGTAAGTGCTGAAAATAATCATAAGACGTCAGCTGTCTTTTAATGTTATCAGGCTCACCCCAATCATACATCACTGCAACAAAGACGGCAACTGCGAAACCACAGCCAAGGTTAGAGTGTGTCAGCTTCAAGATCCGACTGTTCTCCACGAACCTCCAAAATAGCTGGCCAACCGATATGCATCGATGGCCGACCACCAAGTGGGATCATTTGAGATTACGGCGGTCATATTGGTAGAGAATGGATGTGGGTGAGAGGCGAACTTGATGGATGTAATACGATGGCATTCGTGCTAGTTATACCACCACCCGGTGTGTAGATCAGCGACATGAGATTGGGGAATTCGATGATGACCGTTCCTGCTTTGATTGGTCGAAGTGGATATTTTTGCACGAAGAAAGATAAATTAGTCCAGGTGATCATAGTAGATGTTGGTCGTAAAACATCTGAACGAGCGAAACACTTGAACTCCACAAAAGATTGAACAAGATCAAAAGTTTTTGTGATCTTGTCGCCTTGTTTCCGATGCTATTTTCGAGATGATTTCGCTACACGTGCATCAGTTCATTAATGCAACCAAGTATTACTTCATCTGTTTGATACATACTGATCACGGTACAACCATCAGAATACCTGTCATCTCATCTCTCTTCGCCTCTGTAGCACAGGCCAGGGGAGCATAACAGCTCGTCCGAGGTCACTCAGTAAATGCACATTGCACCGGTATGACACCGGACCAGAAAAGTCAGCTGTCAAAAATAGGGAGATTTGCACGAAGCAAATTCGCATCCTACTCTGGCTAACAATACATCTCAGCGAGCATACGTCTCAAAATCTCACCTCACCCTTAGGTCACTTGTTGCTTCATGCGCACCCTCTTGCTCTCCATCTCGGACATTGGACTACCGTATCATCTGAATGCCAGAAATGGTGAGCGCAGAATATTTCCGGTCGCGGACCGTGCGAATGTCAAACTAGTCGTATAGCTGGTTTATGGTGCTAAAGCGGGTATGGGCATTTGGGAACAAGAATACATCAGACGTGACAAGCTGTATTTGAAATTTGCACACATTCTAAAGTCTAATTGATGTACTTTGTTTTGAAATGTTTTATCACTAGTACTCTCAGCTTCCACGCATCGTCTTCGACTTTCACCAACACCACCTACTCAGTCCTCCGCAACCACTCCCATTACTTTCAAAGCCTACCTATAGCACCCACCAACCTGGTGGCTTGTTCGTGCTACATAGTCACACTCCAACGTGCTCAGAGCGACTCGTGTCGTTTTGTTTGAAATATTCTATCACCTGTGCATACCGACATTCTCGTCCAGTCTATTCTTATAACAATTTGCAATACAGCACATTTCAAATGTCTTCGAACAAAATTCCCTTCCCCTCAAATCTCCCAGAGTCCCAGAGTGTCATCACGATCGACTTATAATGTTCTCTCACGCACGTTCCAAATCCTAAATCAATCTAATGTCGAATCTCGATGATGACATGGACATTTTGGCCGCATACCATGGCCAGCTACATCGAACAATTCACCTCGATCTCACTATCACGTCCACAGCCTGACCTCAAGCAGCAGATACTTGACTACTGCACTATTACTGGTGCTGGGCATGTCGGTTCCTAGGTGTGTCCCTTGTCGCCGTTTTGAGCCATGTCAACAAGTTGTTGTTGTTTTATGTTTCATGTCTGGTTAGCACCCTGGACTCCTTCAAATTCCCCTGATTCCGCAGAGGCGCTGGGTCTCAGCTGAAGGATCACAGCCTTCATATCACAATGTTTAATAGGGTACATGTATCCCCCAGTAGTGCTTCAGCAACAACCTTAAACGCATTTATATTTGTAGCCGTATGTCCACCTCAGCGAACGAAAGTGAAAGGGAGGCTCCTCCACAAGCATTAACCAACTTCAACCTCTTCAAGACTAATCAAGTACGCCTCGCATCATTAAGCTACGCATGCATGAACCACCTTGTAATTACCTTGAATGCATCATCTGCAGGCCACTTGTCGTGAGTCAGCTGAAACAAAAACAAGGTAGCAGTTCATAGGACATTGCATGAGGCGAGAAGATGAATCGAGTATGAATTGCTGAGGAACTGAAGCAGTGTGCTGTCCCTCGACTTTCTCCTCGCGCGCTGCCTAAGCAATCATATGAATGATTGTCATCGTACAGAGAAAATAAGAACCGCAAGTCTGCATGGGCAGCTGGTGCCAGTAGAGATATTTAAATATTAGCAACACGTATAGCAAATCACTTGACTGAATAATACGACGAAAATTTTGCATGTCTCCTTTAAAACTACTTCGAAACACCCATCAATACCTTCAAGAAAGTGGTAATAAATAAAAGCAAATTTCCCTGCTCTTTAGAGAGCACCAGACAACCGTTAACTCCACCGATTATCACACACCATTGCCAGTCGATATATGCACGCGCTCCTGGAAAGCGATTGAGATCATACCAGTTGCTGCATCAGAATCGGCCACGAGCTTAGCGTGGTATTCTCGAACACCAAGGATCAGGCGCGGTCCCAACACAAACATCTGCACGGCCTCCAAAATCTGAATAAACCCAGAAATAATCTGAGGGACCAGGGAAGTGCTCTATAGAAACGATAAATTGTGGTAGCGTGCATAGGCAAGTGAAAGATTGACATACCATTAATAATGTCAGAGAGAAAATAACAATTAGCTCGATGCAAGAAACAGCAACAAAGCTACCACAGCCGGCTTGTCAGTGGAAAAGCAACAATAATCACAATATGAGCTTACCTCGCAAAGTAAAGTGCATGAGTTTTTATCAACACCGTGAAACAGTCCTCGATAATCCCTCCTGCCGAATGTTGTCGCAGTTCACGGAAGTGTTTTACCACAATCCAGACAGCGAGACACAGCGTGATGACCTCCCATACAGTGCCGAGCATCCAAGTAATCGAATCCAGGAGTGGGATGTCTTTCGGATAGTTAAACTGGCACTGATAAGTGCCAGAGAGAATGAGTTCCTCTGGTAACCATCAATGAGCCCAATGCACGTTTATTTTCATTCACAATTAAATGCACCCCCTGACATATCCATCGTTGCCATTATGATGGTCACTGCATTGAAAGTGTTGACAGCCAGGAAGGTGACAATGAGAAACATCAAGATCTTTCTGGATCCTTGATACATGGCATGCAACCGAGCGATGATGATGACTTGCACCATGTTTCAGTCAAGTCAATATCACTGATGTCTCGCAAGTGCAAAGCTCACCCGACAGCATCGCAAATACCACAACATTAGTCCAATCCAATGCGGTGTACATAATCCAGCCTGACGAATCCAGTCAGTGATCGGCCTCGGGTAGCACACACTTCAAACAGACTCACATCTGTTCCAGTATAGCGTTGTAGTCATTAGTGAACCAAGAAGTTAGCAAAGATCTACACCCACTGCTACAGGGCACCACGGTTAATTGGAGGGGAATAGAAAGCATCTGTGCAGAAGACTCACTGTATCTGTCAGCGAGATGGTCGGAACACTCGCTGTATGCCGTTGGTCAGAAGAAGCAAAGACAAAGACAGTGAATGCACTAAAGAGACATACTCAGCATGTACAGGCTGATTGTGAGAGATAGACGATTAGCACAACACCGATTGTGTAGCCTTCCGAACGTACGCAGCGAATAAGATTCCAAGGTAGCGCACCTAGGATACTGTACAGCTACGCACTTAAGTTCGTCACACCATCACAGGGCGAGCGAACCGAACCTATTTCGTGTGACAGTCACACGCATATTGAGGTCATCGAACTTAAGTTGTGACATGCGGTAAAAACACGAAAACATGCAGTAAAAACACGAAAAAAGTCCTAGTGCTGCCAAAAGTCCTTATATTGAGTATTTGCAACGCGTCTGCGCTTGCCGCGACCCTCGACATCAACCTCCTTCGAACTGTCAGTGGTCACAGCTGCAAATTGAGGCTCTGTATCATCTGGTGCTTGTTCATAGCTCTCCGACTCATTGTCGGCCAGCAGATTACCCAATCCATCAGCACTGTAGCCATCAGGGATTGATAATTCACCTAGCGCAATGTGCTGCAGAACGGCATCCACGGCAACATCGCTGGCATCGAGCTCGACACCTGCAGCATGCGCAAAGGGCGGCTCAGCTTCCTCGTCAGCTTGAGGAGTTTCAACCCTATATTGAGCTGTCTTGACACGGTCCCAAGTTACAGTATCGTTCTTCTGCACATCACGCAGTGCATGAAGAGCTTCACGGCTGGTCATGCTCTCAAAGGAGAGATTGAACGCAGTTCCAGCCTTGCACTGAAAAAATGCCTGAGTATTTCAATGTCAGTAACTTGAAGCAAAACGATGTGAATGACGTACTTGTTTAACCACGTCAGGCTTGTTAATAGCACGATAACCATCGATGAGCCACTGCAAAGATCTATCGCGCAGTGTGGGTAATGTTGTGTCCAATCGAATGACAGGTGCGGCTTCATCTTTCTTCAGCAACAACAAAGACTCTTCGACAATGTCAGCGTGTTGAGCTCGCTTGACGGCAAGCTTAAATACGCGCTGGACACCAACATCACATGGCTGTGCAATTCCGGTGCAGCCGCCAGGGACAAAGCGATACTTAATCCAAGGGTACTGTTGATCAAGCCAAGTGCGAAATTGAATCGACTTATGTACGGACCAGATATCCAGCTGGAGGGCATATGACATGGATACCCAGTACGACAAGACCCACAATGGAAGTGGGTTATCGGGGAACGAAGGGTGGATTACGGATTGAATTCCATCTTGCAACGCGCCACTAGCATGATCACGAAGGGACGAAGCTGTTTGAAGAGGCGGAACAGATCGGGAGACGAAGCCCATGGGGAGCTGGAGCATAGGGGACTTTTTCGAAAAGACAAATCTGGTGGTAGCTGATGCATTGGTTTCTAATGCTGTAGGCAGAGCTAATTGAAGAAACGCAGCGACAGGAAGGCTGCCGGAAGGAGCGATCGAGAACTGTGTAGGTACAGATAAAACATCTTGAATTTTGGCCGCTGGGGCAACATCTAAGTTATGCATAGTGCAGAAAGTGAACTTGGGGGAGGAGGGAAATGTTTCAGATGGCATCCTCATTGTAAACTGGGTTATGGCTCACCAAACATCGGATCCGCATTGGCAGGACTCTGCAGCAACATAGGAAGAAGGTGTGATGTTGCCGAACGGAATTGAACTTGCAAACGAAGCTCCGAGGGGTGAGCACTAGCGACGGAGTCTCCAGGTTGAGCGCGGGCATCTCTGCGCTCGTACAAAGAAAGAAATACTTCTGCCTAATGAGACTCCCAGCCCAGTCGGTCGTCTCACACAACGAACCTATGCGCAACATGTCACACGTCACACACCCCTTCGAACTTTCGAACCTAATGTTCATTCGGTCACACCCATATCAGGTCGAACTTAGGTGCGTAACTCTACAGTACTTTCAAGTCAGTACAACATGCGACTGTAACGAACAAGCTACAAACACTGAGATACATAACTGTCATTAAGGACCAGCGTTGTTTCTGGAATCAAGTGGTATGTTCATGCGTGTTCGGTGTTCCTCTGACGCCAGACTCTGCTCACCCAGATCAACTCCACCTATAAAGCCATTCTCAGCGAGATGGCTGCTCCGGTCATACTATCGACATACCTCTTGTCCGAATGTAAGTGCTGAAAATAATCGTTAGACGTCAGAAGTCTTTTAATGTTATCAGGCTCACCCCAATCATACACCACTGCAACAAAGGCGGCGACTGCGAAACCACAGCCAAGGTTACATTGAGTCAGCTTCAACATCTGACTGCTCTCCACGAACCTGAAAAATAGCTAGTCAAACGATATGAAATGATGGCCGGCCACCAACTGGGATCATTTGATACTACAGTCATATTGGTAGAGAATGGGTGTCGATGGAGGCAAACTTGGTAGATGTATGTCAATAACATTCGCAGTATCATATATATGTATACCATTATCCAGTGCGAAATGAGATCAAGGGGTGAATCTGTGCAATCCACGTGGATCAAGCGGTTGCATGATCGTCATCAGGCCGTCGTATCATAAGGATGTTAATCAAAACAAGTACCAATGCAGAACCTTCAATTTGCAACGTGGATGTGTTGCAGTCGACGAGCCGCTGGTAACGTTCACTTGTCAGGTGGAGTTCTCGTACTCCTTATGTATAGAAAATTTGATTCCAGCTTGGAACTTTGGAGGTTAGGAGATGCCTAGAGCGTTAACTCTTCGCAGCAGACGAGTACGAGATTCTGAGGCACAACAACTTGTTAACATATATGTGGAGACAACTTGAAGAAAGGCAAACACACCTATTACACGTGTACTAGCGAAGAACGTTAAGTCAATAGTAGTGAGACGGTCACGGTATGTAATTAATGAGGCCTGAGGAATTAGTCATATCACTCGAAATCAATATTGTGTTCCTGTTTCTCCCTTCGGGTCTTCCTGTGTCTCGTTGTCTTGGACCTTGCCCTTTACCCCTGCGGCTCTTGCCCCGTGCAATTTGGCATGACGATCATGCCATTCGCAATTTTCATTGCCATCTCCTTTAGTGGAGATAGCAGTCTATGTCTAGCGAGACGAATTCGAAATGGCTCTCTGCCTTTTCTCACTCAAGTTTCTTGTCTCGCTACTAGGTACACTGTTGTTATCCATGAGTGACGACCGTTCCTGCTTTGATTAATCAAAGTAGATGTTTGCATGAACACAAATCAATCCAGGGACCATGGTGTATTTTGGTCGTGAAACATTTGCGGGAGCGAAACACTTCAACGCCGCAAAAGATCTAACGACATGGAGTGTGAGAGAAAGTGGGGAAAGAAAGATAGGCTCGTACGAAGTCGTAACCATCATGATTCTGCTTGCGCACGCATTTCCAGATTTTGAAATATAAACAGAGAACGTGGGGGAAAGGCAAAGCAAGTCGCCTGAGTGAAAATATTCGTCACCACTTGCTATGTAGTCGACCAGAAAACCAAGAAGCATGCATGGCCAGGCTCAGCATGTCAGGTATCTTTTCCGATGAGTCATACGTTCGTGTGCAGGATCTCACCTAGGCAAGCCCAGCCCACTAGTACAAATCATAGCCTAAGCGCAGAGACTAAGTAACACAGGATGTCATCAGTAAGTAAATGGGTCCAAGTGGAAATTGCCGCAGAAAACGGAAAACGGAAGACGTCGATCGAGATTCGAGTGCTTCGTCATTGCATCATATGGCTGGTGGATTCTTAAAACGTTCATCCAGCACGTCCAAAATAGTGAGATCGACACGAAGAGAATGAGCTCGTGTCCTACCTGAGCTACCGAAACCTCCCTGCAAGCACATATCTCAATGTCTCATCTCGTCCTTAGGCCATCTGTCACTTCATGCGCACCCTCTCGCTCTCTACCTCGCTACCGTATCACCTGGATGCTGGAAATGGTGAGCGTAGAATATTGGATTTGTATCGTGGAGTTGGTGCGGTGGTAAGAGGTATCAGGTTTCACCAGAGACGTCCTGGTTGGGATTCCGCGATTGATGTGAGATGAAGATACAACAGCATCCCTAAGAGAGCGTTAAGAGACGAAATGAGAGAAAATGATGCTTGGATGCACAATAGTTGAAGGCGGCTCACCGTGTCATATAGCTGCCATTGCACACCATCAACCCTTATTCCGATGAAAAACAATCCAAAACGTGCCACACTGAATCCATCATGCAGTTGATGCCCCTTCGTCACGACTTGCGCTTTCGCAGTGTAGCCTGGGAGGGAATGTGGATTGGAACACTGTCCCTATTTCGCATGAACTACCTACCATAACGACGCCCGAGACTACACCGACACCTCAGGACTCTGACTGTTGAGCAATCAAAATCCGAGAACACCGAGAATGCGTGGCGAGCGGATCTCAGAATGCACAGGTTGTGCAGAGGGGTGATGCAGTTCGGTGGGGAGGTAGATAGTGAACATCTCGTTTCTGGGAGCGTACAGGATGATAAATTGATGCAAATACAGTAGAGCACTGGGAGAATACAAAGTCTGACGCACCGCAGGAAGTCCGACTTTTGTTCTGACGCTCATTGTGTAGTCGATGGTAAATTGATGCCCATATAATTGAAATGAATATCAGCAGCATCTCTACCTTGCTTCCTTCCTCTGAGGACTTGAGTCTGGGAACGTAGCAAATGCCAGAATATGGTAAGGGCCTAGGGCGACTGATGAAAACTTAACGTACCACGCTAACTTCGTCATGCATCCCGCAGTGGACGTTTTGAATGGGTGAGAGAAGCGGTATATCCCAGGAAAGTGCTTGCCTACAATATAATCCCATGAACGGGTACGATTCGGAGTCCTCCTTTATATCACTGTTAGTGTTTTGTACTTGAGAAACGAAACAAGAGAAATGGCACGGCTTACTTCTCTGGAGTCCGGACGGTCAACGTGCACACCTCAACGCAAGTTCGCCTTCCTCCTAGTCCTACATCGCAAGTCCTCTGTCCAGAATTCCAGGGATCAGTCGCCGAGTGATCACTGATGTACACTTGCTCGCTCTCCTCTGCCGGTAAAACCTCGATAAAAACTGGTCACATCAAATCCTTCACAGTTTGGTCCCATCCGAGACAACCTAACCACTTCGCGCGTAGAATTCGGCTGTGGCTACGTGCAGCCTGATGTATTTTCCAGTCTGTTCAACTTGCCTTGAAGTCAAACATAGATGCTTCCAACACGCACTGAGACTTTGAATTGTGCATCAGAGACTCGAAGTCGTGAAAATAAGAATAAGTTCGAGGAACAAGGCAAGAAGAACATGAATGATTCGGTCAAAGCAGACACCTATTGAAGCGTGTCACGTGACACGTGAGATATGCCCGCTGGACTGCTTCTTCCGCTACAACCTTTCCATGGCATCCGTCATCTCGGTGATTTTCATACTTGCCGCAGTCTTAGGACTGATTGCACGTGGCTACCTCTTCGTTCCAAAGGGCCCACATCAAACGTACGCTTTCTTCACTTTGTTACAACTTTTCGTAGTACGGCCATCATGCTCACGTTCGGATCATGTTATAATTTATCTTTCATGTGGATAGTCACATATGGCCCAGCTAGTACATCCTCTCATCAGTAAGTCATAAAACTCGCTGATATGGTTTTATTGGCTAATGCAGCATGAGCTTGAACGCCATATCGTTCAATAAACAATGGATGAAGTTTATGGTGGTCAAGTGCCGTCTGAGCAGGAAATAGACGTACACCGCTGTTGCTATGTCAGATTCTGTGTTAACTAAAGAGCACCTTGGAGTCCGCCGTCCCAGATTAGTGAGTGCCCCACTGCATGTAAGGTGGTCTTGCATTTGAAAATAGATTACATCCATAGTTATGTCTCGGGATATGTATCGCATCTGTCCATAGAGCCTTTCTTCTATTCTAATACAGTGCATTCTATAGTAATTGACATGCTCTGCAGATCATATTATAATCGATTGCGTGTGTATATTATTATGATTCAAACGATATTTTACAGGATTGCATGCAGCCAATTTACCGGAATGACATATCTGTCTGCGGAGGAGCTACACGAGTCTCAACTTTTGCCATTAGTAGCATCATGACTCAGGCTACTGCGATAATGGCGTTTACATAGGGAGGTGTACTTTGTAAGTGATTCTATATACTTGATGCCACCACACCTTAAATGCGTGTACAAGTACGATGGCATTGTGAAGTGAAAGCAGTACTGCAGACTGTTGCCTGAAGGAGCTTCGCGACCACAGGAGTCCTAAGACACCCGTCGTTTCCCGAGCTCCGCACCGTGACTCCGACAAATTCAGGCTGATTACCTTATGAGTAGTGTTGTTGGCAAAACAGCCGAGTTTTGCCAACTGGTTGTGCCAGACCGGTTGTGCCCGGTGATCAGCAAAACTCGCAGAGATGTAACTTAAATCTGATAAAATATACTTTAAAATCCAATAGAACATAAAAACCAATGTCCCTAAAGCAAGATGTTCTATGGTGGAGGACACCCACTTGCATCATTGATGAATATGGACAATTTCGAGCACCTAGAACTCAAGGTTACACTTGGCATTCAAGTTGCAAAGTGCTGAAATGATTGGGATATAATGATAGCAAAAACACTTTCTGATAACCTGCAGCCCTACATGAAATTCACATACTCAAGGCCTTTACTGCGATGATTCTCAATTCCAGAGTCATGCAGGCAAAGTAGAGCGCACATTCTCTGATCACAGAGTACACACTCAAGAAGTTGGCATTGCTGTCGAGAGTGCACAGGCTCTTGAAGTATCTTTTGCATGGACTGCTCTTGACCAAACCTTGTGACACAGATGACATCCTGCCACAGACTCAGTGTTGAAGAAGTTCGGAACATTAACAAAGTTGAAGTGCTGGAGAAAAATGCTTTTGATTTTGATGAATTGATGTCTTCATTATGAATGTCATACACATATATAGCCTAGAGTTTCGCCACCCTGGCAAAACAACCAGTTTTGCCGGTTTTGCCGGTTGCAACTGGCAAAACTGACTGCAAGTAGTTTTGCCCCCCACACTACTTATGAGGCACCTGGCACGGGCACCTTTCTTTCTTTTCACATTTTTCTCCCTTGAGCTTCAAAGATGCAGATCACAGCATTCGAAAAAAAGTATATCATGGCAACGCTCACGTTTCTGCAAGTTGATAATCACCTGCTGATTGTGGGTGGCAGTCACAGTACCTCCGAGTGCAAGATGCCATGATAAAGACGCCACTCTACCACCTCTCACAAACATGTCGATCCGCTGTACCTTTTGAATCTTATCATGAAATTCTCTAGTACTGGCATATACAATCACAGCATGCCATTGTAAAGTTGCTGTGGATGCTGGTGGAGGTGGAGGTAGCGCTCTGACGACAAGTGCTATAAAATACCTGCATAGGTGCCAAGGACAGGTAAGTTACTATCATCGTCTATCTTCTCCAAGTAAAACCATGGCTTACCCATACCCTTTTGCATTCCCTGATGCTAGACAAATTTCCCAAGTGTCATCTTACTCCACACTCTCCGGTGCACTTGAACCTGCACCGACTCAGTCAACGTATTACCCTGTTCGGCCGAATGCCAGTACCTCCGGTAATGTAGGACTATGCTTATAGATTTTTATCATCCTCCTGACTCGTCTGATAATTTGTAGGTAATACTCATCTCCCAGTATATATGTGCCCAGACATTGTCAAACCCGGACCTCTCAGGTGCCCTTGGCCCTGCACATGGACAATCACACCAATATATTCGGTCACAAACCCCCGTAAGTGACGCGTGTTGAGGTACTTGCAATCGATTCATGTGTTATGAATTTGTAGGGGGCATCCATCTCGCCATATTCAGCTGTCCCATATACGTCAAATGGCAGCTACGAAGGGTCATCTGTGAGTCCACATAAAATACCTGCCGTTATTACTTTCTAATGTCCGAAGTCTGCTCGCTCTTGTTACCCGTACCCTGAGAGGAATGTTTTGCACCCTGCCAAATACATGGCCAATATGCCACCCGCTGTGCCCAAAAAGATGTACAAGACCATCGCTCCTTCAGGATTCCATCGGCTCCCGCAGCCCGTTGTCACTGACACATCTGCATCCCCGAAATCGTGGTGTAGGATTGGATCCCAGCACGCTGCCATCAAATTTAACAGGAAGGGTGGAGGGATGGCCTTCCGTGTCAACGAGCTGGTCGAGCTCGAAGATAAGCCAGAGGTGGAAGGAGGCCATGATCAGGTGTTTAGTGGCATAGGAGATAGGTTTATCAAGGTTTTCATCACGGTAAGTTGAAAGCCCAGACCACTTTTTCGCAGTAATTAATTTGATATCTTTCCGTTGCAGTGGCCTGGGTACAGTCAATTAATTGTAGAAAGGCGTATCTGCACCGATAATGGAACTCTCAAAAGAGAGAAGTTGCTCAAGTTGTTGGCGAAGTACGTCGAAGACCTCGTGCAGAATATCCACGTACGTCCAAGTGTACTCACGATAGTTCAGATGATGATGACATAAGCAGCTACAAGGGTCGAAAAAGGAAAACCAAATCAAAGAAGCATAAGCCAAAGGATTTAGACTCAGAATCGGAAAGTTCAAGTGAAGAAGAAGTACGCAAGAAGAAGAAGAAATCAAAGTCTAAGGAAAGTGGGCAAATAGAGGACATTGTGGAATGCTTAAGTAAGCTATCCATAGATGATCCAAGTTATGTTGTGTGCTGACCCCTGAGCAGGCCAAAGACTGTAATGAGGCCGACGTCTGTATCATCCTCGTCGAGTGCGATCGAGCGCTCCCAGCCTGGGTCAACCGGGCCTCATTTTTATTGCAACACGCTCCCTTCGCTAATCCTTTTCTTACTCGGCAAGAGTCCGCGTTTTTGCGCTCGGCCTCAAGTTACTTACGATTTGTTGGTACTGATCAGCCTGTGCAGCGCAAATCGATACATGTAGAAAAAGGATACGAGAAATACAAGGTTGAGTGGAGGCCACGTGGGGTGCCCAGTATTTGGAGAGACTGTTTGATCACTAGTCTTGTCCATGAATCGGGATCCAACTGGCAGGTGGAACTTCATGTGAAGGCTTGATGGGGACAACGTGCTGGACTCGCGTATCATTATTCCATATAGTTATATTGTACCATTGCAAGCCTGGAGCTTGCGGGTATCCTGTATAAATAAATAAAACTCCTCTGTTACGTCATGTATATTTGTGGGGCCGAGGCTGTATCCTCAGGCCTCAGCGCTCAGCGATGACCGCGGAGGCACTCATGAATCGGAGTTCCCATCTGCATGCTGAGGCTGTTCCTCGATGGAAACTTTAGCACCCAAGCGAGATATTTCTGAGAACGCTGCTTTAAGTAGGTCAAGGTCTGCGTCCAAGCCCTCCGCCCGTGTCTTCATCTACAGAGAAATCAGACTACACAAAGATGCACCTTGGAAATTTACACACCGCAGCTATCGTATCACTAGCTGCAATCAGCTCATGATGGTGGTTGTAAACCAGAGACTACCTATCACCATCAAGTTGTCGTATTTCTGAACATCCGAGTCCATGAGCAGACGTCTCACACGATCTTGGACGACACGAACCTGTCAGTAGGTCATTCTCTCGCTTCAGCAGAGCCGACAGAGATGATGCGGTTATGAGTTGTTCGTAGTACGATTTTGCGTCAAAGGCTGCTGAATCTTCAGTAGCATGGTGAGAATCGAGCTTGAGAACTTGATGACTTTCAAAGCATACCTAGATCCATGGGGTCATCTGATTTCCCAGGTATAGGTGGTGGTGGACCTACTCCGAGGCCATAGTGCCTCCTCAAGAGATCTCTAGCACGAGACTTTGCAAGAGGCCCTGGAGGGGTTTTTGTCCGAGGCGTTTGTCCAACACCAAGCGAGGATCGACGAGAATTGGACGGAATTAGGGTTGAAGAGCTTTGAGGAGACGTTGGTCGCAGCGGAGACGAGACCACTCTAGGAGCTGACTTCACACGTTGGGCCGTTGGGGATGTAGGTGTAGACTGTGCGGTGGACATGAGGTTGATGATGATACTTACTCCAATTAACAGTCCAATGACGCGATCACGTGCTTGTGCATCGGCAACTCAGACACCGAGTACTTAAAAGTTAATTTTATCTGAAATCACTGCGGTCACTTGCAAGCATCTAGTATTAGTCAAAGCACGGCCCATGGCACAGATGCCATTCGGGTTGTCCAACTGTGCCATCACTCGAGCCTCATTAGCATTGTAGTGGGAGCGCTGTGAGGGGTTAGCCGGCGGGAGCAGGTGTTAGGTCAGAGAGAGCAGGTAGCGCAGGCAGAGCTGGTGTCAGGGGTCTCGGGTGTTCAGGGTCCGAGAGTAGCATGTAGTTAGGACGCGCGTGGCTTAGACAAGACAAGCATCTTGGGTTCCTGTCCTCTTCAGAGTGCTAGGCTGGCGTCTCCATCTGGTGATGAGAGTGGGGAGAACACCCACTGGATTAAGCAAGAACAGACTACAGGGCATATCTCAGTAGAACAGTGCGCAAGGATACGGCAACTTCAACCACAACGACTATCACTGCCGAATTACAGTACACCCCCGGTTTCTTCACCGACAAACCCACTAGAAACCAGGCCATACTGTAAGAATAATACATCAAGTACTTACAATTAGAGGGCAATACTGATACATGTATACCTAAGACCCACAGCTGTCTATAATCTATAAGGGCTAATGTATCAGTGGAGGATCCTGGTCTGGTACTCAATCCACGGTTCTCTGGACCTGGTACCTGGCCTTCGTTTGATGGCATCGTGGTTCTTCAGTCTATCTATAGGTAACATTACTTCCACGTGATGACTGGGCCTGGATCATGAGATGCGCATCTGATGGACGAGTCTGATCGGTAGGTTGATTATCAAAAATAGCACCAAGGTCCAAGTGACAAGTCCCCCGCTGGAGATTCCCGCTTGAATGCGAGGCTACGCCACGTTCTGTGTGCGTTGTGACCCTCCAGGATCACCAGGTTTCCTACTCCTTCTGGTGCCAATGGCGTGTTAGTGAGTGTCATTTCTCAGTAAAATTATATTCAAGACTAAATAACGATGTAGAGCGACCATATATTAACGGATTGCGCCCGTGGCGTTCATATTGCCAATGCCGCTTGGATGGCGTGACGTGTCCTACATGTCCTACTCCTCAGCTGGTGAGCGATCAAACACATGACGCAAAAATTTGGTCAACTGTCACATGACCCAGAACGTGGCACTTTTTCCTTGAGTTACGTCACCACTCAAGGAAAAAGTGCCACATTTTCTGGGTCATGTGACATGCGACAGCCCAGGACATGGCATGGGCTGCCTGTACCTGTAGGACTGATGTATCACATCGCTACCTACAACTATAAGTCATTGATGTATCACTACCTACAACCATAAGACATTGATGTATCACTACTCTGCATTAGCCGAATTCGGCACAATTCAAACCGAAATTCCTCCAAGTCCCGCAAATGTGTAGCTGCCTAGAAACAGGTTTAAAAATTGTTTGAAAGCCAAATACCTATCTGTGTCACCCAATTCCACAAGTTCCAATATGTCAAGAACTAACAAATATTATTGCATTAACAAACACACGACACACGCAAGCAACTACGTATATGCAACAATGGTATAAATGACACAATGGTCGGAGACGCGCATATGCACTCATTTGCGTCCAGTCTTCTGAGTCGTGGATGAGCCACCAATATTGTTGGCTTCTGCAGCACGCCTGGATTGGAACCGTTGACGTTTGCCTCGGCCATCCTGCTGATCCGTTGATTCCGTCACTCTCTCATCAACCATGGCGGAGGCGCTGGAACCAGCCCTGCGAGCATTACCTTTATTCAACCGCTCTCCTTCAGATTCACATGCACGCTTCTTGCCTGTGTCAGAAGGGGGTCCTCTTGGGGCGGCATCAGACAGAGTTGTCAGAGTTTGGGTGGGGGGTGCACCGGCAGGTGGCGTTGATAGAGTGCGGGTTGTCAATGAAGGCGCCTGGGAGGGTGGTGGAGTGGAGATAGGGAAGGTGAAGGTGGAATTTGTAGTGTGATAAGGCTGCGGTCCAGCTTCATTTGGGGTAGTAGCAGGTTCGTCTGTGGGGGTCCATGTGTTTTGTGTTTGATGAATTTGTGGTGGTGACGCGATAATCGGTAGTGAGTGTTGCGGGGCAAGGTATTGTTCGAGAATAGGTGGGTCGTGTTCGAGAATGGATGGGTCCTGCAGAAACGGATTCAAACTGTGCATCATCTCCGAGTCTTGAGGAGGTTGCGGAGGCATCGGAAGAATGGGAAGTGATGGCTGCGATGTGTCGTCCATGTCCATTTGTGGCGGAGATGCGTAAGGCTGGGAGAAGAATGGAATGTCGATGGTGTCCATGAGAGAGGAAAACTGTGAGTCAAACAATGCATCAGACGTGGCAGTTGTGGTATTGAGAGTGGTAGGTGGTGATATATCAGAGGGTAATTGGACAGTAGATGAAGATCCAGAAGCGATGACCGGAGTGGATGGTGTATTGACCGGATGCAGCAAGCTTTGTCCCTTCGACAGTGCGGCTGCGTCGGCTGTTTAGAAAGAGGCATTAGTCTGATATCTTGTACTGAGTAAGGGTGACTGACAAAAAACACGTTCTACAAACTGCGTGTAAGGCACCATAATGTTCTGCGAGAATTGGGGATAGGCTTGACTGAACCGGTTGCCCAGTTTCGTTGTACCAACATGGAAACTACTGACATCAAGTGTCCCACCTGCAGCAGGATGTGGCCCGCCCATGAGTACCGTGAATACCCAATCTGTCATTTCATGCAACTCCTCGAAGAACTGGGTCAAAATCACAGCGATTTTGGATATGTAGCTGCACATGCTGTAAGAAAACATTGTTCATAGAAAGCAAGGAATGTAACTTACACATCCTTATCGTGATCCTGCTTCTTTGCTTCCTCTATTTCCGCACTTTTCGCCTCCTTCATTGCCTCGATAGCAGCAAGGACCTCTGCCTTTACTTCCTCGGATTCATTGTTGAAAGCGGCTTTGACATGCCGCTTAACGATACCCAGGGTAGTCTTCTTAGCCGGCTCAGCGAAGGGCGCTTTTTTTAGCTCTTCCTGCTCAGTCTTTACCGCATCTTTGACTTTCGTATAGTGAGTTTTCGAGTACATTTCCCATGGTTGCAAGACACGAGTAGGTTTGTCCGTCGAGCCCTTCATGATATTTTTCATCATTTTATTGACTGTGGCAGTGTGCTGTCCATTCGCCCGCCGACCCGCTTTTGACGTGCCCAAATCATTACGGAATTTCTCCATGAGGCGCTGTTAACATGGTGAGGAACACGTTATTGAAATTAATATTCGGACAGCATATACGTACCCGTTGACACAATGCCCAGGCTTCTGCCAGCACAGTAGACTGTTCCTCGGTTAAGTCCACATCGAGCGGAATGTCTTTAAAGACAACAGCACGCTCTGGAAATCTTGCTCCCCATGCCTCAAAAAAGGGATTCCAGAAAGGTTCGTAATTTCTGTTGGCCTTACATTCAAGGAATTGATTGTGGAATGTCGCCATAAACTCGATCTGCTCGGCAGAATATTTGGTGGGTGGTGCCATTGGTAAGATTAGATGTACGTTGCAGGTAATAGCTATTAGTTAGTGTGGCAATGAGATGAAAAATTCACTTCGAGCGTACGATTGTGAACCACATGTGTTTTCGTCCGACTGCTAGAGATGGACCCATTCAGTGCAATGGTAGTATGTACGTAGAGCTTTTATTTATGTTGAAGATTATGAGACAGGCCTTAATTCATGCTTGACTGGCCTCGCGGCGCTAGCACAATGATCCTGCCTGCATTTGAAATATGATATTGGTTGGATGAGTTTTCGTCCTACCAAGACTTGGTGTGATCCTACTGAGACTCAATGTAATTAGGGACCAATTCAGTGCAATGGCAGTCGGACTTTATCTCTGTTGATGATTTCAAGTTACATTTACAATGCTATAACACACGCTGACATGAGACGGGCCTTGATTCAATGCTTGCAAGTTGCAACTGGCCTAGCTTAGCATTGTGATAAGTTTGGCCCATTGAAATATGATATTGAGCGAATGAGTTTTCGTCCTACCAAGACTCAGTGTCACAATGGAGGATCCTTGGTTCTTTTTCTTGAAGACTACCACCACTCTCTACTACAGCTAGTCAAAATGGCCCGTCCAGTTGTTCATAAAACAGCCGAGGCGAAGCTACAAGCTTCGCGTGAAAGGCACCGCCGTCATTATGCAAAGTATGTCATACATTCATTAATTATTTACATCCGTTCCTGACCAATTACATTAAAGACATAGAGATGATATTTTGAAGAGGCGGAGAGTGCTTCGTAGCTCGAAGACAAAGGAATCAAAAGAAGCGAAGAAATTATCCAAAGAGCTCTTGAAGGCTGTCACAAAAGCCTTGCGTTGTAGGGATGATGATGAGTCGGAGTCGGAGTCGGAGTCCAATTCAGATGATGACTCGGAATCAGAAGATGACGAAAATATCAAGCTGTATGTGCATATGTTCAATTTTATAAATAGAAATGAAATGAAACATTAAACTCAATTTCAACAGTGACAATCTTCCAGAATGCTTACGCGTTATCAAGGACATCAAGGACGAAATGCTGGCGATGATCGGCGATGACCCCTGCAAATTTGCTGAGGGAGTCTTTTGCGACTACGTGAAGAGTTTCCCCGAAGACTCTTCCCCCGGTGATATTTCCATCATTGAATCCTCGATTGCGAAGGTCCAAAAGATACTCAACTGGGCCATTCCTGCACAAGATCAAATCTTGAATTTTTGCGGAGTCTCACCTGGCTCTGAGTGGCATGCTGCTGACTCGGTCACCCGTTTCTTAAGGACCGTGCTCGCATATCTAGAGGACATTGAGGGTCTGATTTTCCTTGGAGGAGTTTGCGAGCTCGCACTTGCTCACTCGATGGGGGAGATGATGTATCAGAAAGGCCTCAGAATTTGATTTCTTCCATGTACTCATGTAACGTAGATTTTGTGCACGTAGCGTGTAGTCCATACGAGTTTTTCTTGCGCTGTGTCTAATATACTAGTACTAAGGTCCAGAACGCGAGGCACCGTGTGTTGATAAACAAAGTCATGTGAGGTCATTTTGGTCACGTGTTGTACGCGTCTATGGTTAGTATCGTGTACACCTCATATGAATATACTGAAACTTACACCATACCATCAGGCCAGAACAATACCCGCTGTTTAATCAATCTACTGGTGAAGCCCTTCAACGTGGTCCTGGCAATAATGTAGTACAAGGTAAGTGTAGATATATTTGAAGTCACGGAAGCCTAACATGTAAATTTTCAGAATGATCTGCCATGTCGACAATTTGCATGCTTGGCCACCATTCTAGTATCCTGCCATGACGTGGGCTGCAAAGAAACCAAAGCTGCAAGTTGAGCATTTCATTCAGCCAAGCTCTACACCAGCAGTTAAGTTGATACGGGAATATGTGTTTTCTAATGGACGCACTACTCTACAAACAGGGCATGTTTCACTTGGCGAGGCCGCACTTGAGAGTGAACCAGATGGTTCACTATACGAACCTCACGCCATCCAGGATTGGCCGGACTACAATGATTGGGACGAAGTCTCTCCATTTTGTGATCCTCCGATCATCGCGGGTGACGTTCTGCAGGATAAGCGCAAAGAATATGCTGCAGTAAGTGAAAACATCAATGATATTTACTACACTCATGATTATTTTAGGACAATCTGCTTCTTGTTTGGCTCCTCGACCGCCAATTTTTCCTTGACGAGACCATATTTCTGGAGGGTCGTGGTCACGAAGGCCAGCGCACAGTCTGCCGCTGTGGCAGTGAAATTGAAGAACCCAAGTACCATTGCAGGGACTGTTTCGGCATGGAAATGTACTGTCGACATTGCATTGTTGAGCGCCATCAATCCAGTCCACTGCATGTTATTGAAGTAAGTGTTTCCTACTAGATACATGGTCTACAGTACTAACCTACAAACACAGGAGTGGAACGGCTCTTTTTTCCAGCGCACACACCTCAAGTCCCTTGGTTTACGTGTGCAACTGGGTCATCCTCCCAGTGACCACTGTTACAATCCGCGTCCCTCAACAGGCAATGACTTCATCGTTGTTGACATCAATGGGATCCATGATGTCATGTTAGATTTTTGCGGCTGTCACACTGCCCAACTGCGCTACAAGCAACTATTACGAGTCCGATGGTATCCGGCAACAACGACGGATCCGCAAACAGCTGCAACGTTCAACGTACTCGAGCACTATCAACTGCTGTCATTCGAGTCTAAGATTTCGGCCTACGAATTTTATCACAGCCTAGCCAGGTGCTCCGACAATACTGGATTGTCACCCATCAAGGTAAGTCATAAAATTTCAATTTAATGTATAATATTGATCCTTCTCGACTTGCAGGACCGTTATTCAGCGTTCATGAGGATAGTACATGAGTGGCGTCACCTTCGACAACTCAGGCATAGTGGCCGAGGTCACGACCCTGGTGGCGTCGCAGAAACAAAAGCTGGCGAACTTGCGGTAGTTTGTCCAGCATGCCCCCATGCGGGCAAGAATTTACCCCAAGGTTGGGAGAATTCACCTCCAGCAACGAGGCAAGTTTAAAGTTGATTGTTTGATGAGAATGTCTTGCTCACCCTGGTTGACAGATGGTTGTACGCACTCTTCATCGCTATAGATGCGAATTTCCGTCTCAAGCGGAAGGCTGTCTCCTCCGACCAAGTGGATCCTGGTTTAAATACAGGATGGGCCTATTTTGTGGAGGAGCGTGCATACAAGAGCTACCTATCTGAGCGAGCCAATGAATGACAAGAGGTGTGTATGTAGTCTGGACTGTTGAGGGCCAACATACTTAATGTTTTCTTACTAGCGCAGTACCTGTGTTAGTCATAACGCAGTTAATATGGCTGACACGAAATCTTCGCGAGGCTTGGCAGCTACTGGTATAGGTACCATCGATTGCGCTCGACACGAATTCAAATTGCCAAACGGGGTAGGCGATCTACAAAAAGGCGAAAGGTATGTTTTCTGCTACTTTTTTCACATTCAGCCAGCTGACAGTGTTACAAGGTATTTAAATATGGATTATATCGTTTTTTCGGCCCTTGTTGGATTCACAGTGACCGTGCTAAATATCTCATACGATATAGCCTGTCAATGGTCAAAAAACCTATGGAACAGAATGGAACACATGCCGGCTCGGCTCCATATACCTCGTGACGATGTGCTGGTTCGATATTTCGTACCGAAGTTTCATATCGCAGCCCATATCGCAGCCTGTCAGCTCACATTTTCCTGGAACTTTACCAAGTGGGTAGGTAGGACTGACGGTGAAGCACCAGAACGAGGTTGGGCAAGTGCCAACCGTGTCGCATCTAGCACGAAGGAAATAGGGCCAGGAACTCAATGTGACACCTTAGACGATCACTTCGGTGATTGGAATTGGAAAAAGACGACGACACTTGGTGGGTTTTCATTGTCGAGTATTATGTTTCTCTCACTGATACTTCAGACTCTCAAGGCCGTACATTGAAGCGCAAGATGGAAAACACCATAAAGTGGGAACGGGAACATCGTGTTGCCTTGTATGATTTGGAAGGAACAATTCAGCCTGCACTCACTTCTGGACGAGTGGGGAACAGAAGTCGAGATGTGGGAGGAGGACAACACTCGCCCAAATCCGTTCGAAAGCAAGCTTGCTCGTACGTCACTGCCCACACATTCTATGAATCTGCGCTGATCATCTGCTGTATGTGTAGCTATTACGCAGGCCGCAGTAAGGTCACAGCTTGCAGAATTGGAAGCACAAGAGCTGCGGGAAGGGATCAACCACTCTCTCGACGACAATGTCTCACCTAGCGTCCTCATTAGTGGTGGGATTGAATTAGAAGACTTGCAGTATGTGACGTCTCTCTTTCAACATGTGTCGAGTCATTGTTCAAATCTTATGACAGACAATGGCTCAAACGCGACATTTCAGACCTCTCGCTTCATCCCACAGAAAATCAAAGAGAGGCCATCATTCATAGAACTAATGCACTACATAGACGCATCAATTCCTGGACCCGCTATCAACAACTCTATATGCCTATTGTCTCCATGCTGCGCTCATCAACGAATCCAAGTCCAGGTTCCCCCCAAACACTTAAGCCGCAGGATTTTCCACTCTATCTACCATCAGCTCTCCTCAATCATCTCGACTGCAATCACCGTTTAATGAAGCACGAATGGAAACTTCGGCAGGCACAAGCTCACGATGCCCTCAACGAGCTCCGCTCCCACCTTCGTCTACGTTCGCACATTTACAAATTCAAAGACAAGAACTTACGGGGCCAAGCAGCTTCTACCCGTGCACAAAATCTGATTGCACGCGTTGAAGCAAAGAAAGATGCGGCAGTAGTGAGATACAGGTGCGCTCGTCAAGCGATAGAATCACTAAGCTGTCGGTTGGATGAGATGGGCTGGGAGGCAACACTTCGACCCCTCAGACACGAGGACATTCGGCCTATGGGCGATTTCACAGGTGATCGCACTCAAGGCACCGGGACAATCTCGTGGATCTGGCTGACGACAGATGTCGACACCAGTCCATCCGAGAATGAAAGTGTTCAAGATTGTGAGTGTTTCTGGTTGATGCTATTGACAGCTGACTCAGATTGCTTTATGTAGGTGTTCATATCAAATGGTGCAAGGCACGCGCACGCGCAGCTCGATGGTCCGAGGAAGTAGAGTTGCTGGCTGAAGAAATGAGACGAGTACTGGCCTTTCTGGAATGGCAAGGTTCCTGGTGGCATCAGCGCACAATGCTGTGCTCATCGGAGAAGACTACCGAGCAAGAGGGCTTGCAGGCATATGCCTACCGTCAAGCCGCACTCCGTTCTGCAATGCGGACCTCATTCCAAGCTCGTTGGAGCTTTGTTTCTCATCTCAGTTCTATGAGTTCTACGCCGGCTTCTGAGGATGACAGCGGTCCTTCAATTGACGCACCTCCTGCGGTCATGGAGTTTTGATTTGAACAATACATAGTGTTTGTAGTGTAGCAGCACTCTCAGGCACCACAATACACATATTTTTGCATCCAGGCTTGATCGCAGATTGATCACAGATGCTCGATCTCAGCAAGAGAAGCAAGGCTCAATCGATTAATCTTAGACGGCTCGATCATAGATTGCTCGATCAAATCTCAGGGCACAACATGAGCACAACTTGAGTAGAACACAGTACTATACTCGGACATGGCCAATGGATTGCACTAGGGCCATCGGGAACCTATAGTCTACTGTACAGCGATGTATCACACCACTTGTAGCTCTCCATAATACATGTATCACGAATGTCTTATGGTTGTAGGTAGTGATACATTAATCCTACAGGTACAGGTGTAGAAACGAGACCTTCAACATCATTCAAACCACCATTCCCAGTTTCATTTGACACGGAAGACGGTTCACTGGAGGAAACCGGAAACACATTTCGTCTATACCCAGCAAAGTTTACTCCCGTCGACAATAGCTCATCACCTAACTCATCAGAATCTTCGTTATCATCCATCACTCCAACCAAACCCTCAGTCAAACCCTCAGCCAAGTCAGCACCCTTATACCTACATCAACCTATCCCTGCATTACGGTCATCGCAGCCAGCCTCGAAAACGACGACAATGTCTGACACAGTCAAAGCTATCCCACTGTTCTATGGGGACTATGGGGAGAATGAGAACCCATCAGCATGGTTTGCTCAATTCGAACTATCTCTCCCCATGAACTGGACAGACGCGCAACGAGTCCAACGTTTCGGCATGCAACTGACACCAGGAGAAGCAGCAGAGGAGTGGTACCAAAGCCTGACGTCTAAGCAGCTCAGCTCCTTCGCAGACCTCAAATTGGTGTTCTTCAAATGCTGGCCTCATCCCAAATGCCCTAAGCTAACCAGAGCACAACAGAAGGAGCGCATCATGGCGCAAGTTTTGAAGGAGGAAGAAGTAGGAGAATGGACGCAAGTAGGACGGACGGGCAACTATGCGCACGTAATCTGGGCAATCAACGTCTCGAAACTAGCGTTAGGAATGGGTGATGTTAACGGCGCTATGATCGAATACACCTTAGAAGGCATCCCGAACGTACTGAAAGACCACTTAGAATGCGCATACACTACCTGGGAAGAATTCGTTGAAGACATTCAGAAGGTTCCGAATGTGAAGCTCAAACGTAGCAGAGAGGACCTTGAGAAGAATCGAGCCCGAGACGCGGAGATAGCCAAACTCAAAGCCCAGAACTCTCCCTCCCCACTACTTCTATCGCAACAATTTGCACAGATGTCAATACCCGCGCAACAAACAGTACCCACATCATATTGTTCGACACCACGGATGTTCAATCCCAACATGTCAACGTCGACATTCCCCCCAGTAACCACGCAACCAATGTTCAATGTAGGACCATTCATGACGCCACGTAATGGACCTCCGGTGTACAACGGAACCAGAGGAGCATTCCCTCCACGTACACCACTTACAAGGGCACAGATACTGGAAAGAACAGCGTTGGTACCGCAGAGACCCAATACTGAAGCAGGAATGCGCCAATACGAAGGCGATGTAGACTTATGGCACCACACATATGGTACAGATGGGATGACAACCTTAGACCGCCCATACCCTCTAAGACCAGGAACCGCGCTAGTGGGTTCAGGAGAATGCTATAACTGTGGGATGGTTACGGAGCCGACCCACCTAAGCTCACAATGCACGACGTCAAGTCCATTACGTCCACATGAGACTAAATGGCGTCAACAAGTTGCAGGAATGTTACGATGTGCAATGTTGCAACAAGGAGCACGGTCCTCATATGGCACTCCAGTTCAATATGTCACACCGACGAACCAGCCACTCTATCAATCGTACGGTAACCACTACATGCAACCAGTATATCACATCACCCCGCAGGAGGAGCAAAGTTGGGGTGAACAGAACGATGCATGGGGAATGCAGGAACCAGGGTATGAGTGGGGATCGGAAAATTATGGAGGGGTACTGCAGACGCCGGACCAGCAGTAACCCCACAGGTATCATGTCCGCATTTCGATTCATCTCACGTACTACATTTGAACTCTCATATTTCTCCCATATCTCAAGCAGAAGCACAAGAAGCCCTTAGTACTGTACATACTATGGACACACTCGCTATCTCTACCGATTCACTCTCTCCTATCTCTAAAGCTGACACGCAACCAGTCAGCACCTTTTCACTTTCAGATTCCTTCTTCTCTTCAAATACGGACGCAGAGACACCAGCAGATGAGCTGCAGTCGATTACGAGTCCGGTTGTACCTTTTTCTATGCTTGATAATCACATTACTGATGTTTATTTGGTGGATGCGTCGGGAAAATCAATCCGAAAGCAAATTAGTAACCTGTTTCTAACAGTACCTCAACTACACAGACCACAAGGGGAGAAAGTACGAATCCTAGCCATCGTTGACAATGGTGCTATGATCAACGCCATGGACACAGCGGCACATCAGAGGATCGCACAAAGATTAACACCACTAAGTCCATCTTCCAGAACGCTTTGTATGGCTGACGGTTCTCTAGTACCATCGACAGGCATATGGACAGGGACTGTCTCATGGGGACCCATCAACGTACATACATCCTTCGAAGTCTTCCCCAGCGGAGGATCCTGGCGTATGCTAATTGGAAAACCATTGTTAGAGCAAGTCCATGCAATTCAAGACTATGGCAATGATGCCATAATGCTCCCACACGGTAATAATTTCTATCAAGTTTCAAACTTTGTAACATACCGTCCGCTACCAACTCCATGTCTACCATCAGCTATTCGATTCCTGTCTATCACTAATTTCAATCAACAGTCTACACCTTCCTTATCCCTCAGTTTAACAGACTCAAATAATACTAACACTTCATACATACAAACTATAGCACCAACACCTAACTTATATCATATAACAACTAATACGGACATCCCTCCTAATTATTCAATTGCAGAATCGGCCGCAGAAGAGAAGATACAGTCAATCCTCGAAGTCGAAGATCCAGAGCAGCTGACACATATAGGTGAAGTGCCGGATCTTTCATCCTCGATGCTACCGAGTAATACATTCACTAGATTGACGGAACGTGGACCCTTCTGGCCGGCGAGAGTGGAAGCCGTAGTAAATTCGGTTCGGTATGGAACTCAACTCACGGAAGATCAACGGGACAAGGCACGGACACTAATAGCGGAATTCGCGGATGTCTTTGCATTATCAGTGCGAGAGGTAAAGCCAGTAGACTTTATCAAGTTTCATTTACAGATCCCACCGGGTACAACCTTCACCAAGAAGATACAGCAGAGACCTCTGACAAAGCCACAACGCGAATATCTGTTCCCAGTACTGGAAGATATGCGAGACGCAGGAATAACACGATTCATCAAATTGGACGAGGTCAAGGCTGTCGCATCAACGGTTTTGGTACAGAAAGCACACTCTGGTACAAGCCTATCCATGGAGGATATACGACGGATTGTAAATAAGCAATGCATTGAATTGGGTGAGCCTTCAGATCCAGAAATTGACCTAGACTCAGCACCTCTAGTCGCACCAGAACCTGTGGACACCTCGAAGATTAAGTGGCGCATATGCCAGAACTTCAACGACGTCAATAAAGTATCAGAAGTCGCTCCAACTCCACAGGGGGACATTGCAGCAAAACAGCAGCGTTTAGCAGGACACAAGTACATATGTGTACTTGATTTCGCAGCTGGGTTCTACGCAATCCCAGTAGAAGAAGAAAGCCAACCATACTTATGCTTCTATACGGAAGGACGAGGGTATGAACCATACTGCCGGATGCCAATGGGTGTTCACGGTGCGCCGTCATGTTTTAGCGATCTCACAGCTCAAGCGTTACATGACATCTTGGTCAAGCTAATGATGGAATTATATGTAGATGACGGCGCAGTAGCAGGAAATGACTTTGATGAGTTGTTGAATCGCTTACGTGCGTTTTTCATTAGATGTCGAGAACGGAGCCTATCAATATCGCCAACAAAAACACAGCTGTTCATGAACGAGGTTATCTTTGGAGGAGCACGAGTAGGGCAAGAAGGAATACGTCCAGACCTGGCAAAGATGGCGGCAGTCGCTGAGTGGCCAATCCCTCAGAATCTTCTAGAACTGATGCGCTTCCTAGGCCTTACTGGTTATTTCAGATCGCTCATCAAGGACTACGCACGCATCGCAGCCCCACTCACGGATATGCTACGTAACCTGGATATGCCAACAAGTACTATGAAGGTAAAGAAGAGCAAGTACAGACAGTTCCTACGAGAACGTAAGCTCGAGAACTTTTGGGAACAACGTCACACACGAGCCTTCTTGAAACTCAAGCAAACCCTCATAACGGAACCGGTACTACGGGCACCCAAGTTCGATGGGTCCCCGTTCATCATTACCAGCGATGGATGCAAAGATGGATTTGGCGCAGTCCTAGCGCAACGATTCACGACACGGAATGATGCAGGGGAAACAACGACCAGAGTACACCCAATTGCATTTGCATCCAAGCGAATGTCACCATCGGAAGAACGATATAAGCCGTACTTACTAGAATTCGCAGCTCTAAAGTACGCGTTCGATCAATTTGGCGGGACTATCTGGGGTTTTCCAGTCGAAGTCGAAACAGACTGCATTGCACTACGAGACACATTATTGAGCGACAAACCATCGACAGTACACGCTCAATGGCGAGATGGAATCATCGCGTACCAAATAACAGATGTCCGGCATCGCTCTGGGATAAGTAACACAGCGGCGGATGCACTGAGCCGCCGAATGTCAGGATACCCAAGAGCTGATGGAGATGGGAGCGCATGGACAGTCAATGAGGACTGGGAAAGTGCGCATGGCCTGGTGAACGATTTATTCGTTTTACAAACAACTGAACCTACCCTTGAATCCCTAGTACCAGACCTTCGCAAACGGTTCAAGGAGGAGCCGCTCTTTCTAGACGTAGTCGATGCGTTACTCAATATCAACAGCGACAAACCAGAACAGGAGAGAAGGAGAGCACAACATCGCGCCCTAGGATATATGATTGAAGACGGCCGGTTATGGCGCATCGCGGATGGTAAGAACACGCGTGCGAGATCACGCATGGAATGCATATCACAAAAAGAGGCTATAGCATTAGCATAGGAAGTACACGCTACTAACGGACATTGGGGGAGAGACCTCACAAAGTTACAGCTCATGGAACGCATTGCTAGCCCGCATCTAGACCGCTCCATCATAAGAGCACTACTTGAATGCCCGCAATGCAAGAACTTCGGCTCGGCTCAATTGCATGCGCTAATGTACCCAATTACACGACGTCACCCATTTGAATTGCTAGTCGCGGACTACTTGTGCCTTCCGAAAGGTAAAGGTGGATTCAGTAATGTTTTGCTCATTCTAGATACCTACTCTCAATATGTTTGGGGCTTCAAGTTGAGGACGCACGGTAATGCAAAAACCACAATCGCAGGGCTAGAGACAGTTGCCCACATATTCCGGGCACCAGAGACGTTCATGACCGACGGAGGATCACACTTCGATAACGGAGAAGTAAGAGCATGGTGCGCCGCACACAATACAATGCACCACGTTGTAGCAGCCTACTCTCCGTGGGTTAACGGACTCGTGGAGAACGCGAATGGGAAGTTGCTGGGCCGATTGAAGCGACTATGCAGTCCAGAGTTAGGAGAGGATGAGTATGAGAGAGCAAAGACAGAAGACCTCACCAGATCATGGCCGGAACACTTCGACACAGCAATCCGTCAATTGAATGAACGCATCGTGCCAGCGTTCAAATTCTCGCCCAAAGAGCTACTACTCGGACTGGTAGTCAATACCATTCCCAACACCGCCATAGACGCAAGCACAGCACCAAGTACGTCGGACGTCGACGTCCACATGGCATACGTGGAGCAACAACGGCTGGACGGCGCGAATCAAGCGACGGCACATGCAACAAGACGGAAGGCCGCGTTCGACAAAAGAGTTATGCAATCGCGCGCAGGGGAAGTCGTGTTTGAGCCAGGACAGTTAGTCCAAGTGTATGCAAATGCACTGGATATGACAGTATCAAACGCAAGGAAACTTACCCCGAAATGGTCAGCGCCCAGACGAATCATCTCCAAACTCGGCAACTCGTATACCCTAACGTCCCTCGAAGGGTTTCCCCTCCACAGACTATTCCATGCACGGCGCCTTCGTCGATTCATACCGCGAGACGGCACAGAATTGGCCGCACTTCAAGCGATGCTGTCGAGCGAAGAAGTAGAGAACGACGCAGAAGCAGATGGAGTATGGGCCAATATCCAGGAAGAGATGGAACATTGGGAACAGGCAGTAGAGACGAGGAATGAAGACGGCGAAGATGACGAAGAAGAACCAAGTGATGGTCGGATGCAGAGTGCGGCCCCGGAGGGACGCATTTAGAGGGGGGGGCAAATGTAGTGGGAGCGCTGTGAGGGGTTAGCCGGCGGGAGCAGGTGTTAGGTCAGAGAGAGCAGGTAGCGCAGGCAGAGCTGGTGTCAGGGGTCTCGGGTGTTCGGGGTCCAAGAGTAGCATGTAGTTAGGACGCGCGTGGCTTAGACAAGACAAGCATCTTGGGTTCCTGTCCTCTTCAGAGCGCTAGGCTGGCGTCTCCAGCATTCAGGCTGGTTCAAGCACCACACGACAAGTTCTCTTCGCAAACTGCGTACTAATGTCAACCTTCTATGGCACATCAAGCTTTCAAGCTCCACCCTGCACGTCCGCCGGCGTAGTAATTGTTTGAAATAGTATTCTATCACTTGTGCGTACCTAAATTCTCGTCTACATCTAGTCTTATAACAATTTGCAATAGAGCACACTCCAAATGTCTTTGAACATTCCCTTAAAGTAATGCCCTTACTATCACCACTTCTTGCACGCACGTTCCAAGTTCAAAATTCTAAATCAATCCAATGTCGAAAACATTCTGGCCACACACCAGCTACATCGAGAGATCCACCTTGACCTCGCTATCACGTCCGCAGCCTGACCTCAAGGAGCAGATGCTCGACTCCCGCACTATGATATTGCTGGTGCTGGTGCATTCCTAGGTGCGTCACTTCTCACCGTTTTGAACCACGTCAACAAGCTGTTTTATGTAGTTAGCACCTTGGATTCTTTCAAATTCCCCTGACTCCACAGAGGCGCTGGGTCTCAAGTGAGGAACCATGTTCTTCATATCACAAATGTTCAACACGGTACTTGTATCTCCAAGTAGTGCTTTAGCACCAATCCTAAACACATCCATAATCATATCCGTATTTCTACCTCGACGAACAAAGAAGAGAGGCAAGCTCCTCCATAAGCGTTAACCAACTTCAGCCTCCTCAAGACTCATCAAGTATGCTTCACATATTAAGACACGTATGCATGAACGTGCTTCGGCCGCCGCACACCTTGTGATCATCTTGAATGGATCATCATCTGTAGGCCAGTTGGCATGAGTCAGCTGAGAAAACAAGGTAGCAGTCCGTAGGACATTAAATGAGGCAAGAAGATGAATCCGGTACGAATTGCTGAGGAACTGAAGCAGTGCGCTGTCACTCGGCTATCCTCACGCGCACTGCCCAAGCAATCATATGAACGATTGTCATCACACAGAAAAGAAGGACCAGTGGTCGGTGCAAGTGTGCATGCGTGGGCAGCTAGCGCCGGTAGAGATATTCATCGATTTAAACATTGTCAGCACGTATAGCAAATCACTTGACTAAATAATACGACGAAAACTTTATGTCTCCTTGAAATCTACTTTGGAACACCAAATAACTTCGATCAATACTGCAAGAAAGTGAGATTAAATAAAAGCAAATTCCCCTGCTCTTTGGAGGGCACTAGACAATCGGTGACTGCACCGAGTATCACACACCACTACCAGTCGATATTTCCACGCGCTCTTGGAAAGCGATTGAGCTCATACCAGTTGCTACGTCAGAATCGGCCACGAGCTTGGCGTGGTATTCTCGAACACCAAGGATCAGGCGCGGTCCCAACACAAACATCTGTACGACCCCAAAAATCTGAAGAAACCCAGCAATAATCTGAGGGGCCAAGGAAATACTCTATAGAAACGATAAATTGTTGTAGCGTGCATAGGCAAGTGAAAGATTGACATACCGTGAAGAATGTTGGATAGAAATTGAGAATGAGATGGGAGCAAGAAACAGCAACAAAGCTACCACATCCGACCCTTCAGTGGAAAGAAGGAACAATGATCACAATGAGCTTACCTCGCAAAGTAAACGATGTGAGTTCTCATCAACACCGTGAAACAGTCCTCCATAATCCCTCCTGTCGAATGTTGTTGCAGTTCACGGAAATGTCTTACCACAATCCAGACTGCGAGACATAGCGTGAGGACCTCCCACGCGGTGGTGAGTATCCAAGTAATGGAATTGAGAAATATGATGTCTTCCATAGAAGCATTAATCTGGCACTGATAAGTGCCAGAGAGAATGAGTTCCTCTGGTATCAATGAGCCGAATGCACGTTTATTTTCATTCACAATTAAATGCACCTCCTGAAGTATGCATCGTTGTCGTTATGGCGACTACTCCGTCGAAAATGTTGTTAGCCAGGAAGGTGACAATGAGAAATATCAGGATCTTTCTGGATCCTTGATACATCGCATGCAACCGAGTGATGATGATGACTTGCAGCATGTTTCAGTCAAGTCAATATCACTGAGGTCTCGCAAGTGCAAAGCTCACCCCACAGCATCGCAGATACTACAACACCCGTCCAATTGCATATAACGTAGATAATCCAGCCTGATGAATCCAGTCAATGACCAGCCTCGGGTAGCAAATGCTCCAAACCGACTCACATCTGTGGCAGTATAGTAATATGGCAGTCATTAGTAAACCAAGAAGTTAGTGAAGAACCGCACCCACTGCTACAGGGTGCCACGGGTTAATTGGAGGGGAATAACAATAGGCATCTGTGCAGAAGACTCACTCTGTCTGTCAGCCAGATGGTCAGAACACTGCCTGAATTCCGTTGGTTAAAAGAAGAGAAGACAGCGAATGTACTGAGTAGACATACTAAATATGCACAGTCTAATTATGAGAGATAGAAGATTAGCACAACACTGATCATGTAGCCTTCTGAACATACGCAGAAAATAAGATTCCAAGGTAACGCGCCTAGGATACTCTCAAGTAAGCACAGCATGGCAACCACGACAAATAAGCTACATACACCAAGATACAAAGCTGTCATTATGGACCATCGTTGTCTCTGGAATCAAGTGTTTTCATGTGTTCCTTTCATACCAGACTTTACTCACCCAGATCAATTCTACCTATAAAGCCATTCTCAGCGAGATGGCTGCTCCGGTCATACCATCGACATACCTCTTGTCCGAATGTAAGTGCTGAAAATATTCGTAAGACGTCAGCAGTCTTTTAATGTTATCATGCTCACACCAATCATACATGACTGCAACAAAGGCGGTGACTGCGAAACAAAAGCCAAGGTTAGATTGTGTCAGCTTTAACATCCGACTGCTCTCCATGAACCTACAAAATAGCTGTAAAAACGATATGCATGGATGAGCGGCCACCAAGTGGGATCATTTGAGATTATGGTCATATTGGTAGATAATAGGGTGGGTGAGAGGCAAACTTGGTGGACGTAAGACGATGGCATTCGTGCCAGTTATACCATCATCCGGTACTTAGATCGGCGAAACGAGATCGGGAGATGATGACCGTTCCTGCTTTGGTTGGTCGAAGTGGATATTTTGCATGAGGAAGGACAAATTAATCCAGGGGATCATAGTAGATGTTGGTCGTAAAAAATCCGAACGAATGAAAGACTTAAACTCCGCAAAAGATCGGACAACATCAAGAACTGTTCGTGATCTTGTCGCCTTGGTTTTCATGCCATTCTGGAGATGTTTTTGCTACACGTGCATCAGTTCATCAATGAAATTAAATACTATTTCATCTGTTTGGCATATGCTGAGCATGGTGCGACCATCGGAAAACCTGTCATTGCCTCGCCAGCACCGGCCCGGGGACATGACACCTCCGAGTCATTCAAGGTCACTCAACAAATGCACATTTGCGTCAACATGACGCCCGACCAGAAAAGTCAGCCGTCAAAAATAGCGGAGATTGACACAATATAAACAAATTCGCATCTTACCCTGTGTGCCGATACCACCCTGCTTCATTGTCTCATCTCGTCCCTAGGTCATCTGTCGCTTCATGCGCACGCTCTTGCTCTCCGCCTCAGAAATTGGGCCATTGTATGATCTGGATACCAGAAATGGTCAGCCCAGAATATTTGATTTGTATCGTGGTCCGTGGAGTTGGTGCGGTGATAAGAGGTATCAGGTTTCACCAGACTTCCTCCTGGTTGAGATTCCGTGATTGATGTATGATGAAGTATTGAGAGAGAAAATGAGAGAAAATGACAGCTCGGATGCACAATGGCTGAAGGCGATGATATTCTGTTGGCACACCATCAGAAATCTAGAGATTTGAAGAAGTCGAAGGAATCACTCACCGAAACATGCGGCTGCCAATGCACACCGTCAATATTTATTCCAATGACAACCAATCCAACACATGCCACACTTAATCATCATGCAGTTGATGCCCTTCTGTTGAGTCACGCTTTCGTAGGGTAGCCTAAGTGGAAATGTGGATTGGAACACCGTCTGTATTTCGCATGAACCAGCTACTATAACGACGCCCGAGATAACACCGACACATCAGAATTCCAACTGATGATCAACATTCGAGACTTGAGGATTCTCGTGGCGTTAGAGCCTTTCCATGCTAACAGATTACACAAAGCCGGTTCTGTATGGGTTTGCTTGGCGAAAAACGATCGAAAAAGGATGGGACACTCACTGGGAATGTACATGTGCCGTGAATAAGAGTCGAGCAGCTGTACAATTTCATCGGGTGGCCTTGGTTCGACATTGAAAGAGCAGGATGTCATGGCTGAGGGTTAAGGCCTAGGAATAAGTACTTGCTTTAATTTCTGGGGATCTGGCGTACCCAAGTGCAGACCGTGCGAATGATATACAATATCGCACTAGTCGTTAGCTGGTTTATAATGTATAATGATTTATATAGTGGGCATTGTCATTTGGGAACAAGAATATATCAGATCTGAGCAACCCGATCGCGAACTAGACGAGAGCAGTGGAGAATAATATTAATGTCGTCGATTTGACAGGCGATGTACGGAGTTTGAAATTTACAGCCTGCCCGACCTGCGTTCGTGCTCAGTTTGCCTCTGTTACTTTGTTTGAAAGGTTTTATCACAGATCTTGCGTGCCTGAAGTCTTCTGAATGGTAATTTCCCTCCCATGCACACATGTTCTTATGACAATTCGCAATGCAACACAATTCAAAGATCGATCATGGAACATTCCCTTCGAATTCGATACCCCAGCCTAGTACCACCACAACCTAACGCACGTACTTTCCAAATCCAAAAACCTAAATCAAGGCCCCATCGTCGATTTCATTTTGAAGACATCTTGGCCTCATCCACGTAATCGCTTTTCAAGCCCTGCTACATCCCAGAGGCAGTCTCTACCACCACTCAGCTACTTTGAGAGATCGACCGTTCCCTGTCTCGAACTTGCTGTCACATCCACCACTTGAAATCAAACAACAGATGCTCGACTCTTGCACTGTCGCTGGTGCTGGTACCTGCATGTCCGTTCCTAGGTGCATCATATCAACAAGCCGTGTTATGTCTGGTGTACCACGCTCAGACGTTAGTATCCTGGATTGCTTTGACTCCCCAGAGGCGCTGGGTCTCGGCTACAAAAAGCAGGCAGAAGCACTCAAACTTACTACTGGTGGCCTTTATATCACGATGATACATGTGTCCCCCGATAATACTTCTGTAATGATGCTAGACGCAATCCAGCCAGTTGGCATGAGTCAGCTGAGAAGGACGTTGAATGAGCGAGGCGAGAAGATAAATCGAGGACAGGTTGTTGAGGAACTGAGACTATGCACTGTTGCTCAACTTGGCTCTCGCGTCCTCATTTGCCTAAGCAATTGCGTGAATGATCAGATCGATCATTATCAGACAGAGGAAAGAAGAACCAATGGTTGGTGCAAGTGTGGGTGGACAGTTGGTCCCAGCATAGATATTCAGGATGTTCATTTTAACATTGTCAGTACGTATAGCAAATCACTTGACTAAATAATACGACGAAAACTTTGTATGTCTCTTTGAAATCTACTTCGGAACTTCGATCAATACCTTCAAGAAAGTGGTAATAAATAAAAGCAAATTTCCCTGCTCTTTGGAGGGCACCAGACAACCGTTAACTCCACCGATTATCATACACCACTACCAGTCGATATTTCCACGCGCTCCTGGAAAGCGATTGAGGTCATACCAGTTGCGACGTCAGAATCGGCCACGAGTTTAGCGTGGTATTCCCGAATACCAAGGATCAGGCGCAGTCCCAACACAAATAGCTGCACAACCTTCACAATCTGAAGAAACCCAGAAATAATCTGAGGGGCCAGGGAAGTGCTCTGTAGAAACGATAAATTGTGGTAGCGTGCATAGGCAAGTGAAAGATTGACATACCGTGGAGAATGTTGGATAGAAATCAAGAATGAGAGAGAAGCAAGAAACAGCAACAAAGCTACCACGTCCAACCCGTCAGTGGAAAAAAGGAACAATAATCACAATATGAGCTTACCCCGCAAAGTAAACCACATGAGTTTTCATCAACACCGTGAAACAGTCCTCAATAATCCCTCCTACCGGATGTTGTCGTATTTCACGGAAGTGTTTTACCGCAATCCAGGCTGCGAGACATAGCACGAGGACCTCCCATACAGTGCCGAGCATCCAAGTAATAGAAGCCAGAAGTGTGATATTATGCGCGTAGTCAAGCTGACACTGATAAGTGCCGGAGAGAATGAGTTCCCCTGGTATCAATGAGTCTCATGCACATTTATTTTCATTCACAATTAAACGCACCCCCTGAAGTATGCATCGTTATCATTATAGTGACCACTGCACCGAAACTGTTGACAGCCAGGAAGGTGACAATGAGAAATATCAGGATCTTTATGGATCCTTGATACATTGCATGCAACCGAGCGATGATGATGACTTGTGGCATGGTTCAGTCAAGTCAATATCACTGAGGTATCGCAAGTGCAAAGCTCACCGCACAGCATCGCAATTACCACAACACGCGTCCAATTCAATACGACGCAGATAACGAAGCCTGACGAATCCGGTCAGCGACCAGCCTCGGGTAGCCCACACTCCAAACAGACTCACATCTGTTGCAGTATAGCGTGGCAGTCATTAGTGAACAAAGAAGTGAGCAAAGAACCACACCCACTGCTACAGTGCGCCACAGTCAATCGGATGGGAATAGTAATAGGCATCTGTGCAGAAGACTCACTGTATCTGTCAGCGAGATGGTCGGAACACTGTCTGAATGCGTTATTCAGAAGAAGTAAAGACAGTGAATGCACTAAGGGGACATACACACAATGGTCAGGCTGGTTATGATAGATAGACGATTAGCACAACACCGATTGTGTAGCCTTCCGGACATATGCAGCGTATAAGATCCCAAGGTAACGCACCTAGGACACTTTCAAGTCAGCACAACATGGCAACCGCGACAAACAAGCCACATACACCGAGATACAGAACTGTCATTACGGACCATCGTTGTCTCTGGAATCAAGCGTATTTTCATGCGTGTTCCTCTGACACCAGACTCTACTCACCCAGATCAATTCAACCTATAAAACCATTCTCAGCGAGATGGCCGTTCCAGTCATATCATCAACATACCTCTTGTCCAAATGTGAGTGCTGAAAATAATCGTAAGACGTCAGCAGTCTTTTAATGTTATCATGCTCACCCCAATCATACATCACTGCAACAAAGGCGGCGACTGCGAAACAAAAGCCAAGGTGAGATTGTGTCAGCTTCAACATCCGACTGCTCTCCACGAACCTAAAAAATAGCTGCCCAAACGAGCTATATTGATGGCTGACCACCAAGTGGGATCATTGGAGACTACGGTCATATTGGTAGAGAATAGGTGTGGGTGGGAGGCGAACTTGGTGGACGTAAGATGATGACATTCGTGCTAGTTATACCACCATCCGGTATGTAGATCAGCGAAATGAGATCGGGAGATGATGACCGTTCCTGCTTCGATTGGTCGAAGTGGATATTTTTTGCATGAAGAAAGATAAATCGATACATGGGATCATAGTAGATGTTGGTCGTAAAACATCTGAACGACCGAAACACTTGAACTCCGTGAAAGATCGAACAACATCAAGAACTTTTCGTGATCTTGTCGCCTTGTTTCCGATGCTATTCTCGAGATGTTTTTGCTACACGTGCATCAGTTCATTAATGCAACCAAGTGTTACTTCATCTGTTTGATACATACTGATCACGGTGCGACCATCGGAAAGCCTTGCATCTCATCTCTATTCGCCTCTCTTGCACAAGCCCGGGGAGCATAACAGCTCATCAAAGGTCACTCAGCAAATGCACATTGCGTCGGCAAGACACCGGAACAGAAAAATCAGCCGTTAAATCGCACGAAGAAGTAAATTCGCACCCTACTCCGGCCACCAATACCTCCCCAGTGAGCATAGGTCTCGATGTCTCATCTCACCCTTAGGTCTGTCGCTTCATGCGCACCCTCTCGCTCTCTGCCTCGAAAATTGGGTTACCGTATCATTTGGATGTCAGAATTGGTGAGCTCACAATGTATGATTTGTATCGTGGAGTTGGTGCGGTGGCACTGCGTTTCACCAGGGTTGTGAGATTCTGTGATTGATGTAAGATGAAGATACAACATCACCCCTATATCAAAAGAGCGCTGAGAGAGAAGATGAGAGAAACCGGTGCTCAGATGCACAATGGCTGAAGGCGATAACATTCTGTTGGGACACCATCAGAAAGTTGGTGATTTGAAGAAGTTGAGGGAATGACTCACCGGGTCATACAGGTACCAATGCACATCAGCGCTAAAAACCGATCCAAAATGTGCCACATTGAATCCATCATGCATTTGATGCCCTTCTGTTGACTCACACATTCGTAGGGTAGCCTGAGTGGGTTAATGTGGATTGGAACGCCGTCTATATTTCGCATGAACCAGCTACTATAACAACGCCCGAGACTGCACCGACACCTCAAAACTCTGACTGACGATCAGGATTCGAAACTTGAGAATTCATGTAGCGTTAGAGCCCTTGCATGCCAACCAATTATACAAAGCCGGTTCTATATGGGTTTGCTGAGCGAAAATAATTGAAAAAAGAAGGGATGTTCACCGTGGATGTAGACTTGCTGTGAACAAGCTGTATGATTTCATCAGGTGGTCTTTTAACAAGTGTGATGCCAGTACGTACTTCAATTTGGAGCACTGGGGATGCTGGCGTCCCCAGTCGAGCAGCCTCAGCGCGAACTAGTAGAGAGTCTAGACTCCAGTCTGATCGATCTTGACAAGCTTGACACGGTATTTGAAATTTGCAGCCTGTCCACGCGTATCTAAAGTCTAATTGACGTGCTTTGTTTTGAAATGTTTTATCACTCTCGGCTTCCAACCATCCGTCTTCGACTTGCAATTTTCGGACTCGACTGTCACCAACACTACTTACTCAGTCCTCCGCAGCCACTCCCATCACTTTCTATAGCACTCACGAACCTGGTGGCTTGTTCGTGCTAGTCACGCTCCAACGTGCTCAGAGCCATTCGTGTCATATTGTATCACTTGTGCGTACTGAAATTCTCATTCAGTCTATTCTTATAACAATTTTCAATACACCACACTTCGAACATCTCCTTCCCATCGAATCTCCCAGCTAGTGTCACCGCGACTTATGATGTTCTCGCACGCATATTCCAAATCTCAAATCCTCAATCAATCTGTCGAATCTCGATGGTGACATGTTGACATCTTGGCCGCATACCAGCAGCTACATCGAAAAATCTCACTATCACGTCCACAGCCTGACCTCAAGTAGCAGATGTTTGACTCCTGCACTATTGCCGGTGCTGGTGCCTTCATGTCCGTTCCTAGGTGCGTCCCTTGTCGCCGTTTTGAACCACGTCAACAAGCTGTTCTATGTTTCGTGTCCCGTTAGCACCCTGGATTCCTACAAATTCCCTTGACTTCACATAGGCGCTGGGTCTCAGCTGAAGGATCACGGCCTTCATATCACAATGTTTAACAGGGTACATGTATCCCCCAGTAGTGCTTCAGCAACAACCTTACACATATTTATATTTGTATCCGTATGTCCACGGCGAACGAAAGTGGAAGGGAGGATCCTCCACAAGCATTAACCAACTTCAACCTCTTCAAGACTAATCAAGTACGCCTCGCATCATTAAGCTACGCATGCATGAACCACCTTGTAATTACCTTGAATGCATCATCTGTCGGCCACTTGTCGTGAGTCAGCTGAAACAAAAACAAGGTAGCAGTTCATAGGACATTGCATGAGGCGAGAAGATGAATCGAGTATGAATTGCTGAGGAACTGAAGCAGTGTGCTGTCCCTCGACTTTCCCCTCGCGCGCTGCCTAAGCAATCATATGAATGATTGTCATCGTACAGAGAAAATAAGAACCGCAAGTCTGCGTGGGCAGCTGGTGCCAGTAGAGATATTTAAATATTATCAACACGTATAGCAAATCACTTGACTGAATAATACGACGAAAATTTTGCATGTCTCCTTGAAAACTACTTCGGAACACAAATCAATACCTTCAAGAAAGTGGTAATAAATAAAAGCAAATTTCCCTGCTCTTTAGAGAGCACCAGACAACCGTTAACTCCACCGATTATCACACACCATTGCCAGTCGATATATGCACCCGCTCCTGGAAAGCGATTGAGATCATACCAGTTGCTGCGTCAGAATCGGCCACGAGCTTAGCGTGGTATTCTCGAACACCAAGGATCAGGCGCGGTCCCAACACAAACATCTGCACGGCCTCCAAAATCTGAATAAACCCAGAAATAATCTGAGGGACCAGGGAAGTGCTCTATAGAAACGATAAATTGTGGTAGCGTGCATAGGCAAGTGAAAGATTGACATACCATTAATAATGTCGGAGAGAAAATAACAATGAGCTCGATGCAAGAAACAGCAACAAAGCTACCACAGCCGGCTCGTCAGTGGAAAAGCAACAATAATCACAATATGAGCTTACCTCGCAAAGTAAAGTGCATGAGTTTTTATCAACACCGTGAAACAGTCCTCGATAATCCCTCCTGCCGAATGTTGTCGCAGTTCACGGAAGTGTTTTACCACAATCCAGACAGCGAGACACAGCGCGATGACCTCCCATACAGTGCCAAGCATCCAAGTAATCGAATCCAGGAGTGGGATGTCTTTCGGATAGTTAAACTGGCACTGATAAGTGCCAGAGAGAATGAGTTCCTCTGGTAACCATCAATGAGCCCAATGCACGTTTATTTTCATTCACAATTAAACGCACCCCCTGACGTATCCATCGTTGCCATTATGATGGTCACTGCATCGAAAGTGTTGATAGCCAGGAAGGTGACAATGAGAAACATCAAGATCTTTCTGGATCCTTGATACATGGCATGCAACCAAGCGATGATGATGACTTGCACCATGTTTCAGTCAAGTCAATATCACTGATGTCTCGCAAGTGCAAAGCTCACCCCACAGCATCGCAAATACCACAACATTAGTCCAATCCAATGCGGTGTACATAATCCAGCCTGACGAATCCAGTCAGTGATCGGCCTCGGGTAGCACACACTTCAAACAGACTCACATCTGTTCCAGTATAGCGTTGTAGTCATTAGTGAACCAAGAAGTTAGCAAAGATCTACACCCACTGCTACAGGGCACCACGGTTAATTGGAGGGGAATGACAAGCATCTGTGCAGAAGACTCACTGTATCTGTCAGCGAGATGGTCGGAACACTCGCTGTATGCTGTTGGTCAGAAGAAGCAAAGACAAAGACAGTGAATGCACTAAAGAGACATACTCAGCATGTACAGGCTGATTGTGAGAGATAGACGATTAGCACAACACCGATTGTGTAGCCTTCCGAACGTACGCAGCGAATAAGATTCCAAGGTAGCGCACCTAGGATACTTTCAAGTCAGTACAACATGCGACTGTAACGAACAAGCTACAAACACTGAGATACATAACTGTCATTAAGGACCAGCGTTGTTTCTGGAATCAAGTGGTATGTTCATGCGTGTTCGGTGTTCCTCTGACGCCAGACTCTGCTCACCCAGATCAACTCCACCTATAAAGCCATTCTCAGCGAGATGGCTGCTCCGGTCATACTATCGACATACCTCTTGTCCGAATGTAAGTGCTGAAAATAATCGTTAGACGTCAGAAGTCTTTTAATGTTATCAGGCTCACCCCAATCATACACCACTGCAACAAAGGCGGCGACTGCGAAACCACAGCCAAGGTTACATTGAGTCAGCTTCAACATCTGACTGCTCTCCACGAACCTGAAAAATAGCTAGTCAAACGATATGAAATGATGGCCGGCCACCAACTGGGATCATTTGATACTACAGTCATATTGGTAGAGAATGGGTGTCGATGGAGGCAAACTTGGTAGATGTATGTCAATAACATTCGCAGTATCATATATATGTATACCGTTATCCAGTGCGAAATGAGATCAAGGGGTGAATCTGTGCAATCCACGTGGATCAAGCGGTTGCATGATCGTCATCAGGCCGTCGTATCATAAGGATGTTAATCAAAACAAGTACCAATGCAGAACCTTCAATTTGCAACGTGGATGTGTTGCAGTCGACGAGCCGCTGGTAACGTTCACTTGTCAGGTGGAGTTCTCGTACTCCTTATGTATAGAAAATTTGATTCCAGCTTGGAACTTTGGAGGTTAGGAGATGCCTAGAGCGTTAACTCTTCGCAGCAGACGAGTACGAGATTCTGAGGCACAACAACTTGTTAACATATATGTGGAGACAACTTGAAGAAAGGCAAACACACCTATTACACGTGTACTAGTGAAGAACGTTAAGTCAATAGTAGTGAGACGGTCACGGTATGTAATTAATGAGGCCTGAGGAATTAGTCATATCACTCGAAATCAATATCGTGTTCCTGTTTCTCCCTTCCGCTCTTCCTGTGTCTCGTTGTCTTGGACCTTGCCCTTTGCCCCTACGGCTCTTGCCCCGTGCAATTCGGCATGACGATCATGCCGTTCGCAATCTTCATTGCCACCTCCTTTAGTGGAGATAGCAGTCTATGTCTAGCGAGACGAATTCGAAATGGCTCTCTGCCTTTTCTCACTCGAGTTTCTCGTCTCGCTACTAGGTACACTGTTGTTAGCTATGAGTGACGACCGTTCCTGCTTTGATTGGTCAAAGTAGATGTTTGCATGAACATAAATCAATCCAGGGACCATAGTGTATTTTGGTCGTGAAACATTTGCGGGAGCGAAACACTTCAACGCCGCAAAAGATCTAACGACATGGAGTGTGAGAGAAAGTGGGGAAAGAAAGATATAGGCTCGTACTAAGTCGTAACCATCATGATTCTGCTTGCGCGCGCGTTTCTAGATTTTGAAATATAAACAGAGAACGTGGGAGAAAGGCAAAGCAAGTCGCCTGAGTGAAAATATTCGTCACCACTTGCTATGTAGTCGGCCAGAAAACCAAGAAGCACGCATGGCCAGGCTCGGCATGTCGGGTATCTTTTCGGATGAGACCTACGATCGTGTGCAGGACCTCACCTAGGCAAGCCCAGCCCACTAGTACAAATCACAGCCTAAGCGCAGAGACTAAGTAGCATAGGATGTCATCGGTAAGTGAATGGGTCTAAGTGGAAATTGCCGCAGAAAACGGAAGACATCGATCGAGATTCGAGTGCTTCGTCATTGCATCATGTGGCCGGTGGATTCTTAGAACATTCGTTCAGCACGTCCAAAATAGTGAGATCGACATGAAGCAAACGAGCTCGTGTCCTACCTGGGCTATCGAAACCTCCATATCTCAATGTCTCATCTCGTCCTTAGGCCATCTGTCACTTCATGCGCACCCTCGTATCATCTGGATGCCGAAATGGTGAGCCCAGAATATTGTATTTGTATCGTGGAGTTGGTGCGGTGGTAAGAGGCATTAGGTTTTACCAGAGACGTCCTAGTTGAGATTCGGCGATTGATGTGAGATGAAGATACAATATCATCCCTAAGAGAGCGTTGAGAGACGAAATGAGAGAAAATGATGCTCGGATGCACAATGGTTGAAGGCGACTCACCGTGTCACATAGCTGCCATTGCACACCATCAACCCTTATTCCGATGAGAAACAATCCAAAACGTGCCACACTGAATCCATCATGCAGTTGATGCCCCTTAGTCACGACTGACGCTTTCGCAGGGTAGCCTGGGTGGGATTGTGGATTAGAACGTTGTCCCTATTTCACATGAACCAGCTATCATAACGACGCCCAAGACTACACTGACACCTCAGAACTCTGACTGTTGAACGATCAAAAATCCGAGAACACCGAGAATGCGTGGCGAGCGGATCTCAGAATGCACACTGGCAGGTTGTGCAGAGGAGTGATGCAGTTCGATGGGGAGGTAGATAGTGGACATCTCGTTTCGGGGAGCGCACAGGATAATAAATTGATGTAAATACAGTGGAGCACTGGGAGAAAACAAAGTCTGACGCACCGCAGGAAGCTCGACTTTTGTTCTGACGCTCATTGTGTAGTTGATGGCAAATTGATGCCCATATAATTGAAATGAATATCAGCAGCGTCTCTGCCTCGCCTCCTTCCTCTGAGGACTTGAGTCTGGGAGCGTAGCAAATGCGGGAATATTGTAAGGGCCTAGGGCGACTGATGAAAACTGATGCAAACTTAACGCACCACGCTACTAGATTCGTCATGCATCCCGCAGTGGACGTTTTGAATGGGTGGAAGGAGCGGTATAGCCCAGGAAAGTACTTGCCTACAATATAATCCCATGAACGTGTACGATTCGGAGTCCTCCTTTATATCACTGTTAGTGTTTGTACTTGGAAAACGAAACAAGAGAAATGGCCAAGAAATGGCACAACTCACTTCTCTGGAATCCGGACGGTCGACGTACACACCTCAACGCAAGTTCGCCTTCCTCCGAGTCCTACATCGCAAGTCCTCTGTCCAGGGACGTGCCTGAAATCGTATGAATGGTATGTGCTTGCCTCGAGCTCCCATGAATGCAATCTTCTCATCACTTAATTCACAATGCAGCACACTTCAAAGACCATGGAAGTGACTCCCTTCTTCGATACCCTCAAATCTCTTAGAGTACCACTAGATGACTTGGAGCACTCCAACACGCACTTTCCAAATACCTCGCAAAGTGAACCACGTGAGTTTCCATCAAACACTATGAAACAGTCCCTTATAATCCCTCCTGCCAAATGTTGTCGCAGTTCACGGAAGTGCTTTATCGCAATCCAGACTGCGAGACATAGTGCGATGACCTGCCAGAAGATGGTGAGCAGGACTTTTAATTTGCGTTGTTTGATGTACAGCTTGGTTGTAGATAGCTTGCGCATCGGTGCAGGCCGCAACTCTGGTTATTCATAAACGCGTGGAAAAATGTGAGCTTCCACGCATCCTCGACTTGTAATTTTCAACCTTGACATCACCTACTCAGTCCTCCGCAACCACTTCTATTACTTTCAAAACCTGCCTATAGCGCCCACCGACCTGGTGGTTTGTTTGTGCTAGTAGTCACGCTCCAACTGTTCTGCTCAGAACGACTGTTTACTTTGTTTGAAACATTTTATCACTTGTGCGTGCCTGAATTCTCGTCTACATCTATTCTCATAACAAAATAGTGCACTTCAAATGTCTTCGAATATCCACTTCTTAAATTGATGCCCTTAGTATCACCACTTCTTGCACGCACGTTCGAAATTCGACAACATCGTCAATGGCTACATACTTCCTGCATCAAAAGATTAAGCTCGACCTCGCTATCATGTCCCCAGCCCGACCTCAATCAACAGATACTCGACTCCTGCACTATCAATAGTGCTGGCGCCTGCATGTCCATTCCTGGGTGCGTAACTTTCACTGTTTTGAAGCATGTTAACAAGCTGTGTTATGTGTCGTGTGTTATTCACAAACGTTAGCACCCTGGATTCTTTCAAATTCCCCTGACTCCACAGAAGCGCTAGGTCTCAAGCGAGGAACTGTGGCCTTCATATCACAAATGTTTAATACAGTACTTGTACCCCCAAGTAGTGCTTCAGCAACAATCCTAAACACATCTATAATCATATCCGTATTTCTACCTCGACGAACAAAGAAGAGAGGCAAGCTCCTCCATGAGCGTTAACCAACTTCAGCCTCCTCAAGACTCATCAAGTATACCTCGCATCATTAAGCTACGCATGCATGAACTTGCTTCGCAAACTTTATGATCACCTTGAATGGATCATCATCTGTGAGTCAGTTGGCGTGAGTCAGGTAGGAAAATAAGGATGGGACATTGAATGAGACGAGAAGATGAATCGAGTACGAATTGCTGAGGAACTGAAGCAGTGCGTTGTCACTCGACTTTCCTCTCGCACGCTGCCTAAGCATTCATATGAATGATTGTCATCGCATAGAGAAAATAAGAACCGGTGGTTTGTGTGGGGAGCTAGTGCGAGTAGAGATATTCAGGATATTGGTTTAAATATTGTCAGCACGTAGTATGTATAGTAAATCACTTGACTAAGGCCTCTTAGTCACGTACCAAGTGGCACCCCGAAAAAAGACCCCGAAAACCTCTTGAGAGCACTGCGCCCAACGGCGCCATAGCCGCCCCACGGCGACTTCAAAGTCATAAATCCTTACTCAGAAAATACTCAAAACATCCAAAAAACAATCTACAGATACGTTACATTCAATACTTTCACGCTAATATGCCCCCAAAAACCAGCACTGGAAACGTGACCGGTCCACCCAAAGCCCACTCCCCTACACCAGGCTCTGGTCCTAACACGCGAGGCACCACCAGGAACCTCACATCCACTGAGGAAATAGAAGTGTTACCCAGTAATGTTATGGACACCGCGAGCGCAGAATCATACCTGAAAGTTAAACTTTTGTCCCACGGAGGACAAGCATATACCCTTTCCCATCTATCATCCATTCTATTTCACATCACTCAGATGTCCGCGAATACCCCGCTCCCGGTCATCACAGCAATTCGCGCGGTGGCATACATCCTGAAAAAGCACACGGCCTGTGAAATTGCGGAGGCAGCTGCCAATCACTTCTCAACCACGTTGGCCCCACAACTGATCGATCACGTGATCATGGCCATCACTCCGCAACTCACCAACCTGCGCTCCACCTCGGAACTTCTATCGGCTACTGCTCACCAAGCCGAGGAAACGCTCAACACCACCATCAGCGAGGCCGCCAATATCCATCGTTCACTCAAGAACAAACACACTGAGCAAGAAGAGAATACTAGAATTGCTGCTGACCGTATCGAGGAAACTGCTAACGAACTCCATGCTTCAGTCGAGGAATGCCAGAAACTACTGAAAACTCTATCTCCGTCCCTAGATGCCACACAAGAACGAATCAACCAGCTATCCTCTCAACTCCTAACCCAACCAATACCAGCACAGAGTCAGCCGCACACCACGAACACGACCGCGCCTCAGCCTTCCTATAGTTCGATTGCCGCCTCCCACCTTCCACCCATGGTGGAACAAGCAGTCGGCAGGGCAGCCATACGGGCAAGGCAAATACTACTAGACCCCCAACCAGGCAAGACTCTATTCCCGGCGGACACCTCCAACTCCGATATAGCGAAGAAACTGAAAGACGCCCTCTCCAACATTCGAACTGACGACACACCCCCGGGAGACATCAAGGCAGTTCTCTCTCTCCGCAATGGAGGGATCATCGTTGAACTGGAAAGTGAATGTTTAGCATCCTGGATGCGTGACCCCATTGGCAGAGCTCTGCTTGAAGCACAATTTGACACTGAAGTATCGTTCCGAAAGCGCACGTATGCATTAGTCCTGGAATACTTACCGATTCAACTACAGATTGAACAAGAAGAATTTCTACGTAAGGTCGAGAACGAAAACAACCTTCCGGACCACTCTTTAGCTACTGTCAGATGGATCAAGCCCCCCACACGCCGTACTCAGCAACAACGAAAAGCATTCGCTCTTCTCCAAGTCATCGAAGCACCTATCGCCAATGACATCCTAAGGGATGGACTGTGCATCAACAACGAACGAATTGAAGTACGCAAGGACAAAAGGGAACCACTCCGATGCGCAAAATGCCAGCGCTACGGCCACATAGCGCGAAATTGCTCTGCCTCATCTGATATATGCGGCACCTGCAGTGCTATGCACCGCACCTCTCAATGCACGGCATTTCGCACCACACGTTGCATCAACTGCAACAGCAACGACCACACAAGTTGGAGCAGAAATTGCAGGGAATTTATTCGCAGATGTGAACTATTAGACGAGAAATACCCAGAGAACCGGATGCCGTTCTTCCCTACAGAGACAGCGTGGACACATGCCATCTGGCCACCCCATCCATCTCGGCCACCCCCTCCCCCCTCCACTCCTTTGCCATCTCAACCTCGCCCAAAACGACTGGTAAATGCCAACCTTCGCCAAGCTACGATCGGCTTCCCGCGCCGACCCACTCCCCCTCCTCAATCTAGATCTGACTCTGACCCCCCCGATGACTTTCAAGCGCAATCTACAGCCCTCCTCAACGAAATGTACCCCAACGCCTCTGCATTTGGTATCGGATCTAGAAAACCTGCCCCTGTCCCTTCGCCCGGCTCCCTTTCCAATGCGTCCAACTCTTCCTCCTCCTCTGGCTCACTCAACCCCTCCGATCGTCAAAACTCCCCCCACTCCATTGCCGCTGATGTCTGATCAAACCAACAACCATACCGCAAGTCTTCGCCTTTGGCAACAGAATCTCAACACCTCTCTCACCGCACAAGCTTCGCTCCTTAACAACCCTGACATGGCAAACTGGGATATTGTCGCGATCCAAGAGCCTCACATCAACTTTCTACGAAATACCTCCGCCAATCATCATTGGCACGTCCTTTACCCGACCCTACACTACACCCAACCCCAGCTCAGATCCCGAGCTATAACCTTAATTAGCACAAACTTAGACACTAACTCCTGGAAACAGCTCTCTTTCCCATCGTCGGACGTCGTTGTCGTCCAACTGTCGGGCCCCTACGGACGATGCACTATCTTTAATATATATAACGACTGCAACTCACCCATTACACTGACCGCTCTTGATACCTTTTTAGAATCCAATATAGCCTCCATCAAGACTGCGGAATCAGACCATATGTTATGGTTGGGCGATTTCAACCGGCACCACCCTCTGTGGGAGGACATCCGGAACAGACACCTCTTCAATTATCCTGCTGCCCGCCCGCTCATTGATCTCATTGCTGACTATGGAATGTTGCAGTTGCTCCCTCAAGGTATTCCGACACTTCAATCCACCAGCTCCGGTAATTGGACTCGACCAGATAATGTATTCGGCACTGAAAGGCTTCTGGATGCCGTTGTCTCGTGCAACACGGACCCCTCTCGACGTGGTCCCAAGACAGACCATGTCCCCATACTGACCATTCTAGAACTGGAACCTCTGCGGGTAGACACCGAACCGAGGCACAACTGGCGAGAAGTAGATTGGAAAGCATTCAATGAACGCCTCGAGGCCCTCATCTCTACCCGACCAGCTCAGCCCTTAGCCTCCAAAGAGGAATTTCAAGCAGCGGCGCTTCACCTCACCCAGTCTATCACACGCACCATCGACGAGTGTGTCCCATTCTCGAAGCCCTGCCCACACTCCAAAAGATGGTGGACCCGACGACTTACAGATCTACGCAACAAGGTGACGGAACTCGGCCGACTCTCCTACCAAATGAGGGGACTCCCCCTTCACACCTGCCACGAGGAGCTCAAAGCTGCCAAGACCTTGTACGCAGATGAGATAATGTCCACCAAGAAGCAACACTGGATCGAGTGGCTTGAAGACCTCGAGGGAAACGACCTATGGACCGCCAACCGCTATATCTCCTCTGAGCCGAAAGACGGTGGGAAAACCCGAGTACCGACCCTAACGACCCAGGGACCCAACGACAGTATAATTGAGGCCATCACCAACAACGAGAAGAGCCAACTGATAGCTAAGTCTTTCTTTCCGCCTCCCCCCGCCATTGATCCTGTCCGTCCAGATATCACCTACCCTGACCCCGTTGAACAAGTACCCCCCATCACGTCAGCACAGATCTCCCGAGCTATCTCTCGGCTTAGCGGATATAAGGCGCCGGGGCCGGATGGTATCTGCAACGTGGTTTTCAAAGAATGCACTGACACCCTGCTGCCCTACCTAATCCACCTCTTTAACGGAGTATTCTCTCACCAGGTATATTATCAGCCTTGGCGTTGCTTCACCACGGTGGTCCTTCGCAAACCGGGAAAACCGAATTACTCTGTCCCGAAAGCCTTCCGTCCCATCGCTCTGCTCAACACCACCGGAAAACTGCTCACAGCTGTTGTTGCGGAACAACTAACCTTTGTTCTAGAGCATCATCGTTTACTCCCGAACACGCACTTCGGCGGGCGACCTGGACGCTCCACCACGGACTCCCTACACTTACTAGAGGAGACCATCAAGAACGCATGGCGCTCTCAAAAGGTAGTATCAGTATTGTTCTTAGACATCGAAGGGGCCTTCCCCAACGCTGTCACGAAGCAGCTTTTGCATAATATGCGAATGCGTCGCATTCCAAACAATCTCATCCGTTTCACTGAACAAGTACTGACAGACAGACAGACTCAATTAAAATTCGACGGCTTCACCTCAGACTGGTTTCCGGTAACTAACGGTATTGGGCAGGGTGACCCTCTCTCGATGATATTGTACATAATTTACAGCTCTGGACTCGTCGACGTCGCCAAGCCTCGACGTGGTTGCGCAGCTCTCAAGGAATTAACTCTTGCTTTTGTAGATGACACGGCGTTCATCGCCATAGATAAGGACTTCAGCTCGGCACATCGCACTCTCGCGGACATGCTCGAACGACCTGGAGGTGGCTATGATTGGTCAAGGGACCACAACTCTCGATTCGAAACCAACAAGTTCGCGTTAATGGACTTCTCGATGAACCGGCAAAAGGAACGGCCCTCCATGCACATCCAAGGAGCCGTCATACACCCAACACCCACCCACCGGTTTCTGGGGGTGATCCTGGATCAAGAACTCCGCTGGAAAGCCCAGGTTGACAATGCTGTTGCGCGGGGAACAGCATATGTCCTGCAGCTACGTCGTCTCTCCTCTACTGCCAAGGGCTTACCGCTGCGCTTAATGCGCCAATTATACCAAGCAGTGGCGGTTCCGAAAATGCTCTACGCCGCTGATCTGTGGTTCTCGCCAGCTCATCGCGAAGGCACGGACACCCTCCAAAGGGGATCTATTGGGGTGGCAAGACGACTAACCTCAGTCCAACGCCTCGCGGCGATAGCCATAACTGGCGCAATGAAGACCACTGCTACAGATATCCTCGAGGCACATGCCAACCTTCTGCCCACCACGCTCCTCCTTCAAAACACCTGTCATCGCTCCATCATTCGCCTCTCCACCCACCCCAGATCTCACCCGCTCTACGAACCCCTTCGGAGGGCTGCGAACACATATGTTGCCTCCCATCGCTCTTCCCTGCATAGACTCACTCACCACTTCGCAATCGACCCCAATGAAGTGGAAACTCTCATCCCCTCCCGACGCACTCCCTCCTCTCAGAACCCCTGGACCACACACATCGCCGGCTCGAAGGAAGACGCCATCACAGAGCATGAGCAGTTAGGAGACGCCATTCAGATATATAGTGATGGTTCGGGTCACGGGGGGAAGATTGGGGCTGCGGCTGTCCTGTTCCGCACAGGGAAGGCACCCAGAACTCTACGATACCACCTCGGCACGGACGAAGAGCACACTGTGTTCGAGGCAGAAGAAGTTGGACTGACCTTAGCAGCACGACTGATTTCCACAGAGCGCGACATTGTCTTCCCCATCTCCATCTCCATCGACAACCAGGCCTCAATCCAGGCAGCTGAAAGCTTCTACTCCCGCCCAGGATCTTACCTAGCAGACAGATTTCGCAAAATGATGCAGAACATCGCCAAACTACACGACAACTTCGATGTAACTGTCCGATGGGTACCGGGGCATTCAAACGTCCATGGAAACGAGGAAGCCGACAAGCAGGCAAAGTCAGCAGCGGAATGCAGACGAAATAATAGCCCACTCGCTAAGTTACCCAGATATCTCCGTCATGACTCACTACCGCTCAGTGTCTCAGCACTCAAGGAGGTTCATCGCAAAGAAACGCACGCTCGCTGGGAGCGGATATGGCGCACATCCCCTCGCCACAATCGCATGCACCAACTAGACCCCAAACTCCTACGCCACTCTTTTGTCAAGCTCACCGCCAACTTCCCTAAACGGCTGACCGGCCTATACATGGCCCTTCGCACCGGTCATGCCCCCCTCAATAAACACCTGCATCGTATCGGTAGAATCGAACACCCACACTGCCCTCATTGCCCTCATGCAGATGAGACGGTACATCACTTCCTAATCGCCTGTCCACACTACCGTCGTGACCGCCACACGCTGATATGCGCGTTGGGACGCAAAGCTACCTCAATCTCTTTTCTGTTATCCAACCCCGATGCCACCTCTCACCTGGTCCGATACGTGAACGCAACAAGTAGATTGCGAGCAACTTTCGGTGAAGTTCAACTACCTCGTCCGCCTATGAAATGATAACTGCCATTAATAACAGATACCCTAATCACGCGAACACCCCATGCTTTCCTCAAACCATGCCTCCCTCAACTCAATAAACCCATCATTCTCATGCTCCGACTCCCCCCATCTCCTCCCTACTAAAACTCACTCACACGGAATCGCCACCACCCCTCACTGGAATCAGTCAGCGGACAACAAGGGACCCTCTTGTCAAATTACCAGGACCCTTACTTACACAACTCCACTGCATTCAGATCGATTCCTGTACCAAGCCTACTCAGGCAGAGTACGCGTTACACAGTCCCATAGTTAGAACTTTTACCATACTGCACGCCTTTCACAGTCATCCCATCCTCGAATTGCGCACCTAAAACGGCCGGCGGGAACGGCGGACTGGTGGGGCACGTCCCACACCAGGGCATCTGCGAATTCAGATGCAACCAGGGCACCGGGGGCCCTTAGACTAGACCGAACTGTCCTCCATAGAGTAATCTCTCAATAGGACAAAAATTGGAATTAAAAAAAAAAAAAAAAAATCACTTGACTAAATACGAGGAGAATTTTTGTATGTTTCCTTTAAAACTACTTCGGAACACCCATCAATACCTTCAAGAAAGTGGTAATAAATAAAAGTAAATTTCCCCGCTCTTTGGAGGGCACCAGACAACCGTTGACTCCACTGACTATCACACACCACTACCAGTCGATATTTCCACACGCTCCTGGAAAGCGATTGAGGTCATACCAGTCGCTACATCAGAATCGGCCACGAGCTTAGCGTGGTATTCTCGAACACCAAGGATCAGGCGCGGTCCCAACACAAACATCTGCACGACCTCCAAAATCTGAAGACATCCAGAAACAATCAGAGGATCCAAGGAATTGTCCTATAAAACGATAAAGTGTGGTAGCGTGCGTAGGTAAGTGAAAGATTGCCATACCGTGAAGAATGTTGGATAGAAATCAAGAATGAGATGGAAGCAAGAAACAGCAACAAAGCTACCACGTCCGACCCGTCAGTAGAAAAAGGAACAAAAATCACAATATGAGCTTACCTCGCAAAGTAAACCGCGTGAGTTTTCATCAACACCATGAAACAGTCCTCGATAATCCCTCCTGCCGAATGTTGTCGCAGTTCACGTAAGTGTTTTACCGCCATCCAGACTGCGAGACATAGCGCGAGGACCTCCCATACAGTGGCGAGTATCCAAGTAATAGAACTCAGAAGTGGGATATCTTTCGAATAGTCAATCTGGCACTGATGAGTGCCAGAGAGAATGAATTCCTCTAGTAACCATCAATGAGCCCAATGCACGTTTATTTTCATTCACAATTGAACGCACCCCCTGAAGTATGCATCGTTGTCATTGTCGTGACCATTGTATCGAAAGTGTTGATAGCCAGGAAGGTGACAATGAGAAATATCAGGATCTTTCTTGATCCTTGATACATGGCATGCAACCGAGCGATGATGATGACTTGCACCATGTTTCAGTCAAGTCAATATCACTGAGGTATCGCAACTGCAAAGCTCACCCCACAGCATCGCAACTACCACAACACCCATCCAATTCCATACGGTGTACATAATCCAGCCTGACGAATCCGGTCAGTGATCGTCCTCGGGTAGCACAGTTCAAACAGACTCACATCTGTGGCAGTATAGCATGGCAGTCATTAGTGAACAAAGAAGTTAGCAAAGAACCACACCCACTGCTACAAGGCACCGCAGTTAATTGGAGGGGAATGGTACTAGGCATTTGTGCAGAAGACTCACTGTGTCTGTCAGCCAGATGGTCGGAACATTGCCTGGATGCCGTAGGTCAGAATAGGCAAAGACAGTGAATGCACTAAGGAGACATACCCAGAATAGACAGGCTGGTTATGAGAGATAGACGATTAGCACAACACCGATTGTGTAGCCTTCCGGACATACGCAGCGGATAAGATTCCAAGGTAACGCGCCTAGGATACTTTCAAGTCAGCGCAACATGGCAACCGCGATAAACAAACTACATACACCGAGATACATAGCTGTCATCACGGACCAGCGTTGTCTCTGGAATCAAGTATATTTTCATGTGTGTTCCTCTGACACCAGACTCTACTCACCCATATTAATTCTACCTATAAAGCCATTCTCAGCGAGATGACTGCTCTGGTCATACCATCGACATACCTCTTGTCCGAATGTAAGTGCTGAAAATAATCGTAAGACGTCAGCTATCTTTTAATGTTATGATGCTCACACCAATCATACACCACTGCAACAAAAGCGGCAACTGCGAAACAAACGCCAAGGTTAGATTGTGTCAGCTTCAACATCCGATTGCTCTCCACAAACCTGCAAAATAGCTTTGAACACGAAATCCATTAATACTTGGCCACCAAACGGGATCATTTGAGACCATGGTCATACTGGTAGAGAATGGGTGTGGGTGTGAGGCGAACTTGGTGGACGTAAGACGATGGCATTCGTGCTAGTTATACCACCATCCGGTACATAGATCAGCAAAATGAGATCGGGAGATGATGACCGTTCCTGCTTTGATTGGTCGAAGTAGATATTTCTGCATGAGGAAAGATAAATGAATCCAGGGGATCATAGTAGATGTTGGTCGTAAAACATCTGAACAAGCGAAGCGCTTGAACTCCGCAAAAGGTCAAACAACATCAAGAACTGTTCGTGGTCTTGTCGCCTTGTTTTCGATGCTATTTTCGAGATGATTTCGCTATACGTGCATCAGTTCATTAATGCAACGTATTACTTCATCTGTTTGATACATACTGATCACAGTGCAACCATCGGACAGCCTGTTATCTCATCTCTATTCGCCTCTCTTGCACAAGTCCGGGGGGAGCATAACAGCTCATACAAGGTCACTCAGCAAATGCACATTACATCGGCAAGACACCGGAACAGAAAAGTCAGCCGTCAAATCGCACGAAGAAGCAAATTTGCATCCTACTCTGGCTACCAATACCTCCCAGCGAGCATAGGTCTCGATGTCTCATCTCACCCTTGGGTCATCTGTCGCTTCATGCGCACCCTCTCGCTCTCTGCCTCGAAAATTGGGTTACCGTATCATTTGGATGTCAGAATTGGTGAGCTCAGAATGTATCATTTGTATCGTGGAGTTGGTGCGGTGGCACTGCTTTTCACCAGGGTTGTGAGATTCTGTGATTGATGTAAGATGAAGACACAACATCACCCCTATATCAAAAGAGCGCTGAGAGAGAAGATGAGAGAAAACGGTGCTCAGATGCACAATGGCTGAAGGCGATAACATTCTGTTGGTATACCATCAGAAAGTTGGTGATTTGAAGAAGTTGAGGGAATAACTCACCGGGTCATACAGCTACCAATGCACACCATCAACGCTTATTCCAATAAAAACCGATCCAAACCGTGCCACGCTGAATCCATCATGCAGTTGATGCCCTTCCGTTGACTCACACATTCGTAGGGTAGCCTGAGTGGGAATGTGTATTGGAACGCCGTCTATGTTTCGCATGAACCAGCTACTACAACGACGCCCGAGACTGCGCCGACACCTCAGAACTCCGACTGACGATCAAGACTTGAGAATTCATGTGGCGTTAGAGCCCTTGCATGCCAACCGATTATACAAAGCCGGTTCTATATATAAGGGTTTGCTTGGCGAAAAATAAGTGAAAAAACAAGGGATGCTCACCGTGGACGTAGATTTGCTATGAACAAGCTGTATAATTTCATCGGGTGGTCTTTGTGAGATTTTCAAAAAGTGTGATGCCAGTACGTACTTCAATTTGGAGCACTGGGGATGCTGGCGTACCCAGTGTCGGACCGTGCGAATGTCAAACTAGTCGTATATGGCTGGTTTATGATGCTAAAGTGGGCATGGGCATTGGAGAACAACCAGACGAGCAGCCTGAGCGCGAACTAGACAGTCTAGACTTCAGTCTGATCGATCTTCACAAGCGAAGCATGGTATTTGAAATTTGCACGCATTCTAAAGTCTAATTGACGTACTTTGTTTTGAAATGTTTTATCACTCTCGGCTTCCAAGCATCCGTCTTCGACTTGACTCGACTGTCACCAACACTACTTACTCAGTCCTCCGCAACCACTCCCATCACTTTCTATAGCACTCACGAACCTAGTGGCTTGTTTGTGCTAGTCACGCTCCAACGTGCTCAGGGCCATTCGTGTCATTTTGTTTGAAATATTGTATCACTTGTGCGTACTGAAATTCTCGTCCAATCTATTCTTATAACAATTTGCAATACAGCACACTTCAAATGTCTTCGAACATTCCCTTCCCCTCAAATCTCCCAGTGTCACCACGACTTATACGTACTGTTCTCGCGCGCACGTTCCAAATCCTAAATCAATCTAACGTCGAATCTCGATGATGACATCTTGGCCGCATACCAGCTACATCGAAAAATTCACCTCGATCTCACTATCACGTCCACGGCCTGACCTCAGGCCTCAAGCAGTAGATACTCGACTCCTGCACTATTGCTGGTGCTGGTGCCCGCATGTCCGTTCCTAGGTGCGTCGCTTGTCGCCGTTTCCAACCACGTCGACAAGCTGTTTTATGTTTCGTGTCCGGTTAGCACCCTGGATTCCTTCAAATTCCCCCGACTCCACAGAGGCGCTGGGTCTCAGCTGAAGGATCACGACCTTCATATCACAATGTTTAATAGGGTGCATGTATCCCCAGTAGTGCTTCAGCAACAATCTTAAAAACGCTTATATTTGTGTCTGTATGTCCACCTCGGCGAACGAAAGTGAAAGGCAAGCTCCTCCACAAGCATTAACCAATTTCAGCCTCCCCAAAACTCATCAAGTATACCTCGCATCGTTAAGCTACGCATGCATGAACGTGCTTCGTGCACCTTGTAATCACCTTGAATGCATCATCTGTAGGCCACTTGTCGTGAGTCAGCTGAAAACAAGGTAGCAGTTCATAGGACATTGGATGAGGCAAGAAGATGAATACTGAGTATGGATTGCTAAGGAACTGAAGCAGTGCGCTGTCCCTCGACTTTTCTCTCCCGCGCTGCCTAAGCAATCATATGAATGATTGTCGTCGCATAGAGAGAGAAAAAGGACCAGTGGTTGGTGCAAGCGGGCAGCTAGTGCCAGTAGAGATATTTATCGATTTAAACATTATCAACACGTATAACAAATCACTTGACTAAATAATACGACGAAAATTTTGTATGTCTCCTTGAAATCTACTTCGGAATACCCAATAACTTCGATCAATACCTTCAAGAAAGTGGTAATAAATAAAAGCAAATTTCCCTGCTCTTTGGAGGGCGCCAGACAACCGTTAACTCCACCGAGTATCACACGCCATTACCAGTCGATATTTCCACGCGCTCCTGGAAAGCGATTGAGATCATACCAGTTGCTGCGTCAGAATCGGCCACGAGCTTAGCGTGGTATTCCCGAACACCAAGGATCAGGCGCGGTCCCAGCACAAACATCTGCACGACTGTCAAAATTTGAACAAACCCATAAATAATCTGAGTGTCCAGGGAATCGACCTATAGAAACGATAAATTGTGGTAGCGTGCATAGGCAAGTGATAAGATTGACATACCATTGATAATGTCGGAGAGAAAATAGTAATGAGCTCGATGCAAGAAACAGCAACAAAGCTACCACAGCCGGCTCGTCAGTGGAAAAAGCAACAATAATCACAATATGAGCTTACCTCGCAAAGTAAACCACGTGAGTTTTCATCAACACCGTGAAACAGTCCTCGATAATCCCTCCTGCCGAATGTTGTCGCAGTTCACGGAAGTGTTTTACCGCAATCCAGACTGCGAGACATAGCACGAAGACCTCCCATACAGTGCCGAGCATCCAAGTAATCGAAGCCAGAAGTGCGATATCTTTCGAATAGTTAATCTGGCACTGATAAGTGCCGGAGAGAACGAGTTCCTCTGGTATCAATGAGTCTCATGCACGTTTATTTTCATTCACAATTAAACCCACCCCCTGAAGTATGCATCGTTCCCATTATGGTGACTACTCCGTCGAAAATGTTGACAGCCAGGAAGGCGACAATGAGAAATATCAGGATCTTTCTGGATCCTTGATACATCGCACGCAACCGAGCGATGATGATGACTTGCACCATGTTTCAGTCAAGTCAATATCACTGATGTCTCACAAGTGCAAAGCTCACCCCACAGCATCGCGAATACCACAACACTAGTCCAATCCAATACGACGTAGATAATCCAGCCTGAAGAATCCAGTCAGCGACCAGCCTCGGGTAGCACACACTCCAAACAGACTCACATCTGTTGCATTATAGCGTGGCAGTCATTAGTGAACCAAGAAGTTAGTAAAGAACCACACCCACTGCTATAATGCGCCACAGTTAATTGGAGGGGAATAGTAATAGGCATCTGTGCAGAAGACTCACTGTATCTGTCAGCGAGATGGTCGGAACGCTGTCTGAATGCCGTTGGTCAGAAGAAGCAAAGACAGCGAATGTACTAAGGGAACATACCCAGAATGTACAGGCTGGTTATAAGACATAGGCGATTAGTACAACACCGATTGTGTAGCCTTCCGAACATACGTAGCATATAAGAATCCAAGGTAGCGCACCTAAGATACTTCCAAGTCAGCATAGCATGGCAACCACGACAAACAAGCTACATACACTGAGATACATAACTGTCATTAAGGACCATCGTTGTCGCTGGAATCAAGTGTATTTTCACGCGTGTTTCTCTGATACCAGACTCTACTTACCCAGATCAGTTCCACCTATAGAGCCATTCTCAGCGGGATGACTGCTCTGGTCATACCATCGACATACCTCTTGTCCGAATGTAAGTGCTGAAAATAATCATAAGACGTCAGCTGTCTTTTAATGTTATCAGGCTCACCCCAATCATACATCACTGCAACATAGGCGACGACTGCGAAACCACAGCCAAGGTTAGACTGAGTCAACTTCAACATCCGACTGCTCTCCACGAACCTGTAAAATAGCTGCTCAAACGATACGAATTGATGACCGGCCACCAACTGGGATCATTTGAGACTACAATCATATTGGTAGAGAATGGGTGTGGATGAGAGGCAAACTTGGTAGATGTATGTCAATAACATTCGCAGTATCATATATATGTATACCGTTATCCAGTGCGAAATGAGATCAAGGGGTGAAATCTGTGCAATCCACGTGAATCAAGCAGTTGCATGATCGTCATCAGGCTGTCGTATCATAAGGATGTTAATCACAACAGTACCAATGCAGAACCTTCAATTTGCAACGTGGATGTGTTGCAGTCGACGAGCGGTAACGTTCACTTGTCAGGTGGAGTTCTCGTACTCCTTATGTATAGAAAATTTGATTCCAGCTTGGAACTTTGGAGGTTAGGAGATGCATAGAGCGTTAACTCTTCGCAGCAGACGAGTATGAGATTCTGAGGCACAACAACTTGTTAACATATATGTGGAGACAACCTGAAGGAAGGCAAACACACCTATTACACGTGTACTAGCGAAGAACGTTAAGTCAGTAGTAGTGAGACGGTCACGGTATGAGGCCTGAGGCCTGAGGTACGGAACGTGGAATTAGTCATATCACTCGAAATCAATATCGTGTTCCTGTTTCTCCCTTCGGGTATTCCCGTGCCTGGTTGTCTTGGACCTTGCTCTTTAAGCTTTGCCCCTTGCCGGTGCCACTTGTGGCTATTGCCCCGTGCAATTCGGCATGACGATCATTCCGTTCTGTCACCTCCTTTAGTGGAGATGCGGCAGTCTGAGACGAATTCGAAATAGCTCAGAGTCTTTTCTCACTCGAGTTTCTCGTCTCGCTACTAGGTACGCTGTTGTTATCCATTCGGTTGGTATATTCTCATTTGTCTCCGGAATCCATGGGTCCCCGTGTGCTCGCGACGGGGTCCCTTATTTGCTGGCTAAATCCTTGCCGTCTGCGTCCTATAGAGACAAGCGAGGACAATTAGAAGTTGTCATACATAAGTACTAGTGGGAAAAGAACATACCTTTAATGTGTCGCGGCTTTGGTTCGTGTTTTGTCTTACTCTTCTTAACTTCTTCTGCATACTCATCGTCTGCATAATCCACGACACCCATTATAATCACTACAAGCATCCGAGCCCATCAATTAAAAAATGGTCAATGTTACAGATGGCCTGACCGGATTGTCGTTGATAGCGAGGACGAAGGCGCCTCACGACCGCTTTAAATTACTGACCGAAGCGACCTTACCCCATTTTCTACAGGCCCGGAAAAGATACTACAGTGTCAGGCATTCACTGTGACATTCCCTTCTTCGAGAAATGCTCTCAAATCTCCAAGAGTATCACCACGAACTATAACATTCTCGTACGCACGTTCTAAATCTTCAATCCTAAATCAATCTAACGTCGATGACATTCTAGCCGCATACTAGCTACATTGAAAGATTCGCCTCGCCTGGCTCGACCTTGCTATAATGCATGTCCGTTCCTGGGGTCTCTTGTCACCGTTTTGAACCACGTCAACAGGCTGTTTTATGTTTCATATGCGATTCCCAGACGTTGGCACCCTGTATTCCTTCAAATTCATCTCACTCCACGGATGCGCTGGATCTCAGCTACAGAATCGTAGCCTTCATATCACCAATGTGCAACATGGTACTTGTATCCCAAAGTACTACTTCAGCAACAATCCTAACACAATTGTATTCGTATCCGTATTTCCACCCAATCCAACAAAAGTGAAAGGCAAAGCTTTTTTGCAAGCATTAACCAACTTCAGCCTCAAGACTCACCAAGTGTGCCTCGCATCATCAAGCTGCGCATGCACCAACATGCTTCGCACACCTTGTAATCACCTTGAACGGATCATCATCTGTAAGTCAGTTGGCGTGAGTCAGGTGGGAAAACAATGGTGGGACATTGAATGGGGCGAGAAGATGAATTGCGGCTGGATTGCTGAGGAACTGAAGCAGTGCACTGTCCTCTCGCGCGCTGCCTAAGCAATCATATGAGCGAGTGTCATCACACAGAGAAAATAAGGACCAGTGGTTGGTGGAGGTGTGCGTGGGCAGCTAGTGCTAGTAGAGATCTTCATCGTTTTAAACATTACCAGCACATATAGCGAATCACTTGACTAAATAATACGACGAAAACTTTGTATGTCTCCTTGAATTCTACTTCAGAACACCAAATAACTTCGATCAATACCTTCAAGAAAGTGGTAATAATTAGAAACGAACTCCGCTGCTCCCTGCACAACTGTTAACTTCACCTCACACACCACTGCCAGTCGATATTTGCACTCGCTCCTGGAAAGCGATAGAGGCCATACCAGTTGCTACGTCAGAATCGGCCACGAGCTTGGCGTGGTATTCCCGAACACCAAGGATCAGGCGCGGTCCCAACACAAACATCTGCACGACCTGCAAATTCTGGAGAAACCCATAAATAATCTGAGCATCCAGGGAAATGCTCTATAGAACCGATAAATTGTGGTAGCGTGCATAGGCAAGTGTAAGATTGACATACCGCTGAGAATGTTGGAGAGAACGCAAGAATGAGATGAAAGCAAGAAACAGCAACAAAGCTAGCACGTCCAACCCATCAGTGATAACAAGGAAAAATAATCACGATATGAGTGTACCTCGCAAAGTAAAGCGCGTGAGTTTTTATCAGCACCGTGAAACAGTCCTCGATAATCCCTCCTGCCGAATGTTGTCGCAGTTCACGGAAGTGTTTTACCGCAATCCGAACCGCGAGACATAGTGCGAGGACCTCCCACACAGTTACGAGTATCCAAGTAATGGACACTAGAAGTGGCATATCTTCCCCATAGCCAATCAAGCAGTGATGAGTGCCGGAGAGAATGCGTTCCTCTGGTATTCATCGTTGAGCCCCATGCACTTTTTTTTCTCATCCACAATTAAACGTACCCCCTGAAGCCTGCATCGTCGTTATTACATTGGCCACTCCGCTAAAAATGTTGACAGCCAGGAAGGTGACAATGAGAAATATCAGGATACTTCTGGATCCTTGATACATGGCATGCAACCGAGCGATGATGATGACTTGCACCATGTTTCAGTCAAGTCAATATCACTGAGGTCTCGCATGTGCTAAGCTCACCCCACAGCATCGGAGTTACCAAAACACCCGTCCAATCCAATACGACGAACACAACAAAGCCTGCCGAATCCAGTGAGTAACAAGCCTCAGTGGCACAAACACAAACTCCAAACAGACTCACAACTGTGGCAGTATAGCATGGCAGTCATTAGTAATAGTAAAGAACCACACTCACTGCTACAGGGCAGCACGGTTAATTGGAGGGGAATAGTAATAGGTATCTGTGCAGAAGACTCACTGTATCTGTCAGCGAGATGGTCGGAATACTGTCTGAATGCCGTTGGTCAGAAGAAGCGAAGACAGCGAATGTACTAAGGAGACATACACAGCATGTACAGGCTGCAAAACGATTAACGCAACACCGATTATCTAGCCTTCCGAACATACGCAGCGTATAAGATTCCAAGGTAACGCGTCTAGGATACTTCCAAGTCAGCACAACATGGCAACCGTGACAAACAAGCTACATACACCTAGATACATAACTGCCATTAGGGACCAGCGTTGTCTCTGGTATATGTTCATGTGTGTTCCTCTGACACCAGACTCTACTCACCCAGACCAGTTCCACCTATAAAGCCATTCTCAGCGAGATGGCCGCTCCGATCATGGCATCGACATACCTCTTGTCCAAATATAAGTGCTGAAAATGATTTCAAGATATCGACAGTCCATTAATGTTATCATGCTCACCCCAATCATACGTCACTGAAACACAGGCGGCAACTGCGAAACAGCAGCCAAGGTTAGATTGTGTCAGCTTCGAGATCAGACCGCTCTCCACGAACCTATGAAATAGCTGCCAAAACGATATGCATCGATGATCGGCCACCAAGTGGGATCATTTGAGATTATGGTCATATTGGTAGAGAATGGGTGGGGGTGAGAGGCAAACTTGGTGGACGCATGACGATGGGATTCGTACTAGTTATGCCACCATCCGGTGCGTAGATCAGCGAAACGAGATCGGGGAGTGACGACCGTTCCTGTTTTGATTGGTCAAAGTAGATGTTTGCATGAAGACAAATCAATCCAGGGACCATAGTGTATTTTGGTCGTGAAACATTTGCGGGAGCGAAATACTTCAACACCGCAAAAGATCTAACGACATGGAGTGTGAGAGAAAGTGGGGAAAGAAAGATAGGCTCGTACTAAGTCATAACCATCATGATTCTGCTTACTCGCGCATTTCCAGATTTTGAAATATAAACAGAGAACGTGGGAGAAAGGCAAAGCAAGTCGCCTGAGTGAAAATATTCGTCACCACTTGCTATGTAGTCGGCCAGAAAACCAAGAAGCACGCATGGCCAGGCTCGGCATGTCGGGTATCTTTCCGATGAGTCGTACGTTCGTGTGCAGGACCTCGCCTAGGCAAGCCCAGCCCACTAGTACAAATCACAGCCTAAGCGCGGAGACTAAGTAGCATAGGATGTCATCAGTAAGTGAATGGGTCTAAGTGGAAATCGCCGCAGAAAACGGAAGACGTTGATCGAGATTCGAGTGCTTCGTCATTGCATCATGTGACCGGTGGATTCTTATCCAGCACGTCCGAAATAGTGAGATCGATACGAAGCAAACGAGCTCGTGTCCTACCTGAGCTACCGAAACCTCCCTGCGAGCACATATCTCAATGTCTAATCTCGTCCTTAGGCCATCGGTCGCTTCATGCGCACCCTCGTATCATGAAATGGTGAACCCAGAATACAGTATTTGTATCGTGGAGTTAGTGCGGTGGTAAGAGACATCAGGTTTTACCAGAGACGTCCTGGTTGAGATTCTGAGATTGATGTAAGATGAAGATACAACATCATCCCTAAGAGAGCGTTGAGAGACGAAATGAGAGAAAATGATGCTCGGATGCACAGGCGGCTCACCGTGTCATACAGCTGCCATTACACACCATCAACCCTTATTCCGATGAAAAAACAATCCAAAACGTGCCACACTGAATCCACCGTGCAGTTGATGTCCCTTCGTCGCGACTGACGCTTTCGCAGGGTAGCCTGAATGGGAATGTGGATTAGAACGCCGTCCATATTCGTATGAACCAGCTACCATACCGACGCCCGAGACTACACCGATATCTCAGAACTCCGACTGTTGAACAATCAAGATCCGAGAACGCAGATAATGCGCGACGAGAGGATCTCAGGATGCGCATGTTGTGCAGAGGGGTGATGCAGTTCGGCGGGGAGGTAGATAGCGGACATCCCGTTTCGGGGAGCGTATAGGATAATAAATTGATGCCCGTATAATGAATATCAGCAGCATCTCTGCATCACTTCTTTCCTCTGAGGACTTGAGTCTGGGAGCGTAGCAAATGCGAGAATATGGTAAGGGCCTAGGGCGGCGACTGATGCAAACTTAACATGCCACGCTAGATTCGTCATGCATCCCGCAGTGGACGTTTTGAATGGGTGGGAAGAGCGGTATAGCCCAGCAAAGTGCTTGCCTACAATATAATCCCATGAACGGGTACGATTCGGAGTCCTCCTTTATATCACTGTTAGTGTTTTGTACTTGGGAAATGAAACGAGAAATGGCACAACTTACTTCTCTGGGGACGGTCAACGTACACACCTCAACGCAAGTTCGCCTTCCTCCGAGTCCTACATCGCAAGTCCTCCGTCCAGGATTCCAGGGATCAGTCGCCGAGTGATCACTGATGTACACTTGCTCGCTCTCCTCTGCCGGTGAAACCCCGATAAAAACTGGTCACACTAAATCCTTCACAGCTGGTGCCATCCGAACCAACCTGAGACAATCTAACCAATTCGCGCGTAGCATCATGATTCGGCTGTGGATGTAACGTGCAGCCTGATGTATTTTCCAGTCTGTTCAACTTGCCTTGAAGTCAAATATAGATGCTCCTAATGCGCACTGAGACTTTGAACTGTGCATCACTGAGAAACTCAAAGTCGTGAAAATAAGAATAAGTTATTAGTACAACTTCGAGGAACAAGGCAAGAACATGCCAGTGAATGATTCGGTCAGACTCAGAGCGGACCTATTGAAGCGTGTCACGTGAGATATAATTGTGCCCGCTGGACTAGGCTTGACTGCTACTTCCGCTACAACCTTTCCATGGCATCCGTCATCCCGGTGATTTTCATACTCGCCGTAGTCCTAGGACTGATTGCTTGTGGCTACCTCTTCGTCCCAAAGGGCCCACATCAAACGTATGCTTTCTTCATTTTGTCTCAATCTGAACCAATACCCTCAAATGCAGGACAATTCGTACGGCCATCATGCTCACACTCGCATCATGTTATCTTATGTGGATGGTCACATACATGGCCCAGCTACATCCTCTCATCAGTAAGTCATGAAACCCGTTGATACGGTTTTATTGGCTAATGCAGCGGCATGAACTAAAAAGCGCCATATCGTTCAATAAAGAGCGGAGAGAGTTTATGATGGTCAAGCGCCGTGTGAGCGGGAAATAGACATACACCGCTGTCGCTATGATAGATTCTGCGTTAATTAAAGAGCACCTTGGAGTCCGCTGTTCTAGATCAGTGAGTGCCCCATCGCATGTAAGGTGGTGTTGCGTTTGAAAATAGATTACATTCATAGATATGTATCGGGATATATGTCGCATCTATCCAGTCTCAGGTACTTGTTACTATGTCTCAAAGAACCTGGGCTTTTTTCTCGGCCATGCGACTGTAAAGGCGTGTGCGGATCGTTGATCTCAGCATGTATCTGGCTGTGAAAATTTGTGTTTCTACATAATACAGTGTGTCTTGCATTGCGCGTCATCAGAGTTCTGCTACCTTTCCATGTTTCGCGCACTAGGCCCGGTTCGACACATCACTTTACTGAGAGAAGTCAAACAGAGTCCAACTGTAACTAATTCACGTGTAGCAGGATGATCTGCAGAACGAATGCCAGCGGTGTTCCACGTCGCAACCGTTGCACGCGTGTGACGGCTTTGCCACAATGAGTTGGTGGGTTTCTCATTGTTTCTCAGCTCATTCTACAGTTTAACAAGTAGGTCCACTATTGGTAGCATGTTGTCGTCTGGGCGATCATCGATCGTGGCTCTACCCGACGTCGTGGGAAACTACTTACTCTCGTTTAATGCAGGAACCAATGTCCTCAGAATCATATGTATTTCCTAACTCCTTGGGCTTGGCGTACTGATGCAGTCTGCCATAAAAACCCTGTCATTGATCACATTGATGCGGCCCTACGTCCACCTCGTTCGCCTTACGCGTCTCCTTGAATAATTATGACCCTGGTCTCAAACGATCCTACTTGGTGGCCGACGATCCATTCAAATCGTGTAGCCAGCTATTTTATGGGTGGGTGGAGATCATCTCAGATGATATTTCGATCTCACCTTGGCTGCGGTGTGTAGTTGCCGGTTCTGTTGGAGTGATATACGATTTGGGTGAGTAATATTGTCTTCAAGAACCGCTGACATCTTTATGATATTTCTAGTGCTGACGTTTGGACAAGAGGTGGGTCGATGCCATTATTGGTAGTCATCTCGCTCAGAAAGGCATTACAGGTCGAACTGGTTTGGGTGAGCAGGGTCTCCACTCAGGATGACAGGATAGAAATTCATTTGATTTGCGACAGATGCAACCCTGGTCGCTGATGTCCATTCTGTATCTCAGTGTATGTAGATTGCGTTATGATCCCGCAAGTTATGCTGACTTTAAAATATCTTACGTAGGTGCGATACCTTGGAATAGTATATGCTATGTGTGTTTGGATGGTCAACTATTTGATATTGTGCTAATCAGTCATTTCTCGCAATCAGCATCCAGATTCTTGGTATGTCATCTGATTCACCGTGTTTGATTCCTCTGACCAACAGAATACTACTTACAGACAGTGTTCCGACGATCTCGATCACAGATACAGTGAGTAGTCTGCATCTATGTTTGCCATTCCCATCCAATCAACTACACTTTCATGTAGGGGTGAGTGAGATTCTTGACCAGCCCATTAGTTCAATGTATTGACTGTCGCAGTTGTGAGTATTTCGAGTCTGAATCTCCCGAGGCTGATCGCCAACTTGATTTGCCAGGCCACATTATGTATAATGCAATTATTTGGATGACTCTGGCCGTAAATGTAATGCTGGGTGGTGAGCATCACCGTTGTGATATTCTAGTGACATTGTTTGACTGAAACACTATTCAAGTCATTACTTTGACTCGGTTATATGCCATGTATCAGCGATCCAGAAAGATGCTGATATTTCTCGTGGTCACCCTCCTGGCTGTTAATATCGCTAACGCAGTCTTCCTCGCAGTTGGAATGAGACGTGCCTCAGAGGGTAGGCTCTAATGAGACACTCAAATGCTTCAGGCTCATTGACGGTTACTTACCAGAGGAGCTTATTCTCTTCGGCACCTATCAGTGCACTGTTAGCTACGAGGGAGATGTCCAAATTTTGAAGTCCATGCCTTGGGTACTCACTACTGCATGGGAAATCCTTGCACTGTGTCTCGCAGGCTGGATTGCTGTACACCACTTCAGTGATCTTCAGCGACACTCAGCAGGAGGGATTATTGGCGATTTCATCACAGTGCTAATGAAAACGCACGTGGCTTATTTTTCGAGGTGAGCCCATAACGCAGATGTGGTTTCCTTTCCGCTGAAAATGCGCATGCACTAGCTTTGTTGTTGTTTCTTTCTTCTGGCTCGGTGAGGTTTCTCCGACGTTCACAACGGTATACCAATCTGTTACTGTCCTTGGCATACTACGATGATTCATCATTTCTATAGGACTTCTTTTCCCTGAAAACTGAGATTTATCGTGGGTTCCTTCAAATCATCTTGGTCATGCAGTTGTTTGTGGCGGGACCGCGCCTGATCCTTAGCGTTCGACGTTATCGCGCTGAGCTCATGGCCTGCTCTAATACAGCAACGGAAATGGTTTCAATTGCTCTGCAGGAGCGCGGGCATATGTCAACTACCAGTAGTATATAGCCTGAGCACGAGAAACGTTCGATGCGATTAGCACATGTCGGGTTCCTCTGCACGTTATATATGCGAGAAATATCTAACACCCATATCCTCATGCATGTAGGGAGCAAACTCTATTGTGCGTCCCCACGGATCAGTGGCGTTCGTCTATAGGGCCGACACAAGAATTGAGTACTACATGGCATTCGGTGATTAATTCCACGTCATGAGGCATAGGCGGGTCAATACCTCAGGCAGATCCTTATTGGACCTTAACCGTTTCCATAATATATATATGCGCCCATGTATCATCCATGAATCATGATTTCAGCACACCTCTAAGTAGCTAATCACGATGTACAGTACTTGATGGGATGTAACGGCGAGCAGTAATAACGATAATAACAGACTCGTCACAAGACCACAGGAATACACTTTGGATGTTACAGACAAAACAACAAAATGGTTTGAGGAAGATGAAAGTGCAACATAAAACACAAATAATATAAGTAAGAGTAAGGATAATGTACGTGGGACAACGGAAACAATCTGGATATGGACGTGTATGGAAAAGCAGTTCGACAAGAAAGCATAGCAGATCGTGGCAGAGTTAGACAGTGTCATTATGCGCCGGGTATCAAACACAACATCGAGGAACTCAGACGAGCGCAGCAGATTGCAAGTATCCTCGGAAAATCGAGTCTCGTACTGCATGATGGATAAGTTGCCGGAAGGCTGTGTGATTGCAATTCTAGAACGTACCGTTTCCTATGATGCTTTGGGTTGCCTTGGTATCCTGAGCACGCGCCAAGGTATGAGTCAGTGCTAGCGTTGAGTGGGCAGTGAAAATGAAACAGAACGTACAACAACATTGGTCAAGTGCGTATACAGCACACGTCTGTTTTCGTTATTCCGTCTGTGGACTTGGAGAAAGTGGGCACGGAAGTACTGTACAACCGACTCGTACTCGTTTGGACGGTCGCCATACGAGAGAATGCTGAGGCCAGCTCCGTAAGCATGTTACAGACGAGAACCACGAGGACCTTACTATTTTGAGACAGATAGCCCTCGTTCAAGCTTCTTTTTTAGGATATCAGTCTTGTCTGCGGTGGTAGCTTGTATTAATACACTTTGTGGGACCACTAGCATGAGACAACCCACTCAGGAATAAGACTAGATGGACCTTCTTGAGGAGCAGATTGGAGCAGATCTGTGTAAAGAGTTGAAGCGAGTCGTCGATACGGTTGGTGCGAGGATCTTCCTCGAGGTACTGGGAAGAAGGTATGTAAAGATACTACAAACAGCGGGTGCTGAAGCTCTCACCTGATCAAAAGCACTGATTGGGCTGACAAAAATTATGGCGTTTGCGTCGTCGAAGTACGGCACCCACGAATGACGCTGTCCCCTGGCGCCACCAACGTCAAAGAGATGCCACGTCACAGTCTTGCCATGAATGTCAACGTCAAAAATGTGCTCAGCAACACCCATAGTTTGGATGCGTGCATGGAGAATATCATCTATGAAGAGGTGAGCATGAAGACATTGACTCGACAAAAACGCGCACCAGTGGACGGTACATAATTCCGTGCCGAGATACGTGAGATGTCATTCAAGAAACTGAGCAAAAATCCATTTTTAGAGAAGAGAAAGATGCATATATGCGCACACTCACAACTCTGACCACTCATCTAGCTTTAATTTTCGACTTGTCATCAAGGCACGGACAACCTGGTTCTCCCACAAGGTCCTGATATCTTCCCTTGACTGTTCCAACATTCTTGCGACATCATCCACAAGAGGGTCAGCATCGATAACTGACAGAGCTGTTCCGGGACGCTCAATCGTCAGTTCGTCCTCGGGTGAACTGGGCTTTGGTTGCCTGCGGAGTAGCTTCTGACCTTTTTGGATGGTCCTCGCCTGCCATCCGCTTCGAACGTAAACTTCGCCTTTGCCGGACCCTGACACAGAGACGCCCCCACTTAGTCCATCAGCAAGCTGAGGCTCAGTATTTGTGAGTGGTAGAAGTCGTCGCCGGAGATCAGATATCGCAGTCGATCCCCGAATGGGACTAGACGCTGTTGGACTAGTGGGTGACGTAGGTGACGGCGGCGAAAGGGCTACCCCGATTTGTGAACTGTGTATACTGGGTGTTGCCGAACTTGAAGCCCGAGTGGGAAGATAATCACCGAGTTCCTGACGCTCGAGAGTGCTCTGAGAGTCACTCCCATCATCGATGTCGTCCCAAGCTTCCAGGGTTGTAAGGATCTTTTTAATAGATCGCACGACATTGAAATATACGACGGTTCTCCATGACATGCGCTCGCTTTCAAGAGAAGCAGGGCTATACATAAGCTGAAACTGCTTTTGCAGGGTTGATTTGCCAGATTCAGCCTGGCCAAGGAGAAGTAACTATGGCATATGATGGTGATCAGCTCCACAGACCAATCGTGCCAAAAAAATGACTTGAAATGACCTTGACATCACTTTTGGACTTTTTCAACCTTTCCCTCTCAAACCTGAGTTCTTCGTCTATCTGTTCTGAGATTCGACGCGCTTCGGCTTCGTGCTGCAGCCGAATATGGCGATCTGAGTCTGATTCTTCTGGAGGAGGCCTTATGGCAAGAGACAAGGGGTCATCTTGGCTACGAATGGAAGAAGTTCGTATCATCGTGGTACAAAGACAAGTGCGGAGAGAGACAAAAAGCCGTTGTATTACTTATACGAGAATGGTTTCGAGAGAACTATTAAAGAGCAAGGCAGTCACAGCCCGTCGCATCACATTGTCACATTGTCACACATGGTAATTCGTCCTTCTCCTCCATCAACGCATATACTAACTCGTAGCTATCTTATAGTCTGTAACGCTTCACACAAGTCACGGCGAGCTCAAGGTGCGCTTATATATGCCCAACTAAAATCTCTGCGATTCACTCGGAAATTTTGGGTGATTCAGATCGAGATATTCTGCGAGGCTGTCCCCAAAACGGCAGAGGTATGGAATTGCTTCCGTCTATCTCTTCCGAGCCTGACAAGCCCTAGAACTTCCTTGCGCTATGCGCTTCGAATTATTATGATAATTGCATATTTCACCGCAGCATCAAAGGGTTCATGGTCCAGACGGGCGATCCTTCTGGCTCAGGAAAAGGTGGCCAAAGCATATGGGGGAAACCCTTCGAAGATGAGTTGCGGTCTACTTTGAAGGTACCGGATGCCTTTACCCGCGCAGATGGATCTTCACCAATCGTTTTTGTAGTTTAACCATCGTGGTATAGTCGCCATGGCGAACTCCGGCCCCGATACGAACAAGTCGCAATTCTTCATAACCTATGCAAAACAGCCTCATCTGGACAACAAATATACGATTTTTGGCAAGGTCATTGATGGTGCGGAGTCCGCACTTGATGCCATGGAACGTGTACCTGTGAACAATAAGAACAGACCGCTTTCCGAGATCAAACTGACTCATGTATGTTATCACTGGTGGATTAGGCAGCAAGTGCGCTGATAAGATATTCTCTGATCATCATTAGGTGACCATTCATTCGAATCCCATTGCGGACGCTCAGTTAGTCTCACGTTGATACTAAAACGAACCTTTCGTTTGTTTGAGTGCGAACTCCAAAATCGTCACATCAGATGAATGTTCTTTACACCTCAGAGTATGCTAACGCTTAATAAAACCAACCAGCTCTTTCTGCAACTCTCTTTGTCGTCGCGCTTTGTCTAGGTCATCTATGCTTCGCAGATCATAGACGATATCACGTGTTTTGCCGAAGTACACCTGTGCTATGATCAGGTCCTGAATGTCTCGAGAAAGAAAAAAACTTCGTGCCTCTTGAAGAAGATTTCTCATTTTCATCTCCATCTCCTCGATCATCTTTCCCGTGTTCGTAATATGTGAAGTCGGTTCATGAACAGGCCAGTCCTGCTCGGTCTGTGGGAAGTGAAGGTGTGTGACAGCCCACATCAGGTTAGATGAGGAAGCCTACCTGTCTCGTCATGCTTCCACTTAAAGTGATTTCCCCCGACGACTTCCATCCTTGCTCGGAAGCCTTTTTTTCGGTTTCGTGGAGAACGGAGGTTTCATCGGCCTTATTGTTCTGTTTCGTCACGAGCTCCAACATGACAGTAGATGTGAGCTTGTAGTGGGCTTGTCTTCCGCGCTCCACGGTCTCGAAGACATGGATCGAGTCCCATGAACCTGAAGGCTCGTCAGGGCTTGTGGGTGTCATCGCTAAGGTGCAGGCAGTTAGAGGCACGATCTTAGAACGTCGAAAACATAGATATCCCACCCTTTTTGAGCAACACAACACCTGCAAAGCCGCCATCTTCCAGATCCCAAAGATAAACAGAAGACACGCCACCTTCGTAATATCTATTGTCAAAAATTTATTAGATGATACTTGTACGAAGATTTACTGCAAGCCTATTCATGTATAACACGTACAGTTCGCGATATGTATCGAACGCTTCATTGGCGGCAATCTCAAGTTTGCGAAGCTTCGGCGTTGGTGAGGTACCATCGTCTATGGGAGGATCGTATTCATTCGACCAAGGTGACCTGAAGAAGCGCGTTAGTACGCGAAGTACATTTTCTCGGATACATGAAATAGGACTAGAACCCTTGCCACTCCACACAACCCAACTTATGTCGCCTTGAACACATTCGCCGAAGCGCAGCAGAAGACTTACCGATAACTATCACCGTCCCTATTGTAATCGCATGCAAGATAGTCCTTCCCTGTGGCTCGGTCTGTCTTGACCTTCAGAGGCTGGTCGACACTACCTAGAAGATCATCTGCATAGTCCGGGCAGATCTGTATGAGCGCGTTCACGTTCTCCTCGACATTGGTAGGCGGGAGGCGACGCATCAGATCGAGCATGGAATCAACTGGGTCTGGACCTTCTGCCATCTCGGACTGCTCTGCGGACGGTTGTATGAGCTTGAACAGAATAATTGATAAACGATCTTGAAGGAAACTGGCGTTCCACCATGGCGCATCTGGATTCTCAACAGCATCCGGCGGCAAAGCCAAAACAGGATGTTAGCATGGCCCGCACTAGCTCAAACCACAACAATAATGGCGATTGAATTATTCTCGCTTCCTACAGAGCTAATATGGCGCATCTTATCAATTCTTGCTCCAAGGGATATTTGTCGCTGTGCAATAGTTGGTTATTTCCCGCTGTTCCATGTTACTTCTAAGATGAACTTACTTCTGGTTTCAATGTCAGACTTGCAGAGCCTTCTGGAATATGATCCAGAATTCTGTACGCATTCAATACCAGCTTGAGCTTTATGCTCAGGGTTTCACTAAGACCACTACCATGGACTCGATTGGTGTCTCCAGAGAAATGTCCTCGCTCAAGAGATCGACATCTTTGTGGCGGTCTGGCTTACATTTGAACACGGTCTTGGAAGAACGACTGATGACTTCTACCTTCCCCGAACATCCCTCACTACGATGGCTACGATTCGGTATGAAGCGTGGTCTTCTGTGGATGTTGGTACAGGGTGGTCTCTTCATTAGGGACTATAACACAAATACCAACCTTTCCCGGACGTGGGCCATACATGACTTGTCCTCTCAGCACCGCCCGAATTTTCTTACTGTAGATCCTCTGCAAGATCTTGTGGTTATAGTCTCCTTGCCTGGTATCGTCACCGTGACCGACACCGAACAAGATTACCATGCCTTTTGGGTGGAATGTCGGTCAGCTTCATCCCAGCATCCCCACCCGGACTCTGCCTGCGCTTCCTTGGAGTGCAAACATACTTTTGATATATGTGGAGTGTACCATGTCGATTTGATTGGAGAACCTGCGATCTATGGTGATTATATATTTGTCTTTTATTACATAGAGAACAAATCTTATAAACGTGCGTCTGCCACGTTCATGCAAGCTATTGATTGGAGGAAAGGATATGTGAAGAGTGTGAGTACCTTTGTTCTTGAGAATTCAGCTGCTTAGTATATGTAGCATCTTTTCCCAGACTATTATCAGCAAGGCTCTCAGCATCAATTCTACGTAGTCGACCAACGGACAATTGTTGTCATTGGCTCGAGCTTTATAACCGTGCACACATTACAGGATATCGATGGGTCGCTGCGGCCCAGACTCACGTATCTCCTTCCAAAGTGTCACCATTCATCCTTTCCATTCATGTTTGTTCATGCCAGCCCATCGTTCAGTGGCACAGCCCCTCACGCAGATCTTATGCCCGGCTATGTGCCCTCTCTAGAGTCACAAATCGTTGTTTTAGAGCTTATCTCATGCCCCCGCACACTGTCTATTATTCTGGTCATTGATACAGTGATCTTCTCAGGAACGGCTTTGCAGTCAGAGACACATGTCAAGATTCCCTGGTCCGACTGGGGACCCCAGTACACGTGCTGCTTTCCGCATGACCCCTGCTACCAAATCAGTGTGTTCGGTAGCAAAATGGCTTATACCCTCCCTCGAGATCATTCCCCTGAACCTGGACAAAGACTGGAAAAACTCTCCGCCGCGGGTCACTTCTACATCCATATCTGGGACTTCAATAAACGAGTGATTGCTCGTTCGGGGAATTTCTACAATCCCGACTCACCAGACCCTTTCATTCGTAAGCCTGGCAGGGTAGTTCAGTCGTGCTTTGATGAGGAAATCATCTCGAATCACCCTTACACTGCTACCGTCTGCCGTGCTCCATTTTTGACGCGTGGCTTGCGTAAATTATTCTTAGAACAGGATAGACTTATCTTGACCTCGGTAGGTTTTCTTAGTTGTGAGAAAAACGATGGTTTAATGTGACCGCAGGTGCGGCCTGGTACAGTTGATATTCAAGTCCTCTCTCCTGTACAGATGGATGTTGGGTCGGACTTTACACATTAGAATGTTGTGCAGGAAGAACAACAAGTCATCATGCTTCCGAGTCATTCGACCAGTCTTGTGTACATTACCGTGGAATCGGACTGTTTGTATTTGAATGAGTGGCCTGATCCTCGGCAGGAGACGACTCATCGGATCGAGCAGGTCTAGCTCTTCCGATTTCGTGCTTGACTCTGCAGACGATCAAATTGTCTTGCAGATATACGAAATTGAAGGAAACGTTCGTGAACAGTATCCCGCGGCAAACGGCACCAGACTCTGCCAAAACGGGAAACTTACGAAATTCAAAAGTCCTGCCCTGAATTTGCCCTGAGCTTCGTACTGTAAAACTTATCGCTACCGAACTAACGTGGCTGCTCAATAGTCAGCCGTTTCCCCACTATTTTATGTTTCCTCCCATGAACTAATAGACTAAGTTCTCGTCAGACCCAGTGGAAGGCCTTCTGAAATGCGATTTCGTGCCATTGGCGGTAGTCCGTGAAGTCACTAAAGTGTGGGCTTTGATAAATAGAGGACCAGATCGATCTCTTCAATATTTGGGACTGTAACATGAATACCCATATTTCTGGATGTGGCCTAGATGCGGCTATGGTTCTCATTACCTCACTGCCGACCCTCTGCGGGGGTTGGATCCTTCTATGTCTACATCTCCTTACACTGTCACTGTCCGACAAACACCTTTTCTGGCGGATTACCCCTGGTTATTCTTGGAACAGGATCCGCTTATTTTATCTTACATAAGTAGGTGTTCTCATCCTCGAATGCACAAATAATCTAACTAGCTAGGTAGGTGCGATCTCAGGATTGATATTTAGCTCGTTTCCCCTGTGAAAATGAAGGTTGTGTCGACTGGAATCAATCTAGGTGGTCTATCATAATTCATAAACAGCAAGTCATGATGCCTCATGCTCCGGTCTTGAGTAAATTGATCCTTAGACTTGAAGCAGACAGTCGTGTATTTGCATTATCATCGACCTTGGTAGGTGGGAGACGAACCATCAGATCGAATTTTGTTGAAGCAACTCGGTCTGACGCTTCTTCCACATCTTATGCGGTGGTCGTTTGGAACGAAGACTAGATATGAAAATTGCAGCGAACTGTATCCATCTACCGTCTCGTCGAACAACAGTGGACAGCATACGTAGGCCGAAACAAAGAGGCAGATCTTACTCTCAACTCAATAGGTCCATTGCACGAGTATTTTCTTCTCAGACATAAAAATGGCGTTCGAATTCTTCTTTCCTACAGAGTTAACATGCCACATCTTATTACTTCTTCCTCCAAGGGATATTTGTCACTGCGATGGTCGGTTAGATTTCCGCTGTTCCATATTGCTTCCTAAATTAATTTACTTCATGCTAGCCCATCATTCTGCGGTGCAGCCGCTTGCGCAGATCTTATGCCCAGCCATGTGCCCTCTCTAGCATTACAAATCCTGGCTGTAAAGCTTGTTTCAGGCCCTCAGTGGTGCCCACTGTCTGTTATCATTAAGTTCATGCCACCAATTGGAGCACAGAATAACATGTTGAGAATGGCATCGACAACTCATCATGCATCGTTCGAAAAAAGACACTATCTGATCCTATCCTGTTCTATATGATGGTGCTGAATATAAGTACTAATACCGCCATCTTTAGAATACAACAGAAACGAAAGGGCAGTGGGAGAAAAGCAGACTCCGGGCCGTGCGTCGCCCTTGCGACCACAGGAAGCCTTGAATTCGAAGTTACACAAGCTCCGAGTCAAATGATGAAACGTAAGTACGTATGGTGCCACTCTGATGGAAACACGTGCTACAGTAGATCCATCATGCATCATGCCATTGATGAATCATAGAAGGTCACTGCAGACCAAATAACTTGCACTGTTTGCTGTGTGAGGCTGTGGATAGCAGAAACGGAATATGCGGGCGTATGCAAGATCGGCGTTCGACCAAATATGTACGTATCCAAATGCGGACATATTTTGTAGCCTGCCGGAATGTCCCGGCACCGCGATTCGAACATGCTGGAACTTCGTTTCCTGCGTTCGTGCCACAGGTTGCACAATGTCGAGTTCGTTGTACCTTGCACTTCAGCTTCCTCAGTCGCACTTACAGTTTTTCTTTAGACCCATCCACCATTCTCTTCAATTTTTCTTTGCTCCACAGTTGTCGTAGTTCCTTTTTAATCGAGCATCCTTGTATTTTGAGGTATCAATTGGGTAGCATCGTTTCGAAGCAACCCGAAGAGTGGTCGAAATCGTAAGCAGGTATCCCGCCCTCCCGAGCGGCTCCACTTACTTGTATCCCATCCGCTCAGTCCAGCGCAACCTGTTAGATCATGTCAGCGACTCTCGCGCCAGGCTCAGACGAAGCTGGACAGACCTGTAAAGCACTGTGGTACTGCCCACATCTAATACACGCTTGAGCTTTATGCCCAATGCCCATGGCTTCGAAACTGTTACCCTGAACTTATCCAGTTTTCCAGAAAGATGGCCTGGCTCAGGAAACATATATCTTGTTTTTTTTTAGAAATCTGCGGCTATCGTACTGTTTCTTGGAGGACAGGGATGGCGTAGCTGTGACCAACTTTTTCATACAAGTGATTGATTGGAGGAAGGAATATGTGAATGGTGTAAGCCCTCTATTCTTGAGAACCCTCTGCTTCACATTGAAAGTATTGTTACATTGACGACATATCTGCAGTGAAAACATTTTTCATGTAGTCGACGAACAGACCATAGGCATGCTTACCTCGGTTGGCCTTATAACCTTGTGCGCATTACAAGAACTTCACGCGTCGAATCACCGATCACCATCATCCATTTCTACGGCTGGCCATTGACTGTTGTTCATGCTAACCCATTGTTCAGGTGCAGCGGCTCGCGCGGATCTCATGTCTGGCTATGTACCCTCCCTGGAGTCACAAATCATAGTTTTAAAGCTTTTCCTTACCGAATCCTGTCATTCTGGTCATCTTCTCAAGGACGAGTTTTTCATGTAGTCGACGAACAGACCATCAGCATGCTTACCTCGGTTGATCTTCTAACCCTGTGCACATTACAAGAACTTGACGCATCGAATCACCCATCACCTTCCCGAGGGCCATCTCTACGGCTCGTCATTGACGGTCGTTCATGCTAACCCATCTTTCCACGGTTCAGGCGCAACAGCCCTCGCGGATCTCATGTCCGACCGTGTACCCTCCCTAGAGTCACAAATCATGGTTTTAGAGCTTTTCTTTAGTGAATCCTGACATTCTAATTGACACGGTCATCTTCTCAGGGACGAGCTTGTGCCCAAAGATGTCTGTTGATATTCCCTGGTCGGACTGGGGACCCCAGCATGCGTACTGCTTTCCGCAGAACCCAACCTATCGAAGCAATGTGTTCGGTAGTGAAATGGCTCCGTCAAGGCCATACCCCTGAACTTGGACAAAGACTGGAAACACTCTGCTGAGGGTTCCTTCTATGACTGCATCTAGGACTTCAACCAACGAGTCGTTGCTCGTTCGGAAGGCAAGCATGATCCCAACTCGCTAGACCAAGTTCTCATCCGCGAGCCTAGTCGGCTAGCTCAGCAGAGGTCACCTCGAATCATCCTTACATCACTGCCGTTACCGCACGCCTTGTTCGATGGATAGCTTCCACAGTTTATTCTTGGAGGAAGATCGAACTGCTTTAACATGGTTAGGTGCTCTTGGTTATAAATATAGAATAGTCTAATGTGGCCAAACTGTAGTTGCGACTTGACAATTGGAAGGTTGATATCAAAGTCGTTTGCCCTAAGATAAAGGGTCGGATCTCACAAACTAGAATAAATTGTAGTGGCCCAGGATAAATACCAAGTCCCATGATCATGATCAGCTGTCGGACAGCCTCACTAGATAGTGATCTTCCGTGTATCGCTACGGCCATCACCTACACATTGACAGCTCCATTATCTTCTTGCTTCTTATCTCGTACGCGCCCTGCCCCTTTCTCGAATCTTTCCGGTTCATTATGCGCATTCGCCAATTCCATAACGTTGAATTTCTGATATCGATAATAATCTTCAACAATACTCACGCCAACGGTGCTCTGCATAATCTTAAGATCAAAAAACGGATCTGAACCGAAACACAGCACGAACCTTGAAGACTTCCACTAGAACGAACACATCAGGGTCGTCGAGGTCGACAGTATAATTTGACGGCATGCATTTAGCTACTTCTTGGATGATCTCCATTCGCGTCAGCGTATTGTGGTTGCGCATGCGCAACTCGATCTTGTACTAAACCATACATTCAATAAATCGCGAGCGTCGACTTGTTTGTATACGTACCTTGCGAGCCCTCGGGGACCCCCCGCTATTCTGATTCTCCGGGGCGCAGTACGCAGCAACGGTTCGATGACATAAGGAGTGGAGCTCTGGAAGGTTCGCGACGCATGTGCCGGAGACTGGTGTCAACCGATGCGTGTATCTGTCATGCCGAATGAGTACGAATCGAAGAACGAGTACGACGTATAGATTTCACTTTGTTCTCGTGATGCCCGTTTTTTGAACGTTTTCTACGTGTTTCATCACCAATTTTACTGGGTCCACAGGGGGTTTACATGACATGAAGATGACTGAGTCAGAGCAGTCAGGATAAGTTTAGACTGATGGAAAGCGTGTGCTCGTACCACAATTGGTGTTTGTCAGGCAGTTGGCTGGACCTCGCACCATCAGCTCGAGAAAGGACTCGGAACAGCAAAAGTTTCACCCACCGAACCGCCTCTCCACTTTTGGCCGTTTCAACGCAGCGACCTCTTTCGCAATCTGGGTTTCTAGATCATCTTCTTCATTCTCTGAGCCGTTATCCCGATCATTAGCAGAGGACTGCCCTTCAACGGGCCACATGTCAGCAGCTAGCTATCAACGAGCACCATAAGCTGCGTGCGAAATCTCAGCGTCGACAGAGTTCACCGATTCAAAGAGATCGTAGAGCTCGCCAACCGTTCCTTGTTCTTTCCCCTTTACGCAGGTTGCCCAGATTCCTGGTCCCTCGATCGTTCGTTTTACCCAGGTGGGCGATACACCGTCCTGTCAAACGTCTATCGGTATCATGATGGAGATCCGGGGAGTTTTGTTGGTTGTATTAGTACTCACTGATCGATACTTGCGTTTACGACCATTAGAAGGGCCGCTTTGTGCTTCTGCCATTTCTTTGGATGGAAATCTAAGTCGTTCGAGGTGCTGAGGGTCGGAACTTTGTTTCTGACGTGCCGATACTTGGAAGTTCGCGTTCAGGTGCCGCGCGCGCCTAATCAAGACAAACAAAGTTGCCCCGCTTGCGCAAGGTCGTGCAGACGCTTGCAGACAGCGAATTACAAGTCATATATTATACATAATGAAGCGAGTCTGATATAATAAGCGTCCAACTCCGGACCCAAGTTGCAAGACAACAAACTTTGACCCATAAATAATATGGAGGCGTCCAGTGACATTTATTTTAAGCTAGGACTCCTCGTCGTCGTCCTCCTCTTCACCGTCTTTTGCTTCGCCACCAGTCCACTTCCGTTCCCATAGTGGGGGTGGAGAGTCAGGATGACGCCGTAATAATGGATGATCAACGGGGAGGGCACTTCTCGCCACCATCAGGCGCTGCTTGAAGACTTCATGCTGTGACAAAAGCTCTGTAACGTAATCGATAGCTGTAGCGCAAGATTAAAATAAGTACGAATCAAAAGGAGAGATGCGGTTTGAGTACTAACTCTTTGAGAGCACGACATGTTCGCTTTTGGGACCGGCCCTCCCGTCGGCCTTCTCACCGTCGTCATTTGTTGACTTTGCTTTACACCGACGTCTGCCAGCTTTCTTTCCGTTCGCGGCTGCTTCTTCTTCCATTGCCTCGGCCAACATGGCTTCCCGTAGAGAGGGAACGATGTCGCACAAAGCCTCGTAACCCCTTCTTATATTAGCTCTTCGCTTCTGCTCCGATTGTATATGATTTGCTTTTTTCTGCGAGGGTGATAGAAGCGTTGACGCTCTACCCGCGTCACTCGCAAATTGTTGCGATGTAATTGATGATTGTCGCCGCCGTTTGTTGGAAACATCATGATCCAATGGCGGGGATCGTTTATTTGACGAGACCGGTGTAGGAGTGGTATGGTGCGTGGAGAAGGATGAAGCTGAGGAAGACGGATCAACGGGAGACTGACTCGATGATGAGGATGATGCGTTATCGAAAGTGAACGTTCTTGCTCTAGTTCTGGTGGAGACTGATGAATGATCCGCGGTTCGTTGGAGAGGGGGTATGTGTACACGATTGCGGGACAACAGTTGGGAATGGCCTGTGGTGGCGTCATTGCTCTCTACACGTCTTTCTCGACGGGTAGAGTAGAGAAATGACAAGGAGTTTGACTGTGACTGGGAATGACGGTGAACCGGTGGTTCCGACGGAGACTCACGAGATGAAGGGATGCGAGTGAGTGGATACCGCCATTTATCCGTATCCAGCGACATGAGGTCTTTGGTTGCTTGAGCCAAGGCCTCTCTACCGTGTGCTGGAGGCATATGCTCATGCGAGACTTCTAGCTCCACATTCCATGCTGCTGAAAAGTCGGTAGTGTCAAGGGATGAAAGGAATTTCTGAAAGGCATGAGCCTCTGTAGGAGTTAAAAGCGACATAAGAGTCGTTGAACGAGAGCGAGTACTTTAATGAGGAGTACTTTTGTACTCTGGTAGGTTTAGTAATTCGCACAGGATGATGAGAGTTGAATTTAAAACCATCGCAAGGCTGAATTTGCTGTTACGGCCAGTTCGGGATTCATGCGACAGGTGGCTGTGCTTCCCCATGGGATCTTGCCTTTCTTGGTTCCGCGAAAAAAACCTATGTATACTGTTTGCGTACTACCGGTAAATGGATCCCTGACGCCCTTTTATGAATCACGCGCACAGCCTGATATGAAGATGCATGTATTAGCTAGATGCAGTACTAGCTCTTTCTTCTAATCCAACCTTGTTATATATATCGGAACAGTTTCGGTGACGATCGGAAGACGACTCTCAACGTTGCAATGGCAATGAACGAAGAAACGATGCGTACTGATCTAGGATTAATCTGAGACAAAGGTACGAGGAAGGGGGGGTTGCATGCTGGGTGCATATACTCGTATTCATGTCACTACCTCATTGGCGCTTAAATCTGCCGTTACTAGCTGTCATGAAATGAAACATGTTGGCCGAAACAAGTCCCGTTCATCGCATAAATATTATCCAGGGAAGGCATAGTACTTACTGAAAGGCCCACCCACTGCTAGGCTACATCAGCAGGATATTCCGTTACCAGCAACTTTTAGCTTGAACTTTCGTATCCGATACGGCACAGGTTCCGTTTTCATCGCGGGAGGAGGACATCCACGTTCCGTTTTCCTGACAAAATCGATAATGATCGACTGCGTGTTTGATACTTACCACGGAGGTTCTGACGACCCGGCTATGCACCCGGCTTTGGCGCAAGCGGTGCATGGCGATGATTAATCATTACTCATATTACCCGAGATGCTTGGAGCTCATCGCCGGAAACAACGAGCTCGAGTCTCGGCTCGACAGCCGGTACTGTTGTAGGAAGTAGCTTCAACCCGGTTATTATCATTTCGGATCTCGTTCTGCCTCGGGGACTTGATAGCACGGATGTGGAATGATTCATCATGATGATGTAGATGATTAGTGATTAGATAACCTTGGCATGGCTTAGCCCATTCCGAGTCGGCTTCGGCCTCGGGAAGTTCGGGCTACTCGTCCAATGGGCAGTTTCGAATAAAGGCTAATCAACTCGATATTATCACCAAACTGGCTGTGCCACGGCCATTCATCATGTTCTGCATAACAGAGTCTAGGTCTGCCCCGGAGCGCTCGCTGTCAAGACTAACTGGTACATCATCACGTTCTGTCTCAAACCATCGAATCAACACAATAATCCCAAACTTTGTTCAAACCCGGACCGTATAGACATCACAAGAAATCATTGTTCCAAAGTACCAGGGTTTGATCCACGTCGCTTATCTCAACGGCTTCAGCATCCCGGGATGGTGTCTATATAAGGGCCTTGTGCGTCTGTTTTGAGTCTGATTGGCTAACCCATGACCATGCGAATCAGATAGCGATAATCCTTCAAGTCGAGCTTGATTTCCAAGAAGTCCTCACCAATGAGCGGGGAAGCAGAGCTAAGAGTGACTTTCTTCCCTCCACTCTATCTTCAGAGAAGAATATGGGTGCTAGACGTCCTTCGCCGCGAGCAGGTCACAGAGGTCAGTCTTGAATCAGTCTCGAATCACCGAGTGATCAGTCTCATCTCCTGCATAGATCGTAGACATCGGGTGCGGGGAGGGTCAACTACTCGCAGTTCTCTGTCAACCTGCACTTTGTCTTCCCCCTCCTGACCCTGGCGTATTGACATCTCCTAGCGACGCGACTGCAACCCCAATCCAAGCGGGTGATCTCGATCTCCACCCGAGGCGCATCACCGGCCTCGATATCTCATCTCACGCACTTGCATCCGCGATCGAAGACACCTCCCCCGCTGCCGCAAACGCATCATACACACGGTGGGAACCACTCGAAGTCAACATCTGGCATGGCGGACTCGAGATCTTCAACCCAGCCTTTGTCAATGCAGAATGCATCGTTGCAACAGAGGTGTATGTCTATTTCGTGCTATGACCGGTTTGTTTCTAACACTTTTCGTCTCAAGCGTCGAACACCTTCCAGAAGAAATTCTCGCTGATTTCACGCCCATGATCTTGGGCGTGTACCACCCTCGCTGTCTTCTCGTGACAACCCCATCGTACGGGTTCAACGCGCGTTTCAGCCCTCCTGGCTTGACGAACACCGCCACTGGCTTCCCCGATCCTACGAAACGCACAGATAGGGTGTTCAGGCACCACGATCACAAATTTGAATGGACAGTCGAAGAGTTCCAGCAGTGGTGCAGTGGCATTGCGCAGGAATGGGGATACGATGTGGATACGACGACTATTGGCCGTGCACAGGAGAAAGATAAGTGGGGCCGGGATGAACAGCTAGGGGGTGCGAGCCAGGTTGCCGTCTTTAAGCGTCTTGAAGGCGAGGCTTGGGCTACGACACGTGAGGAGAAGAGTGCCCAGATGAAAGAAAAGTCAAAAAGCCAAAAGGACCATCGTCTACTGGAAACACACCACTACGACGCGCATGTCCGTGCGGGAAAACGAGGGTCGGCCGATGAGATTGCAAAGGCTGTATTGGACAAGTTTGAAGAATGGGAAGAAGCTGAGTTGCGATTGGAAGAAATCTGGTTTGTAGAGGAGATCGGGGTGATGTGTGGTGGGTGGTTCGAAGTTTTGATCGAGGCTATCGAGGGAAATGCGAAGTTTAATCTTCAAAGAAGCAAGGACCAGAGAAGGGGAGATTGGCGGGTGCTGCTTGATGGAGGCAGACCTGGGAAGAAGAAGAGGACATCAGAGTGGGCTCCGGAAGAACCGACGGATGATTTGTTTGACGAAGTCGTACAGGAAGGATATCGTTCTGATGACGACCCAGGATTCGACTGGGGAAGTGGTCTGTATTCTTCAGACTCTGGCGTTGACCTTTTGTGGGACATTAGCAAAGAAGGTAATGCATGGGCGAGGCAGTCTGCTTGGACGTGCGAGTCTTCGGAAGAGGACGCAGTTGACTGGAGCAGGTGGAGCACCTTATCTGCAGCTTGGGACCTTGATAGACCAGAATGAGTCCCGAATACAAGACTTAGTGTAATTCATTGCTAATAGACATAGATTGATTTGACTATAGATTGTGGGGCTAAGCTCTGAAATAGAACGAGTGACCATTCATATATTCATACGAGGGTCATGATGGTGCCTGCCCCGGAAAGCTCCTGCCAAGGTACGCCCGCCGCGGGCCGATCAGCTCAACAGCCGAGCAGAGGTCAAAAGGACGGTGACACGCTGCTCAGCGTTGATGACGGCGGCGGCTGAGTATAGATCTATAGCATCCCGATTGTCATAAGTTTACTAGAATAGATAACCTTAAGCTTGAGATAAACCATCAATTTTTGGCCCCCTCGCTGAAATCTTGATGATGGGCGGCAATTTTAGAATGACATGTTTGACAGATGACCGAGAGAGACCCAGCGAGTTGCCTGCTTCAGCGGTCCCGGTCAGATCTGCTGCGCGAATGGACTGCCATTAATTGAGGGGGCAAATCAAGTGCATAAGTGGGAGCTCGAATGTCTTGCCATTGAGGGTGCCATCTGAGATATCTGAGCAGTCGTCATCACCAGCTACATCGAGTGGTTGTCAGAGCCAACGATACATTGACGAATACTAACAAATGATTAATGAGCCGTGATACAGGGCCCAGGGGATGCAAATTGCAATATATGCACATCTTTGCTGGTGTCCTGTTGCATAGCTAAAAAGGACGACGTCGGTCATCGACAATCAAGAAGGAACGACTTGTCTATATGGTGACCTTATGGTCCGGCTAGGGGGAGACAGAGGCGTTTGATCATGAGAGGGAACCCGGAATGGTGTATTCGAATCGGGACAGGTCGGAACGAGGTTCATTGTTTGACGACCTGCCCTGAAGGACGCAAAAAAATGTAATAGCCGGATGACGATAGGGCCCTGCCATGTCAAAATGTCTCAAAGTGCTATTTCGCGGGGAGTACTGGTATATGGCTGGAACTTCCGGGGGCCTACGCCCAAAAGACCGTAAATATCGAACATTCCTATATTCCTATATATCCGAGTGCACCGGAAAACACCTAGTGTGTCGTTTTATAAGAGATTTCTGCGTTCGAGAGTAAGATCATCATGATGCTCCTAGTTCCTTGAAGCAATTACAGCAGACTGCCCAGCAGCATGGCGTTCTAGCGAGCGCTCTTGTCCACCAATTTCGAGTCTTCATTGTACCTTGCAAACGAATCTCAAAATTCACGATTAAAACACGCTACTAAATCTCATACTCCTGGTTTTAGCTAGCTAAATGCAGCGGCTGCGAAGGAAACGTGTACACATGATACGAACGTATATGGAACCGTTCCGTCATTTGCCGTCCATTATCCTGGACCATTTGCAAAGGGAAAAAAATTATTTGCCGTGACACCTCGAGGCGAGGAATCGGTCAGTAGCCAGAATCTAATCACCCATTATTGACATGAGGCTTCCAGGTCAGCGACTCCCACCATGCCGCAGGCCCGCATACAATAGCTGTATTGATAGAGTTTCATGACTGACGAAAGATGGCCGCCCATAGAACCCGACCAACTACGAGGGCGTCGCGCTCGAGAATTTTGATCCCCACCTTGTACGGCCATTTCATGATGAACCATCAATTAATCAAAAAAATTGATGGTCATATTGGTGGACCGAAATGGCAATGAAATGACCGACATGAACGCACCCTGGGCTACCCTGGGCCACACATCCGCACTACCGACGTGCCATGAACATCGTAAGTACGAGGACGTGATGGCTGCCAACGACTTGTCCGCGGAACTCATGGCAAGAGGCGCGCTTGATGATTGTGACGGAAGCATTGCCCCATTTGCAAGATAGCTGTGACAGTTGCGTGAGTGTTTGTGGAGACTGACAAAGGAGGGTTTACATTAACGTGAATATAAATCCATATTTCCGTAGCCAGCTGCCACAGGCTGCCACGCGACCATAATATAGTGGCAAAGGGTGGACAACATATGACACAGTTGCGGGTGTGATCGATGACCTCTTTGTGGCAGCTCATAAGTAGATGGACCTTACTAAAACACATCATCTTCCGCGATCGCTGAGCACTGAGATTGACGCAAGTTTGGTCAGGTTTCGACTTAGCAACCTTGAAATAGAACATGGTCATGACCTTGCTCCTCTCTGCAAAGACGGATCCTGTCGGATCCCTGTTTGAAAAAGAAGACTCGCATTAACATTAGAACTCTTGAGAGGTACCACTCACGGCAGTTGTCAACAATGTGATCCCTCCGATCATCTCGACGAACCCATCCAGGAAATATGTGAATGGATATAGAGCTGACAAGAGTGATTCGAGCCAAGTTGATGGCATATGTATGCCATCATAATGCCCTGTGCACCTGAGGCTATATTGCCATATGGCTTGTGCATTGTTTGATGTGAACCATGTGTCCCAGGGCTCGGCGTTGAATATTGAGGGAGGTCTTCTCATCCTACACAATGTGCCTTGAGAGTCCCACCGCGAAGTACAACATATGAAGATACGAAGCCATCGGCACAGCCAAGAGAAGAGAAAGCATGGTATCCAAGACACCCTAAGACACCTGCCAGTGGAAGCATGTAAGTGGAAATTTAATTATACGGAGATCCGTCCCGCATCATAACAAAAAGGCAACGCACCGCCCGAGTAATATTTTGCTCGCACCGAAGACGAAACGCACATACGCAATTGAACGCCGATATTTGATGAAAGCTAAACCATGTAACTACATCTATAGCGTGGATAAAATACTAGGCGAAAGTCCGCGAACATGAAGTCTACCACGACGAATGATGCGCATGCCGAGGATGACGTTGCCAACGAGGCTGGATAAGGGGTACATGTGATAGCAAGATATGCACGTAGAATGACGAAGTGAAGTGGAGTGCGTGTGATGCGAAAAGTGTGAAAACAAGAGCACTGTTGGGATAGGTGGTATCTTTAAAGTGGATGAGTAACGTATAGATGACGGCGACGTTCTAAGCATGGTAATTTGCAACCATTAGCGGTCTGTACGACGGCCAGATCCGTTGCTGTGGTTGAACTTGACGAACCGCATTGGCGGTAGTTACCTGTTGAAAGTGACGCTGGTTTGCACAGCAGGACAACCTCGACTACCGTCGTGGCGCCAACGTAGAAAGCGTAAGTCCTTGTGCAAGTTCGGTCTTCCATGCGACCCGTTTCAACGCCTCGGCATAATCAACCCACTCTCTTTTCCGCTCCCGACTTTCTAACCAATCCTTGTCGAGAGTCGTGACTTCAAGTTCGTAGAAGTGATACGTTGTTGAGGGCGAGTAGATGGTTGTCACAAATCGAGTTATGTTGCCTCGAACGCCCGCTGAATTTTTGAAGCGGTAAAAATTTCGGAAAAAAATAGCATGGGATGATCATCAGGAGATGAACAGACGGAAGAGGGACAAAGGTTGAGACCTTCTTCTAAGGCTTCCCGCGAGGCTGCCCTCTCTAAAGTGACATCCGACGACTCCCAACCTCCTTTTGGCACTAGCGGGGTAGAAACACAGCGTGTGAGCAGAACATTCTAACCGATAAGAAGAAGAGGGCGTAATGCTAAAGACGCGTCAATGCGTCACGAGACACGTTACCCACGTAGAGCACGAAATAAAAACCTATGAAAATGATGACTTACAAACCCATAAATCTTGTCGTTTGCGACTGGTTATAACGAGGACCTTTCCGGAAGTACTGGCCAGTGGAATGGCACAGCACACAACACGAGGGACTTCACGGCCTTTGGTGCCCATGATGCAGGTGGAGAAGAGAGGAGAGGAGAGGAGAGTAGAAGTAACTTTGTCGGTCTGCTTTAAAGCACCAGGTGGTGATATCTAAAAGTTTGGCTTGTTTGGCTCCACGGGCGAACAGCTTTCAACAGAAAATCACGTTGCGGAGCAAAGAGGTGTGTGAATGTTGACTGTCAATGCAGTTCCAGTCCACGTCCACGTATAAACGTGAAGGTTCAGGCCGGAATAACGTTCCGACGCGATGTCACGAGACGGTCAACTATGAGAGTTATTATCAATGGCGAGCGTCAAGAATTAGCACCCACAACTGTACCTGGATTGTGCTAGGAGGTCCTAAAACCTTAAGAGCTCGTGAAAAGCAGATGCAAGTTTAAACGGGCGAGATGGTTGTCGAAAAATCTAAGGATGAGAGGTGGTCTAGTAGTACTGATTAAAGGAAAGAAAAAAAGGAGACTGAGTTCGAGTTTTTGAGTGGAATTGGTCGAGACTGAATGAAATTACGAAGCTCGACTTTCCAAAAATGTACCAAAGAGGAAGTACCACCAATTCACGCACGTTCGCCGGCATCCACACGGCATGCTGCGCTATTGCCGTAGCTTACACCCCTGGATCCCCTTTACTTGTCGTTTCCACACCTTCGTTCAGGCAAAATGAACCTTCCAAGATTCTTGTTGACTCCGCCATCGTGTATCAGAAGAATGGTATATATAAACTGTTCACGGCATAACTGTCTACACTGTAGTAACATCTCCACTTGATCGTCACAACTTGGAACAATCCGTGCGCGGTACCTTCGTGATATTTAATATTTACGTGCAGATGAGTTCTGTGGCCGGGATTCAGCCTCCGAATCTCCATCTGCGATGGCATTAACGTACGAGTGAGAAGCAAAGCTTTGAGAGGTAATAAACGTGCGAGCACATTCATTCGTTCCATCTAAGAATCAAGTCATTCAGAGTCACACACCATCCCATCAGCGGACTTACGCTACGAAGAACATGCAAAGCACTCCAAAGGCCATCGCACCGAACTGCCGCATAGTCAGAAGCTGTCCAAAAATTCGGAAAAAGGACCATACCTCCCGTAGGGCTTGTGCACCGCTTTTGCTCTCTGCTAACAGACTAACAATGGTGCGATAAATCTCAGGCAGTACCATCATAATATGTCACTCACGTAGGCAAGACCGCGACGGCACCAATATACATGAATCCACCGGCCACAAAGGGGATTACCTGTGCCACCAACCATCCCGTGAACAAAGAAACTGATTAGAGACTGATTGCAATCACCAGATCCGCTGGTTGAACAGTGGTACCCAAGATCCCGGAAGCATCTTGCCGCACCCCTGCGGCCAGGTCCAATGACTCTGTAATTGTGCCGGACGCCGATAAATTATGGATGGCAATTCCCATGAATGTGCTTGATTCGCTTGGTCAGCGATCGACGATGAAACTATGAATCTAACAATAATACGAACCCAACCTATTATGAAGCATCAGAATGGCACCTGACCTCGATTTGAGGGGAAAACTGGTAGGTACTCACAAATGCACCGATGGCAGTCAAAAACTGCGACTGCATGGCTTGCTTTTTGGTAAATCCACTACGCACCAAAATAGAATAGTCTGCAATTTCATGAGGAATTTCATGGGCGAAGCATGCAAGCGTAGTCGTCGCTCCAATGAGGGGCGAAGAATAGAACGATGCAGCCATGCTGGTGCCAGCAGGTGTGAGCCACTATCAAATCATAACGTGCGCGTGCACATTCCGCCACTCACGCTAATCCATCTGTGCTAGATGAAAACGATGCATCAGAAAAAGGCACACAAGAATCAAGAAGGAATTCACATGTTGTGGACAAAATCACCAAATAGGTTGAGATAGGCTGAGAGCTTCGAAGGTGCCGTTGCAGCATGGGCTTGTTCAACGGGTTCTTGACGATCTACTTCATTTTGTTTCCCCGATCCTCGTGACCGAAGGCCATCAGGTGACAAGGAGGTTGATGCTCCAGATGCTTGCGCAGAATCTGCAGATACGGCAGCATCTGTGGAATGAGTGTGAGAATGGCCATGCGAATGGCTGTGTCCATCCTCGCCCCCAAGCACTCTTAATGATTTCTCCATGACGAAAAAGGTAGCAAATCCAACAAAAATACCCAGCCTTGTGTTTATAATGAGCGTATGCAGGTACGTTTCGCATACAAACGTACCCAATAAGGATATTTCTCTTCTCTTCGACCATTACGAAGTGAGCACCCGGATCTTGATGTTCTCCCATGAACGCATGGGGGATGAGGTGGAGAAAAACGTCAGAAAGAAGGCCTCCAGTCTGTGGAGCTGGTGAGTAAGAGCCTAGCCCTTTCACCCCAGGGCGTCTAGCCAATAAAGAATACTAACAGCAAAGGCAGTCATCGTATTGAGTGTGTCTGGATGGATCTCCGCGGGAATAAATGCAAGAATAAAATTCGGCACCCTAAAACGTTGTTTGAAGGTCGCGGTTTTGGAACCGGGACGCATGAAGGAACGAATAGACACACGCACGAGCTGATGTAAAATGTCCCAAGCACTGGTAAGACAAAAGTTGCATCAAGGGAAGACTCCACTATAGTGAGAACCCCTTGCCTGAATTCCAGCCTGGGCCAAATGGAAACAACCACGCAAATACTTGTCTCATTATTGGAGATTCCTCATCCTCCACAGCAATTTTGAGAGCACTGAGCTTCTCAACGGAAGGACATTCATGTATTTCTGATTCCTGGGCGGTTGTTACACCACAAGACACGTTTGTTCGCGTAGGGAAGTTACACACAAGATGCTCACCCGAACAACTAGGGAATCCCGTGCACTCTCTAAAGCGACAACAACACTGCATACCAAAAGAGCGAGCACCAACGCGCGAGACGCAAAACGAGTGGCCATGGTTATAAGAGACGATGTAACAATATGATTGTTGATTGAGTGACAACTGGCTTTCAGGGCCCATCGGATAAATCCGAAGACCGATGCGACGTGTTCTTCTCAGCGTCAACCACGACAGTTCAAGACAGATCCTCTTAGTCACCATGCACCCTAACACCCAAGAGCAGGGTGCTCTACAGGCTGCTGAAAACCTCATGAATGAAATAATGGCGCGTTATGACCCATCTCACGACGCTTTTCATGGTCAGTGATTACACGCGATATTTGCATGTAACCCGTGTTCAACGATCCAGATCATGCATCGTCATACCGTATATAAAAAGTACAGCGCGTGCGCAAAACGGCCCTTTCAATTGCTCGCGCTCTTTCTGCCCAGAAACCTGATTTACTGGTCGTGGAATTAGCAGCTCTACTTCACGACGTTCTGGACAAGAAATATGTGTCGGAAACCGAAGCAGCGGACCCATATGGATATTTTCTTCCTTTCTTCCAAACTTTGTCTTTAGAGCACGGACTGGACCTGATTAGCGATGGCCGGGCGCGTGAGATCGTAAAGGTCGTAGAAAATGTCTCTTGGACGACTGAGAAGAAACTAAGGTCAACAGGAAAAATCGAGGAGTGGCATCGCACGTGTATTGAACTCCATTGTGTACAAGACGCAGACCGACTTGATGCGATAGGAGCGTTTGGTAAGTTAGCAGAACAGTGATCCAAACGTGTTATTCTCAAGTCTGCGTCAGGAATCATGCGGTGTGCTGCATACAGCGCTGCCGTAAATCGGTATGTATCTTAAAGCCGCGGGTAACAGACGTTGATGAGAATGATTTATCCAGTCCACTGCATGCACCTCCAGGTCGTCTTGACACTGCCGTACAGCACTTCTACGACAAGCTCCTACACATCCAGGAAAGGCTAAAGACAGAGCCAGGGAAACAGATGGGCGCAAAGCGACACCAATTTGTAGGTGATATGAACGCATGGCACGTTTTGAATCTCACATTCATTGATTGTGAAGATGGTCGATTTCCTGAATTCCGTGGAAAATGAATACAATGCAGAAGCACTCGAAGTCGTCTGCACTGTGTAATGAAAACACGTTGCATTCTTGGCGTTTTGAAGAACACTGCCCCGGACACGGGAATCCTTGATGAAAAGTAGATAGTTGTTCCATACTTGTAGTTACCGTCCCTATTTGAGACACTCATAGATGGTTTGGTTGGAAATCAATTCGTCGTGGCCAAGTGGTTACCACAATATTTGTTTATCCTGTTTGAAACTGGCTGATAATAAATCACATCATTACTAGTCTGTCTATTCATAGCGGTATGTCACTACACTGCAGAACAGACCTCTTAAAAATGATCAATATGATACCAATAATTCTATCAGGCCTCTTTTGTGGCGAGGGTCACAGCGAGTGAGCAATCTGTTAAAGATGACTCAGTCACTAATACTTGATTTCCTCTACCGTATCAGTAGTGTTCGAGGAATCGGGGGATGCAACGGCTTTGACAGAGGGAAGAGCCGTTGCTTTCCAGCCGCCTCTGAATGTAGCGATCCCATTGATGAGGCTGAAAATGGTGACCCAGATCTGCAAAACATGTCAGAAACACAAAGTACACACTTGAAATTAACGTACGTCATTTGCGAAGATACCACTCTCCAGAGACCTGACAAACAATCAGTATGCATATAATACATACAACAAGAACGAACCAATGAAGGGCCAAGGGTAAATTAGCAGCGTTGGCCACCAATTCATTCCCAAGAGAGTCCCATCGTTTTCGGAGGTCCTCTTTATCCTCAACAGATAACCCTTTCCCCTTTCTTAAATTCCTCTGCCTCGTCAACAGAAGTTTTCTGTCCTCTCTTAGGTGGGCGAATTGAAGCACGACGTAGAGTAGCCAGAATCGGGAAGACCAGAGGATTAACTTGTTCTCATTCAATGAAATGCGTTTTGAGCTGCGACCGAGTATAGCGGAAAGCGCGGGAATCGAGGTGGGAATCAGATTATGGGCTCGCAGGTAATAAAGATGTTCAAGGGGGTAATACCCAAGCATGGACCATCCCTGAAGCCGCTCGATAGTGTGCAATGTACGAGTTGGCGGGGGGTTGCGCTCCATGGAAATCATCCACTGAAAGATTGGTAGAAGACCTGGAATCGCGTTAAGACACCACATTAAGCAGAAGGTATTTATGATACTCACCCCAAAATCTACCCAGCATTCTAGCATCGCCAATGATACTGGTGAAACTTGCCAGAGAAGGGGCAGCGTTGCTCGTCGCATCTTTCTTGATACCGGCACGGTGCTGAAGCCGCGCGCGCCAGTGCAGGAATGGCACTATCAGTTTAAGTGTATATTGTATGAGCTGTTGAATACGTGGTCAGTCGATATTCCGTTCGTATCAAGGTTAAGTATGCACCGTAAAGAACTTGCTAGAACGCGATGAGAAGTAAGGAAGAAGTGGCTATTAGATGGCTGAACTCAAAGAAGTGTTAAAACCTACTCGCTACCGCTCCAGGTGCTGAGGTACCGCACGAGATGATTTAATGTCTCAGACGATGGAACATTGGAGAAAGAACCGAGTGTAGTATCGTTGAGTCTGGCAAGGGTATGCAGTTTTGAAGTTCGCGACATCCTGTCTGGTCGACTAGTCGATGGGATCGTCTATCTCATATGATAGACTTCAGCTGGGTCTCGGCGGTCCGTACCTGCACGTGAGCATGACCCCGTGGCAAAAGATTATATAATCTGTTTTCGTATATAAAATTGTTCTCTTCGCTTGGTTGATTCGTATGAACAATTTTTGAGGACTCAAAAGTTCGGGCCTGATATCAGCTCTTCCGCCTTCTCGTCCGCGTTCCCGTCCTCTAGACGAATGAACAGCACTCGCTGTGCTTGGTCTTCCTTTGTTGTAACTGTGGCCTTGTTCGACTGTTGTCATTTTGTCCTGGAGGCATCGCCTCGGCTGAGGCTCATGATTGGCAAAGAACAGCAGGAGAGGTCTGCGGTCGCTCAAGGGGAGACCCACAATCATATATATGTGTACTACATGCTGCTCTAGATCTATTACCGAGAATTCAAATCCTATTCATCCTAATGTTATGACTGGAGTGATTTCCCATGAATCTCATTTTGATTTTATCGCGAGGTCCAGTGTAATATGCACGATAAGAGATGATGGTGCGCTTGCTATTCCCAGTGAAAACTTACAGAACTGATTATCAGCCGCGATCTCCGTTCAAGTGCACCTGGCAATGTTCCACGGTCTTTTTTCACGATGGTCCGCATACGCTCCACACGTAGGCATCGGAAGCGTTGCAGTGATATGAGATACCTTGGTTGATACACATCAAGGTGTAAGCCAAAATAGAGCTCTGAGAGATAAGTGTTCCATCATTCAACGTTCAGTGATCATGGTTTTGCATGTTACCTTCGTTTCCCTGCCTCGTCCACAGAACACCAAACTACAAGCAGGTACGGAATCGCCACCCCAAGTTCATCGCTCCCTCACACTCCTCTAACAGTATAACTCTAGAGTCTAGACTGCAGTTGGCGGCCGTTCAGCAATCCAGATTCCATATGGTATTTCCAGATCAAGTTCAAGTTCAAAATGATACCATTCCGGTCATGTCATTGCCAAGTAATATGGGCAGCCTGGTGCTAGGCTGTGGTGCCTGAAGCTTTGAAGTTTGGACCAACTCGAGCTTATAATAATTTTTACAGTCAACTTTAAGGTTTGCAACGGAACGCTGCACTCAAAAACAACCATCCAAGGGTCAAAACAAGAACAGATCGACACAGAAACAAGAGTTACCTCCGCCGTGGTCGATTGATTAATTATTTATATCTTCATGTTGTTCAACTTGTTCTGACGTTGAATTCTTTTATGTATATCATGATCACCTGCAGAGTCCCCTATGTCTCACTATTACTCTTAACGACTCCGAAGCAGCCAAACCGACGGCATTCCCAAAAATTTAATGACTCCGTCTTCGCACTTTTTATCTCAAGAATTTTTTCAACATTCACAAAGAGTCATGTGATCTACATGTGTCAGACAATATGTGATCGACAGGGGGTAACTTCAGCATACTAGTAGAGAGGATGAGATAGGCAAATTTTCCTCAGACTCGATGTCGTCAGGTCCAACTGTTGTTCAGACGCAAGGTGAGAAGCTCGTCAACTTCGATAACTTCGTTGCGGTTGACGCATTCTTGAAGTCGTAAACTATGTCCTGCCTATTGTGGCGTCTGTCGTCACGTCCTTCCGCTTGTACTGTCGCGCACGGCGAAGTCTTCTGTGGATCGATGACGCATGGGCAGCCTGCGCCATGCTATTCAATATTGGCCTCATGGTTTCCAGTGCTTTGTATCTGAGAGGCTATGGTGCGTCTGTTGCGTGTGATGATGGTACACCATCCTGAAAGACGTACAGTGTTGCACCCTCAATGGGCAAAGGTGGCACTCTACTACACGTGCGTTTTCTGACGTGCCATGCTCAAGAGACACTAATACTGCTCATATCAAGGTTATCACAATGCTTTTATGGAGTTGTTTGGTCAGTGGTTGTGAGCATGTCAAGGTCACCGCTGACATACGTGCATAGGTGTTCCCGGTTATCCATTTTGTTTACAGTTGTGCGTCTGGCATACTGGGGGACCCAGAGGAGGATACTTATCTGCGTCGCCATACTTTTTGGCGTCGTATGGGGTATACTTTTTGCACAAGTGTGGTGGACCTGCGAATCGAATCCCAGTTGGAAACAGCTACCACGTCCGCAGTGCCCCCTCGGCAGAGATGTCGCGATAGCACAGATCGTCAGTACGTTGACATGATTTAATACAAACTATCGTTTTTCTGACCTTATTTCAGCCGACGTTTTAGGGGACATTGTCCTTATCTTGGCACCATTTTTGATCATTTACAGAGCCACATTGACGACGGCGCAAAGAGTCCGGGTGATTTGCCTCTTCTCCACATCAGCAATCACCACAGTTGTCAGTCTCACTCACGCGTATTTCGTTTTTACTGTGGGAGAGTTAAAGGAGGCAGTGTCTGCCATGTTCGAGGTACAGTATCAGCACTCAATGTTCAGGCAGGCTCATTGACACCCGTGTTAGGCATCTATATCTTTAATCGTCGCGAACTTAAGTGTGGTCGTTACATTCTTCTTGCGCATGCTCGCAGATGATGAAACCATCTCGCGACCGATCGATTCGGGGTCTACTACTATAGAATTTGGAATAGTCGTCGAGGAGCCTTAGTCTCAGCGGAAATTGTAACATGCTTTTAGTCGAAGAGTCTTAAGTCTAGCTCAATATCCTTGAAGGTATACGGTTCACTCGGAAATGCTAATTTGCTCACCCAATTATGCATTAACTGCGGCAACTGCGAAACTGGCTATCTACGAACATACAAAGTCCAAAACATCTATCGCCTCGTGCGCACCTTCTCGCTCTGTGTTTGTCTCAGGAAACGTAATTTACTACAGGGAGCTCTGTGGCATTCTGTAGCACAATCCAACCCGCTGATGGGCCGCATCACACCATTAGATCACGAAGAAGATATAAGCGTAATGGAAAGTACAATGCACTCAGTAAGTTGCATCGTGATCCATTTCCGCAGTCGGGTCCATCCTAATCCGTGATTGATATGAGAGGTCCATTTCTACATAGATAAAAAGAAAAGAAACCTGGACGCCCACGCTAGGACCGTAGGAAGCACAACTCTTTGTTCTGACGCTCAACATTCTTCCAAATGAACATTCAGACTTGGGACTCGAGTCCGAGAATGTAACAGCATATTGTCCGACTCATGCGCATTGCGCACCTCCTTGCTCTCTGCCTCGGACATCGGGGTAGAGAGCTATAGAAATGTCGCAAGGATGCAAAGATAGAGCAGGGGCATGGGCGACTGGTAAAATCCGATACCAAACGCACCACACTTCATGCATCAATGCATCACGCAGTCGACATATGAATGGGTGGCGTCTGGAACCTGTGATGTGCTTGCCACCGCATGTCATGCCACGAACAGTTACAGTTCGGTATCGATGTTTTGATGTTAGCTTTTGTAGGGCAGAGATGCGTGTAGGTAGGAACGGAAATAAATGAAATAGCAGAATGGTATAACTAACCTCTCCCGAGTCTGAACTGCCAACATACGCTCTTGAATGCTTTGCCTTCTTCTGACCTCCCATCCAGGAAACGGTCGCCTGATGTGCACCTGCTCGCTCTCTAGCAGCACAACACAAATCGATGTCCAGCCACAAACTATAGACCGAATGTGGCCATCGAAAAGCCCATCGTCTCCGCTCTCTCTGCCTCGCTGGTAGAGGCCCGGGAGTATAACAGCTCCTCCAAGGTCACTCAACATAGGCACATTGTGTCGGCATGTCAATACCAGACCACGAAAGTCGGCAGTCAAAGATATGCAAGATCCACACAAAGCAGATAGAATAATTCGCGACATACCTGGGTGTGAGCACATATCTCAGCATTCAACTTCTTTGCTCCTCGTCCTTGGGCCATCTGTCGCTTCATGCAAACCCTCTTTCTCTCTTTATCAGACCATCATAGTTTCAAAGGTGCCCAAAATGGCGAGCGTGGAATCTTTGATTCGCATTGTGGTATTAGAATATCCCTGGTTTGTCGCCACCTCACCAGTCGAGATTCCGTGATGAATATCCCACGAAGATGCAACACCCAACTCGTTCTTCAAACTGTACAAGCCGATTTATTAAAATAAACCTTAACGGTGAGATTATCGATGAGCCTCAGCGCCAGTGTCTACATCCAGGGAATCTCAAAGTCGCCGGGCACCAAAGGCGGTAACATTCTGTTGACACGCCATCAGAAAAGTATATTTTAACAAGTTTGTTCAATAACTCACCTGTGTCATACAACCACCTGCACACCTTTAACGCGTAATCCAGAAAACTGATGCAAAAAGTACCACAATGATTCCATCATGCAATTGATATCAATCGGAACCGAGCTCTTTATCTGTTGCTTCGCACTTTTCGTGAACACCGTCGATATCTGACATAAGACAAAGTGGACGTCATTAAGACTCCAACTAACAATCAAGATCTGGGAATAGAGAGTATGTGGAAAGACTTTGGATGAGACGGCGAGTGAGTCTAAGAATGCAGAGACTGCGTACGGATAGGTGGATGGACTCGTCACTGCCCAGCGGTGTACCAGAATGATAAATTGGTGAGTGTCATTGGGTGATATGGTGGGATTGTAAGATTTAATCATTGGCTGATGCGTACAGCGTTACGATCTGTGTACACAAGGAAGGGTAAGCGAGTCATACCCCTCGTACGTCGTTACGAGCCTTCCATAATACCTTGTTTGAACAACATATATTTGATAAGTAACGGTAGAGGTCAGGAAGAAGTAAAGAGAGCAAAATCATGGGTGCTAGCACCAAGTAGTATGAATCACACCATGGAAAGGAACGCAGAATCAAGGCATTGAATACTCATGTGTAGTAGTAGTACGAGCTGAACATATATGATAGAGTCCGTCCAGTGACTTGCGACTTACATAACAGTCCGCGCTGCCGATCAACTTTTACGAAATAAGCTAACTTCATTGAAGAACAACACGTCCGCGTCAGGCTTCATGCAGTGCACCTGAGTCTTCTTTCTCCACCTCCTTTCTCAGCAAGTACTGTTTGGATCTAGGGATTTCATTGTATCTTCACTGTATTCTCAACTAAGCTATATTTGGCTGTGCAACTTGAAACTGCCAATGCCCTGTCAGTACTGCACCAACTCCACGATGCAGATCAAAGGTTCTGCGCTCATCATTGTTGGCAACCTTATGATATGGGGGCCCGAAAACCGAGGGGGGAGCGAGAAGGTGCTCATAAAGCGACAGATTGCTTGAGGATGAGGAGCAGGGATAGTAGACATTCATATATGTGCTTGCACACGGGTAGAACGTGAGTGTCTGTTTGCGTTGTACAGATCTCCCCCTATTCTGACGATTTATTGTTGGTCTGGCCTTGGCATGCCAACACAATTACCTTGTATATGTTATTAATTACGGCGTTCAAGTGATACAAGCATTGGAAGGTGGTACATATACCATCAGGCCCATCACCATACGTCTACCAAGTTCACCTCCCACCCACACCCCCACTCTCTACCAACATGACCATAGTCTCAAATGATCCCACTTGGTGGCCGACCATCAAGGCATATCGTCTTTTTAGCTATTTTGCATGTTCGTGGAGCAGTCGGATGTCGAAGCTGATGTCTCAATCTAACCTTGGCTGCGGTTTCGCAGTTGCTGCCTTCATTGGAGTGACGTATGATTGGGGTGAACTTGATAATGTTCAAAGACTACTGATATCTTACAAATATTTCCAGCACTTACAGTCGGACAAGAGGTATGTCAATGCTATGACCGTAACAGGCATGTCGCTAAATGGTTTTATAGGTCGAATTGGTGTGGGTGAGTAGTGTCATGTCAGAGGAACATACATGAAAATTGACTTAATTACAGAGGCAACGCTGGTCCATAATGACAATTATGTATCTCAGTGTGTGTAGCTTCAAGTTGTATTTTGTGGTTGCCATGTTGTACTGACTTGAAAGTATCTTAGGTGCGCTACCTTGGAATATTATTTGCTGGGTATGTTCGTAGGGCTAAACAATTGGTGTTGTGCTAATCGTTTATCTCTCATAATTAGAATGATTATGCTGGGTATGTCCCCTTAATACATTCGCTGTGTTTACTTCTGATCAACGGCATACAGGTAGTATCCAGTCCTTCTCGCTGACAGATACAGTGAGTCTTCTGCACAGATGCCTATTCCCCCATAATTAACCATAGTGTCCTGTAGGAGTAGGAGTGGTTCTTTATTAACTTGTTCGTTCACTAATGACTGCCACCCTATGCGATCGCAGGTGTAAGTCTGTTTGGAGTGTGTTTCTAACCGAGGCTAGTCGCTGACTGTATTCGTCAGGCTTTATCGTGTACACTGTACGGAATTGGACGAGTGTTTTTGCATTTGCAATGCTGTGGGGTGAGCTTGGCACTTGCGAGACCTCAGTGATGTTGACTGGACTGAAACATGTTCCAAGTCATCATCATGACTCGGTTACATGTCATGTATCAACGATCCAGAAAGATCCTGATATTTCTCATTGTCACCTTCCTGGCTATGAACATTTTCACCGGAGTGGTCACCTTGATGATAACTCTACATGCTTCAGCGGGTACGCTTAATTGCGGATGAAAATAAATGTGCTTGGAACTCATTAATGAATAACAGAGATACTCGTTCTCTCCGGCACTAATCAGTGCTTGATTCGCTATGCGGAAGATTCACTTCTGGATTCTGTTAATTGGATACTCACCACTATATGGGAGGTCCTCACACTGTGTCTCGCAGTCTGGATTGCTGCAAAACGCTTCCGTGAATTGCGACAACATTCGGCGGGAAGAATTATCGAGGACTGTTTCACGGTGTTGATGAAAACTCACGTGCTTTACTTTGCGAGGTGAGCTCGTATTGTGAACGTGCTTCTCTTTTTTGCTGAAGGATAGGACATGCTAGTTTTGTTGCTGTTTCTTGCTTGCAGCTCATCATTGATTTCTCCTCAATACCCTTGGCAGTATGTCAATTTTTCACTTACCTCTGCATGCTACCACAATCTATCGTTTCTATAGGAAGATTCCGTGGACGCTCAACTTTATGTTGGGTTTCTTCATATTTTTTTTCTCGGTCGTGCAGATGTTTGTGCTCGGACCACGCCTGATCCTTGGTCTTCGAGAATATCACGCTAAGCTCGTGGCCGACTCCGACGCAGCAACTGGTATGACCTCAATCGCTTTCCAAGCGCGTGTGCATATATCGACTGGCAGTAGTGTATGATGCCCCGTGAAGTTAACAGTTGTCTAGTGCTCTGAAGGAACAGGGGGATTTCGTTTCACTTTTGTGATGGTAATGACGAAGTTTATTTATTTGGTTTCGATTTCAAGGATACATAGGTCTGGCTAGATATATCACCATCCAGTGCTTGGATCACCGAAATGAGATCGATGAATGATATCCGTCCCTACTTTAAATGCACAAAATAAGAATAAGTATATTTGCATGAAGAAAATTTGGAAGCTTTCAATCGAATCAAAGTAGACGAAACATGCGCACAACTTGGTGGATGAAGACCGCAAGTTATATAAGAACAGATGACAAATTCATTACTTTGTTACTGAAGGTGAGCATCGAAAGCCCATCGTTTCCACTCTCCCCGCCTCGCCGGTACAGGCCCGGGAGCATAACAGCTCAGTCAAGGTCGCTCAATATAGGCACATGTAGGTATGCCGCCCTTTCCTCCAGTGTCAATGTTCGGCTGAATTCTACGACATGAATGAAAAGAGTTCAGTAACCAAGAAAACCGGACCACCTCGGACAGAGCATGTGTAAGTCTGGATCACAGATGACGAAATTATACCAAAAAAAACTTGAACATGCTGACATGGTTACCATGTTGATTATGGAACAGCTGGTTCGTCGCCGAGGCCCGAGGGTCTTACCGCAGCCAAGGGAACTACTCCGACAAGACTTTTCAGTAATAGCGTAGTGACAAGTCCAAGCCTGTGGGTTCTTTGCGTACTGCATTTGATAAACTGACTTTGGAGACGTAACAGCCTCGCTAGCCTTCTGAATCATGGTATTGCCAGTTGCCTAGATGGTCTAGTCAGATGATCTGCAAGTCGCCAACGAAAGAATACCTACCGCCAGGATTATTACAACCTCTTAACCATTATCATCGCCAGCGGCCATTCAATGTCTACTTCATCATGTCCTTCCACGGGTCTCCCATCCTCCCGCTCGGCACCTTTCTTAAGATCTTTCCAGAACCGCATTGCAACATCTTCACGCAGGTTCTCCCCATCCGTGGGGTTGCGCTGACGGAATGTGTGCAACGAGCTCCACGTATTAAGATAAGATAGCAGGTCATCCCACGTCATCTTCTTGCGGATGATCACCGAGCGTGGGCAAGGGAGGGATGGGTAGTAGTCACCTGGAATGCATTAGTGTAGTGTCACGTAACGACAGGTCAAAGACAAACCTGTGAAGAAGACTCTCTCGGAATCACTGAACGCACCAGGTACAACTTCATTGCCATCTGGCACCTCAATCAAGTGGTTATCTAAAATCAAACGGCCGGGTTGCTCTCAGTATGGACCAACGCTGTTCAGTGGGTCAGTGCCTTCGATATAAGCCTTAATTCTCTGTGTGAGTGACGGATAGTGGGCGAAGCGGAACTGGGAGTAACTCTAAATCAAGCAAGATTCACTGGACAAGTAGTAGCTCGGAGATGGGAACACGTACCTATAATGTAACACTCCCATTCTTCCTCAGCACTCTTGCGAGCTCAGGCCAGATCTTGTTCCAATCGAACCAATGACATGCCTCGGCTACAACCACACAGATAGCATGAGTAAATAGTAGGTCCTCCTTGCCCTTCTAGCACACGCACCGGAAATGACTAGATCCACACTGCTATCCTCCAAGAATGTTAGACTCTCTGCGCTCGCCTGTATGTACTCATATTGACCAGTGCACTCCGGCGTTTTCTGGAGGGTACCTTGAGCAACTTCGATCATCTTATAACTTGGGTCGACGGCCAGTGACGCGCTTGAAAAGTGAGTTCGACAGTTGCTTGATCTGGAATCCCAAATCATCGACATAGGTCAAGAGTTTAGCTAGAACTAACCCGTTCCACAACCAAGGTCCACTGCTCTATCCCATCTTGCACCCTCATGCGCTCGTGGTACCGGAATATGAAGTTAAACAGGGACGTAGGGTAGGTCGGCCTGAAAGTCGCGTAGATCATGATGGTGCTGTCAAAGGAGGATTTGGCAAAAGTTGCCATCGTGAGTATAACACCACTGTCCATGAGGATGCACGGGGAATATAAAGAGCGTCTAATTGGCATTGATATCATGATGTAGATATGGTCGTCGGTAGTCGTCGGTCACCACTGTCGGAAGTACTTATGTACATATCGGATACCCCCTTGAGATAGGAACGACCATCGAGGTCTGAAGACGGGAGACCTCGTCGGGCAGTTGGGTTTTAGAAATATATATGTTGTTGTAGTAGTATTTAGGTAAATGTCAACCGTTCGGACGGTGTATAGCTGGGGATCACATGACTAATACGAAAAGAACGGTCAAATACAAATACAATACTAGAGAGTCGCACTGGTAGCTACTAGGTCAGATATAAAACATACTCTCCCGCAAGTCGGGGTGCACACCCTCTCCCCATGCTTTCTTTGCCTCTTTAAACACCCGTATCTTCTCTTCTTCCTTGTCTGCCTTTCCCTTCCCCCTTCCTTTCCCTGATACGACAGAGCTTGACATCTTATCATCGGCACTCAAGAAGTCGTTCAAGTAACACCTCCCTCTCTCGCATGCCAAATCGGCATAGTACGCGGCAGGGACGAGACTTACAGCCTTGGTAGCACGGGCGTACAGGTAACTTGCAGTGTGCGTGCCCTGCTGCAGTTCATCTGCGCCGAGGCGATTCTCGTCATACACCACAGTGTAGTGTGTCGCCTTCACATGACCTTGCAAGCCAACATGAGGTTGAAGGTAAAAATCGAAGTCAAACCTAGGGTAATCAAATGTAAGAACAATCAACTTGTAGTCAAATAAAAGGGCCGTACACTGCAGTGACGCCTCTATCAACGACGGTTCCTGGACGAGTGTTACCGTTCCGGTCCGCAAACTGAGAGTCGGTCGGCCAAAACTTGGCATGGTGTCGCTTTCCACAAATGATAATAGTTAACAACGGACGATACGGCTTCCTCTGCGGGACTCTCTTGAATGCTTCTAGGATCTTAGGAAGCTCTTCCTCCAACACGGTATTGAATTGACCCTGTCCATTCGATATTAGCAAGCGAATTCAAGATTGCAAGGAGAACCTATCTCACTTCAGAAACACCGTCCCTGTAAACAAAGACTCGATCTGGTAGGCTTTGGTTCTTCTCCGCGTACAATCTGAGCCGGTCTATCATCATATCAGCCAAATCCGTGATCATCTGCAAAGAAGGATGAGAATCAGAGCGATCACATTGAAACATAGCTCACCTCTTTCTTGGTCTCCTGACACCTGAGACTTGCTGGAAATTGGACGAAAGAACTATCAACGCTCGCAACAACAGCGGCAATTGATGGTGTGCCTTCAATACTGCCAGGGCCGGGATGCGTAACGTCCATGCCAACAACCATCGTCTTGGCCTTCGTCAACCATTTCAAGCTGTCCGAATCCAACACATGATTGATACCTCCGAGTTTCGTGTTCAACTTGAGAGCGATGTTTGAGAAGTATTGATCTTGTTTATTGGGATCCTTTCCTACCACCTTATCCGTAAGCATATGTATGGTGTGGACGCCCAATTCGACGTCACAGATCCGTTTGATGCCCGGATAAATGAAGTTGTCCCGGCGAGACAGGAGGACGAGTATAAATGACGGTTTTCCTTTCTCGGAAATGTTCTGCTTGATCTTCTGACGAATCGAGTCTAGCGCTTGCTGCCTACCAGGGTCTTCGGCGCGAGAGATGAGCGATTGGGCAAGCTTGACGGGTTGTGATCCCAGTGACATTCCGCTATTGCGGCATTTCTCGCCAAAGCCTCTCCAAATACCAGTCAGAAGAGGGTCGTCGGCCCCGCTGAACACACTTCGTCCGTCTTTCTCTCTAACGACCATCACCCACCAGCTCTTGATGGCCCCGCCGTTATAAAACTTGACGTCAAGAATGTTCCAACTGCCGTTGCTGACGTTAAGCGGCCTTCCCCCTGCTTCGTAAGTGAGGCGAGGCGGTGGAAGTTCACGTCCAGGAACGACCGCCATGTTGTTGTCCACCGTAATACCGAAGCCACTCAGAGGACTTCCCAGCGTCCCGGGAGTAAACCCAAGAGTGGGGAGACCGTTTTCAGTGATGGTATCTGCATTGACTTTTGGCGGATTGCAGGCGAACCGAATCATGTTCGAAGTTTCTTTCTCATTGAGACGCCCTCTGAATGGTTGCCCGGGCTCGATTTCGCATATTTCGGCTGGTACGTATATAGAGAATTTCGAATTCGGACCTGAGATATCAACGACTGGAAGGTCGTCTGCATGCCTCAGCGTGATATGGGGGTACTCTGCTGGAAATTAGCAAGGCAATAAAGAACGTGATAAAGAAAACGAACTTTTCCTGAAATACTCTTCGACAGTTATCTTGCCGTATTCTTCGCAGTGGAAAAAAGTCCGTCTGGCACTCGTTGGCATGATCTTCTTGATCGGCTTCTTTTGCGCGTACCCTAGGTGTCTAGTGGTCACCTTAAGCTTCTGGGTAAACCGCTGCGGCATAGCACCATCGGAAGATCGCTGGAACGCCATCATAGCGTCTGCAAGATTGCCTGGTTTGTAGAAGGCAGTCATACAGACACCGACGTTTACCATGAGTTCGTTATATGTAGGTCTGGCAGACGTGAAAAAGCCTTTCACGCCCTCTATGCCAAGCGCGAGCTCAAACCGCTCTTGCGAAGGAAAGAAATAGCGATTCTGGCCAACACGAACACCGGTGCGCGCTGCATGCGTTTGAAGCACGAGGTTCACAGCAGCTACCACTGGCTGGACGTCGTAGTCCCGTGACTTGATATCGCCACTAAGATACCTACACACCATGAATTAACGCGAAAACGAATGAAACAACTCTCCATAACCTACTTAGTGAGCTGTGCGATGTCCAAGTCGGCCGTGTGGATGATTGCGAAAGTATACGTCTTGGATCTAGCATTGGGACCAGCTTCTCCTTCCTCATAATACTGAACTTGCACGTCAAGGGGCTGAGGCAACTTCTTGGCCGACACAAGCCTCTGACTGCTGTCATGAGCGATGAACGGTACAAACTGTTCCCAGTCTTGTTGATTACTTTGTTCTAGGAGCTTGAAAAGGCGTGCACGAATGCGCTTAATGTCTGTGGACGGCGTAATCTCGACATGATAGTCGTAAATGGGTCCTTTGGGAAGCTTAATGGGAAAGAAATTGGCACGCAGTGTGATTTGACGGCCAAGGGTACCAAAGCCAGGCCGGTGAGGGCGCTCAGGGTTGAAGGTAAGTTTATTGAAGGAAGAGACTAGTTCATCCAAGGTAGCGAGACGTTGGTCTACAGATGCAGGGCCCCGGAAGATCAAATCTCCTGGTACTCCCCCTCTGGAACCACCGCCATATCCGCCCCTCGTACTAGAGCCTCTTCCTGCACTGAACCCACCAGCACCCCCTCGAGGGCCACCAGAGTAGCCGCCTCGGGGACCACCTCTGCCGCGTGAAGGGTTGCTCATGATTACTGTTGAGAAAAGTTTATGATGTGTTCGTGATTGTATGGGAAGAGAAGTGAATCGTCAAAGGGCAGGTTCTTATAGTTGCAAACTGACCGTGGGTATGCGGCGCTTCCGCAGTTGCTGTACGAGTCATGAGTCGTAACTCGTCCTAAATGCGTCGTCCCAGGTCCGCACTCATTCCACAGCTCACTAGAACAGCTGACGTGGCAGTTCCTGGCTAGGCCTGAGAGCTTGAACTAATAATATGGGACCAACGTTAACGATACGTAGTCCGGAGTGAGCCGTCGGACCAGATAGATATTCCTAAATGATACGATGCAAAACTTCTGCACAGGATGCCACCCATACTAGCCTTAGTTGAGGATCAGATGAGGCAATACGATCTACGAAACTCACCGAGAGGCCGACTTGACGGGGAAATCGAGTAGAAGTCATTGTAGCAAGATTGAAACTGCTCCCGAAAGCTGCATCTCATCATGATTAATGGGCTGGAAAAAACCCACAAAGGAAATGATGGCTCCCAGCTTGGAGACAGACTAGTCCTGTAAAGGTGTTCACAAGTATTCAACGATACCTGAAGCTTAAGGAACACAACTCACATGATCCGTTTGTCAAGACACCATCAGAAAACAGTTCAGGCCCTGCAACAGGTTCGTTCCCAGTATGATCCACCCACAGTCTCTCCGCATTCATCTCGATGCCTATTACGCCAACACGTAAACGAGTTACGAAAGCATGACCTACTAAAGACAGAACTCGAATCAGCCAAGGAGCATGCACTTCGCAGCGCTTACGATCGCGAAACACACTACAAGAGTTCACTGGTTGGCATGCAGTCTATTGTGATTTTGTGATCCATGTTCTGTGATCGGCTCCTTACGGGTAGTGAAATTCACCACCGTATGGTTGAACATCAAAGAGCTGCCGAGGAAGAGGAAGCGAGATACGAAGCTCGCCAAATTGAGAGAGAAGACAAAGTATATTAGAATCGTAGAAAGAAGCAGAAGCTGCACGGCTGGTGAGGAGCGCGGCCGCATACCTGAACGCTTCGACAACACAGGAAGGTCATTGCTGTGAAGCGATCACCGGATGGAACACAGCTTTAAGAACGGCATGAACGTACGACTGCCCAGCTTCCTCGACTCCAAACCAGACACTCATTGATCGCTAGTGATTGTGCTCCTCCGAACTGTGCCTCTCATGAGTGATACTCTATGCGGTTAAAGTTGACAACTTGCTCACCAGCGATTTCAGATTCCTGCAAGCACAGTCTCGCGAGCCACAGCTTGTGTGATTCTGATAAGCATCAAATAAGGAGATAGGCCCCTGGACTCACCAGTAATCATTGCCATTGTCAGATAACGTGGTCTGATCATTCAAAGATCCTGGAAGACTTCTCTTGTATACACGATATACGATCTGCAATAGTTGAGACTTCGAGCGCAGACCATATCTTCCTCTACTGGTAAGACGTCAGTGATCACGCCACGCCAGGCGATGCGAGGTCATAACCACTGGGGTGTTGTGCACCTGATGGGTGCAGCTTCTTTCACTCGTTCTGCAACAGGTTGGCCTGAAGACGCAGAATCCTTCTTTCCACCAAGGGTATCGCATGTCGGAGTGTACCCAATGTCAGCATTGAGGGTGACCACCGGGTGACAGTAGTTTGACTCAGTGAAGTACCGAACTCGAAGCCCGGGTGTTTCCGGAATGGATGAATCTTGATTTGGTCCTAACTCAGTGGTCCTAGTAACTCCTCTACTATGTAGTACTGTTGTACTCTGTCTTCACCTAGACTCATGACCAGTCTGCCTAGTTTTCACCCGAGTCACAATGATTCATCATTCGGAGGTAGCCTTGGGCAAGAAGTGCATTAGGACTGGCCCACACGACTCTCGTCAACGTGACATGCTCAAGACACCACATCCTCAGGCTGGTCCATTCGGCCAAGCTTCCCCGGATCTTGGTCTGAACGATAGAACGGCCTAATAGCACTTTCTCATTTGGATATACCATCGTCTCGACTACTTTTATCAGCTCACTCCTGGTTTTCACCTGGTTGTACGAGTCGTCGACTTGCTGCAAATTCAATGCAAGTATTGTTCGCGCATCCAGGTTCTTTCAGTTTCCCTAATGATTAGGGCACCAAATATTGAAGTCGCTTTTCCCATGTCTGATCCGTTTTCAACACGCTCTGGCATGGATTCGGCCACTCGTCCTTGAAATGATAGTACTCGACCACTCCAGTGGCTACATCATGCATCACTGCCGGTGCGCTTTTCCAGGCTCAGCAGCAAAGGCAAAATCCTTCGTTCAGAGAGCGAGCGCTGGGAGACTCTTTCCATCACCCCATCAGCTTCATCATCCCTTCAGTTAATAACCTTGAGTATCATTGGCCGGAGTTCAGCCGACTCATCACACCAAATCTCTCTCACTTACGCGTCTTTCATCGATATCATTTACTTACTATCATTTGATTGATTTAGACCTACTCCTATCTGCAACAATATATGTCCTCTCACATGCTCCACTTTCGTGATTTCTGAATTCCCTCCTCTGCAGACCGTCGTGGTGGATATACCTTTATTGAAGAGTGGTTCTCACTCTCACCAGTGGGACGTTCGGAGACGTGGTTTGGTCGTAATGACCAAAACAGACTCCGAGTTATCCCAGGCCTAAGCTCCTAGTCGTTTGATTTAGAATCAAGGAGCCGCGCTTCTGCTTGATCCGGCCGTCTTGCTTGAAAGCATATATTGTGCATCATGCACTAAGCTCGCATCGCGCTCTCCATGACGGCATTGCCTTGTCGAACGGCAAAGAGGTTACAGGCAGGACTTCTCATACGTCTAGCGCAAACGAAAGATCTTGAGTACACGGTATATCGCAGCCGTGACTCTTAACACAAGCTCAGTGAAATGATACGATTTATAATGAATGAACGGTGGTTATGAGATGTAAAAACCCGCGAACCACAGCGTAATTCACTTTTTTTTGAAGAGTTGCTGCTTTCAGGCATACACCATCACCGGGAATACAGGTATGACAGACGTATACAGCAGCTATATCGCTCTAGTATGAATATAACATCGATTGCGTTACGATGGAACCTCCATTCCTCACCACGCCCAACTGTCGTCTGAATCCTTCTCCCATCGCTCATCTGAATCGTCGTCGTCGGTCGAGTTCCGAAGCGCCCGTAGTTGTTGCGATGCGTCATACAGCGCTGATTCCATAGCAATATCGACATCGGAATCCCCAAAGTGACAGGCATACCATTTGAAATTCAATAGAGTTGGAAATACCTCAGCTAGGAAATACGGTACGCGCGCAACCTCCGACACCTCGGAGTACCCGAGATGGAGGTTACGAAGGGCGGTTTGCGTAGGCCAAAGCTCCTCGGTCCCGTCCGCTCGAGGGATTGTCGTTGATTGCGTAGCATCAACCGTCAGATGTAGGGTCTGCAGCGATCTGCACCTTAACGCCAGTGACATCATAGCGGTGAAGGTGACGCTATAAAAGGCACGCCTCTTCCAGGAGGTGAGCTTCAATTCCCGAATACTCAGCCAGGCAACTGGGACATCATTGAGGAACCCATCATCAAGGTTGAAATTTCCAACGCCGATAAATTTAACAGACAACAGCCTGTTGAACTTGAACAAGGGCCGGAAGATGTCGGAGGAGAGTGGGATGACAAGCAGATAATCAGGATGTGTTGATTCGTCGACCAAATAGATCCGTTCCAAATATCCAAAAGTTTGGCACGAAGTAGACAAGGATTCTATGAACGCGGTCATTTCTGCCGGGCTAGCAGATCCGCAGTACCTGATATTGATGTGTGATAGTTGTCGGGTGGTGACTTGACGAAGGAAGTGTGTGCATTGTGGCAAGGAACCATCAGAGATATAGAGGGTTTTGAGACTAGGCAATTCAAGGGGTATACCGCCCGCGTCGCAGGAGGTTCCGCACAACTTAAGCTTGAGGCTTTGAAGACACCGTGCTTGCTGGATATTGGCTATCGTCTGCCTCGTCAAGCACACATCGATTCCGAAAATGGCCAGTTCAATTAACTTTGGCAGCTTTCCAAGACTCGGGGGGACTGTCAAAGCCGTAGTACCATCGCCTGCCGATACTGTCAGTTGGCGCAGACCGTGCGCTTCTGCTGGAAGAGCAGCAAACAATTGCTCTACTTCAGGCGTTGGGATACCAGTTACATCAAACCGGAGCGCTTGCAATCCAGGCGAAATGAACTGCCGAAGCAACCAGAATTTTGAGCTATGTTCCAGAAGACCAAACACGGCCTCGAAATGCAATTCGCAAAGGTTTGGGAAGAGTGTGGCGGGACGGGACCAAGCAAAAAGCCTCTGCAGGACATGATCACTGACATCTGGGTCCGGGATAAACGACGGTTCACCGCGACGTGGCTTCAGCACGTCAGTGAAGCCATGAGTGCTAACAAGCCGGCGCACTCTTGATGCGTTCATTCTGAGGCGCTCCCACTCAATGGGAGTTGGCTCTCTGGAAAAATGCTACAAATCGAAGCACGGTGAGCATTGTCCTGTCAAGACTCGAATATTGTACTTCACTTACAACAGTATGATCCACCCCGTTCTCCGTGACCTCCAAGGTGTCTTGTGGTAGACACATGATGAGGGGTGCCAAACTTGACTGTTCAGACCAGAGGATATTGAGGGCGGGATCCGCCAGCCTGGAGCATGTCATCGCCACGTTCACCAAGTCCGTCGCAGAGGACTTGACATGTTGTAACACGGCATAAATGATATCGTCGCATTCAAAAACACGATGCATGATTGAAAGTTGTGTTGGTGCTCATGCACAATACCTCTTTTATATAGCCAATTCCACATGAATCTACGGATACACAGGTCCTCCGGTGTTTTTTTTTCGAGTGAGTGTGTCCACTTATGGAGGTCATGGCATCATTGACTCGATCGGCAGCTCTCTTGTGAACAGTATGAGACATTAGACATTGTTCCGCTGACACTACAGCTGTGGTCCACCACTGTCTCTAAAACGGCAACTGCTGGCCAGATGCAGAGTACTTACAAGACGGTGTTCCCTGCAGAATAACCGGAGCAAAATAAACGCAATGATCATCCACGTCAAAACGTGCAAGCCTTACCAAGTATGCAGAGTAACTTTAGTATGAGAGCGTTGACAGCAACCATATGCTGAGCACTTTGTCTCTCAGCGCCGGTGCCTGCTGATTGTCCTCGGCATTGCCAGCCAAAGAGGTTTATGGAGGTCTAAGCAGAGATTCAATGTACTGACAGAATCAGACAGGTGGTCAGAGTTCAGACCATCGGGATAGCTCACATGAAGAGAATATGACTCGTAATAAGACTTCAAGCTTCAGTCACAACCACTAGCAGCTGATTAGTAACAAGAGCACAAAAGAGATAACTGGGACGCCCACTATTAGGGAATGGGCCTAAAAAACATAGCTCGTTTGATTCGAGATTACTATCTTTATTACCCACGGGTGAGGAACGTTGAACGTTGAGCCCACATTTAATACTAATAAAGAATGTCAACATGTCAAACCAGGCACGCACTCACCGCAAAGAGCTGAACAAGCCGGGGACTGCTCTGAATTTCGTCCACAGACCTGATAATCGTTGCGAAGTAATACAGGTGCAAACCGTAAGATAAAGGTGTTCCTATGAGTGTGGGGTGCAAGACTCAAAGGAGTGTAAATTATAATACCAGGTAACGAGACTGATGAGTCCGAGTGAACACGGAGGAGACAAAGTTCCTAGCGGTTACATAATAATATACCGGGTTTGGAAAAACATCCACGCATCCAATCAACTTCAAGTTGACCTTACAGCCATCCTCTCGGTCACGAGTCTAGGTTCGTGCTCAGAGTGCTCGTCTGATATATTCTTGTTCCAAAATGCCCATGCCCGCTTTATCATCATAAAGCGATATTGTATTGATTCGCACGGGCCGCACCTGCAGCATCCTCCAGTGCTTCAAATTGAAGTACTCAGTCCTTAGTCCTTAGGCCTCAGCCATGGCATCCTACTCTTTCAAAAGTCGAACCAATGCCATCTGATTGAAATCGTACAGCTGCTCGACAACTTATTCACAGCAAATTTACATTCGCAGTGAGCATCCTAGGATCCCTTTTCGATTATTTTCCACTAAGCAAACTCATACAGAACCGGCTTTGTATAATCTCTTAGCATGCAAGGGTTTTAACGCTACAAGAGCTCTCAAGTCTCGAATCTTGATCGTCAGTCGGAGCTCCGAGCTCTCTGTAGCCAAGGTAAATCTTCCTATTCTTGACGGCTGACTTTTCTGATCCGGTGTCATGCAGCTGACGCAATGTGCATTTGTTGACTTGAATGAGCATTCACGCTCCACGGGCCTGTGCTGGCGAGGCGAGGAAAGAAGAGATCAGAGGTTTTTCGATGGTCGCACCATAATCATCATTTGTCAAACAGATGAGGTAGTACTTGGTTGCATCAATGGACTGATGCACGTGTATCGAAAACATTTCGAGAATGGCATCGGAAACAGGGCGACAAGATTGCGAACAGTTCTTGATATTGATCGATCTTATGCGGTGTTCCGACCAAGTTCGGTTCAAGTGTTTCGCTCGTGCAAATATTCCATGATCAACATCCACTATGATCCCCTGGATTGATTTATCTTTCTTCATGCAAAAATATCCTACTTCGGCCACTCAAAGTAGGAGCGGTCATTATCCTTCAAACCCGTTTCCGTGACCCCAAACACTAGACGATGGTATAACTAGCAATGAGCACGAATGCCATCGTTACCATACGTCCACCAAGGTCGCATCTCATCCACCTACCACTATAACCATAGTCTCAAATGATTCCACTTGGCGGTCGATCATCAATGCATATCGCTTGGACCGCTATTTTTCAGCTTCGTGGAGAGCAGTCGGATGTTGAAGCTGACTCAATCTAACCTTAGCTAAGTTGGCTGTGGTTTCACAGTTGCCTATTTTGTTGTAGCGACCTATGATTGAGGTGAGCACGATAACATTGAAAGACCGTCGATATCTTACAAGTATCTTCAGCACTTACATTTGGGCAAGAGGTATGTCAATGCTATGACCGGAGCAGTCATCTTGCTAAGAATGGCTTGATAGGTCGAACTGATCTGGGTGAGTGTCATAGGAACATACATGAAGATGCACTTGATTCCGGAGACAACGCTGGTCTGCAATGACAATTCTGTATATCGGTGCATATAGCTTATTTGTCGCGGTCACCATTTTGTGCTAGCTTGAAAGCTAATATTTATTCACAACCCAGCTGTGCATCAAACAGCGCGAACTAAAAGTCCTACTCACGATCTTTTGGCATTTGCCAAATCGGCGATTACCATCAATAGTATTACAGGAATGAGAATGTACAATGTGGTGAGTTATCAGTGCCACTTTGATGAAAATATGCACTATCCTAATTCCGATATAGTGCAATCGATGGATCTTCCTAGGATGCTGTTCAGGGGTGGTACTCCTCTAAGTGGTGGGCACAACTGTGCATGTGGCGATCAATCTCCGGAGTGAAGATTTAGGTGAAATGAGGAAAGCAGCGCATGGGATTAAATGGTGAACGTTGAGGGTTGTGCATTTGCAGCCCGGAGGTGAGTTGATCATGACTTTGTGGTAGTTACTTCATTTCTAACTTCTATACTGGCTTGCCAACTTTCTGTGACGTAAGGGCCACTCTTTCCTCCCTGTGCCCTCTCATTCCTGTTTGGATGGTTTTATATTCTCCGCACTTCAAATACGGATCTTGAATTTGATGCAAATCGAGCGCGGTGCACCCTGTATCAGCTCCGTCTTATCGTCTAATGACATTCTTATACTATAAATAGACAACGACCGAGGTGAAGGCAGGAAGATGAGGTGGTGGCACGTGCTTAGGAAACGGAGGAGCAGGGGCATTGGAAGGTCTTGAAGGGGCTGTACAGGTGAGTTTTCTGTCTGCTTCGTTTGGACTTTCCTTGTTTTACACTCTGACCTCATTGAACGGCCCCGGAGGTGCTGTCACGTTCAGGCCTGCGAAGCAGAGACTGAATCTAGAGGTAGCATTGCATCTTCACTAGATATCAATCATGGATGCTCAATCGGATGTATCAGGCTGTGCAAACGGATACATACAGCGCTCAATTAGGTTGTTTCTGGCTGTGAAAATTGATGCCTGTCACCACTGCAGTCTGCACCAACATCACGTTACAAATCAAAGATTCTGCACTGACCGTTTTTGGCACCCCTATGAGACAAAAGTCCGATGTTGAGGCAGAGAGGTATGTTGATGTTCTTCAATTTCATGCAGCATTAAAGTGTTCCGCCCTCGCAACTGCCACTTGACGACCAACATCTACGCTGAGCGCCCGGATTGAGTTCATCTTTCTTTATCATTTGAAAATACTTACTTTGGCGTAGTGCATGCAGGAACGGATCTCATTTCGATATTCCAAAAACTATATCTAGCACGAATGTCATTTTCATACGTCCACTAAGTTCGCTCCTCACCCACACCGATTCTGGACCGATATGACTATAGTCTCAGACGATCCCGCTTGGTGGCCGACCGTTAGTGCAAGTCTTTTTTTGAGCTATTTTATAGGTTCGTAGAGAGCCGTCGAATTTGATGCTGTCAATGTCTCAATCTAACCTCGTGCGGTCTCGCAGTTGCCGCCTTCATGGGAATAACATATGATTGGGGTGAGCATGATGATATCCAAGGACTGCTGATTTTTTACAAGTACTTTCAGCACTTACACTTGGACAAGAGGTATGTCGATGCTACGACCGGAGCAGCCGTTTTGCTGAGAATGGTTTTATAGGTGGAACTGATATGGGTGAGTGATGCCTGGTATCAGAGAAACACACATGACAATTCATTTGATTCCAGAGGCAACACTGGTCCCAAATGACAGTCATGTATCTCGGTGTATGTACCTTATTTGTCACGGTTTCCATGTTGTGCTGACTTGAAAGTATTTTAGACGCGCTACCTTGGAATCTTATCTGCTGCGTATGTTCTGAAGGCTACACAATCGGTGTCGTGCTAATTGTCTATCTCTCATAATCAGCGTGTACATGCTGGGTATGTTTCAGCACATTCGTTGTCTTTGCTTCTTCTGACCGGTGGCATTCAGGGAGTGTGCCGACCATTTTGCTGTCAGATACAGTGAGTCTTCTGCACATATCACTGCCATTCCCTCCAATTAACCGTAGTGCCCTGTAGGAGTGGGTGTGGTTCCTTGCTACCTTATTGGTTCACTAATGGCTGCCGTGCTATACTGCCACAGGTGTGAGTCTGTTTGGGGTGTGTGCTACCTGAGGCTGGTCACTCACTGGATTCGTCAGGCTTAATTTCGTACAACGTATGGAATTGGACAGTTCAAGTGGCATTTGTAATGCTGAGGGGTAAGCTTGGCACTTATGAGACCTCAGTGATGTTGACTTGACTGAAACATGCTGCAAGTCATCATAGTCATTCGGTTGTATGCCATGTATCAGCGATCCAGAAAAATCCTGATATTTCTCGTTGTCACTGTCCTGGCTGTCAATATTTTTGACGGAGTGGCCACCGTAATAACGACAATGCAGGTTTCAGGGGGTGAGCTTAATTGTGGATGAAAATAAATGTACACGGGGCTCATTGATGATCGATGGATACCAGAGGAATTCATTCTCTCCGGCACTTATCAGTGCGAGGTTGACTATCCGGAAGATGTCCTACTTCTGATGTCTGCCAATTGGATACTCACCACCGTGTGGGAGGTCCTCACACTATGTCTCGCAATCTGGATTGCGGTAAAACACTTCCGTGAACTGCGACAACATTCGGAAGGAGGAATTTTCGAGGACTGTTTCATGGTGTTGATGAAAACTCACGTGGTTTACTTTGCGAGGTAAGCTCATGCTGTGATTATCGTTCCTTTTTACCACTGAAGTGTCGGACATGGTAGTTTTGTTGTTGTTTGTTGCTTCGAGCTCATTGTTGATTTCACTCCAACATTATTAACGGTATGTCAACCTTTCACTTGCCTATGCACGCTACCACAATTTATTGTTTCTATAGACCAATTCCCTGGGCGCTCAGATTGTTGTTGGTTTGTTTCAGATTTTCCAGGTCGTGCAGATTTTTGTCCTGGGACCGCGCCTGATACTTGGCATTCGAGAATATCACGCTAAGCTCGTTGCCGATGCCGACGCAGCGACTGTTATGACCTCAATCGCTTTCCAGGAGCGTGTGCATATATCGACTGGCAGTGGTGTGTGATACTCGGTGAAGTTAACGGCTGCCTCGTACTCCAAAAGGGCGGGGGATTTTGCCTTTATTTATTCCCACTTTCGTGATGGTGTTTATTTGGTTGATTTCAAGGAGACATAGAGTTTTCGTCATAGTGGGTGACTTCCCATAGGCAAAATAATGCGGATTATCATATACCGGACTTTGAAAAACATTTTCCAAGTTACGCAATCAGATATTCTGTACGAAAAACCAAACCATAGGCCAACGGAATATATTTTATATCAATATCAAGCATGGCAAAACGAGATAGAGACAGAAGTAATCGACGATGAAGAATCCGCACTCATTGTTGCAGCTACTGTACTGGTGGGAACTGAACTGACTCGACAAGAACGCATTGACAGATGGAGTGTATGCATTGCCGGCGCCGTCATAGTGTAAGTCAACCATGAGTATAGAACTTCAATTTCGGAGTGTAGTGTTAGTGAGAGAAAGGACCCAAACCAACGAATGCTCACTTTGTACTCCTCAAAAATCGTCTCTCTTTATGCCAGACAAACTTGTACAACTCTGTACAGGCACCCAGTATGTATACGAGGGATCCGTGAAGTATCAAACGGCGCTGGAGCGGTGGTATCAAACGGTGGACAACAGAAGGTAAGATTATGTCAGCGGATGTGAGTGATCCTGAAAAGGCAAGTCTGAGTTTATTCCCGTTAGAATAATCTGTAGGGGGGGGGGGTACCCCCCCCTACAGATTTAAGGTTTATTGAGGGGGGTAGACCCTTGATGAATTTCAAACGGTGACGAAATGTCACCCGGCATCGCGGCACACCTTCCTAATACGTGAAATTATATTCTATTCTACATTATTTTTGCCTACGGGAAGTCACCCAGTATCTAGTCAAGTGATTTGCTATATGTGCTGACAATATTTAAATCAATATACTGGTTATTTTTTTTACTGACGCTAGCCGTCCACCCACACTTGCACCAACCACTGGTCCTCGAATGGGTGTGCAAGAGCCAAGTCGAGTGACAGTGCACCGCTTCAGCTTCTCAGCAATCTGTCCTTGAGTCATCTTCTTGCCTCATTCAACGTCCCACCCTTGTCCTCTCACCTGACTCACGCGAACTGGCTTACAGAAGATTAGCTGTGTTTAGGATTGTTACTGAAGCACTACTGGGGGATACATGCATCCCATTAAGCATTGTGATACGAAGGCCATGAGTGAATTTGAATGCTCCTGCACCATTTTTGTAGCTGAGACCCAGCGCCTCTAGGGAGTCAGGGAAATTCGAAGGAATCTAAGGTACTAACGTCTGAGCATGGCACACCAAACATAACACGGCTCGTTGATGTGACGCACCCAGGAACGGACATGAAGGCACAAACACAAGCGCTAGTGCAGGAGTCGAGTATTTGTTGCTCGATTTCAGGTGGTGGACGTGATAGCGAGTTCGAGACAAGGAAGGGTCAGTCTCTCGATGTATTCCTGTGGGAAACCGTGAGCTTCCACGCATCTTATAACGACAACTTTTTGAGCGCTCTCGTGCAGTTGTGTAAGTAGCGAGAACGAGAAAAAATGTCTGCTTGGGTGCAAGCAGATAGTTTTTGGGTGGAAACTCCGTAGGGGCAACCCGGCCCCGATAGTGACCCTGACCTGTGCAAAAGTGAGCCGAGGTAAGCTGCCATTCCCATATTAGTAGGAGTGAATGCGACGTAGAGAACTGAATCTCGGATCCCTAAATCGTAGGAGCCGCGAGGCGACGCATCGAGGTGAAGCTAGATGAGGGGATAGTTAGTAACAAAGCAGTAAGAAGGCATCTGCATGAGCATAAATGCGGACATCTGTGTTAATACAAGCATCCGCATTGATGCGGGCATCCACATCGATGTGGGCATCTGCGTCAATGCAGGCATCCGCGTCAATGCGGGCATCTACATCAATGTGAGCATCTGCACCCATGCAGGGATAGATGTCGGTGCGAGCATCTGCGTCGATTCAGGCGCGCGTGTTCACGAAAGTGCGGGAATCCACGTGCGCACAGCGACATGTGTTGGTAAGGATGGTACTCTCGCTCGCCATTGGCAGAAGGTGTCATGGTGACTGGGTGGATGATTCCTCCACTTATTGAGTTCGCTGGTGAGAAACATGATGAGAATTCACAACGGTGAACTTCTTACACGAATAAGCTTGAGAGAGCAGTGCCATAGCACCTTCGAGTGCTCTCTACTCATGGCCGGCTTCCCTACCGGACATGCTTTCATTGTGTGCGGCTGCACACGAGGATCTGAGTCACCAACGCTCACTGGAGTTTGTAGCAGAAAAGAAAATCTGAAAGGCGGCAGGCTGCAGACAGGCTTGCTGGAGTGCAGCCTGGGCGGTAGGTGGAAAAGAGAAGCCACGTGCTGCACAGCCGCTGCACGGAGTATTCTAACCTATTCTCGTCGGAGTAAAATTCCAATCTTCAAAGCTTTAACTTACAATCTTCAGCGCTCATCCATTGTCAGCACGTATAGGATTAAATAATAAAACGAAAACTTTGTATGTCTCCTTGGAATCTACTTCGGGACACCAGATAATACATGTAAGTGGGAATAAATAAAAACAAATTATCCTACTCCTTGCAGAGCACTAGGCGACTGTGAACTTCACCAAGTATCAGACGCCACTGCCAGTCAATATATGCACACGTTCCTGGAAAGCGATCGAGGTCATAACAGTCACTGCGTCGGCATGGGCAACGAGCTTAGCGTGGTATTCTCGAATGCCAAGGATCAGGCGCGGTCCCAGCACAACAATCTGCATGGCCTGCAAAATCTGAACAAAGCCAAGAATAATCTGAGTGTACGGGGAATCCTATAGAAACGATAAATTGTAGTAGTGTGCATAGGTAAGTGAAAGATTGACATACCGTCACTGTTAAGGAAGTAGCGAACATGATGCAAGAAATAACAACCATGCTACCACATCCGATCCTTCAGCGGAAAAACAGGAACTATAATCATGATATGAGCTTACCTCGTAAAGTGAACCGCGTGACTTTTTATCAACACTGTGAAACAGTCCCCTATAATCCCTCCTGCCAAATATTGTCGAAGTTCACGGAAGTGTTTTAGCGCAATCCAGACTGCGAGACATAGCGCGACGACCTCGAACACGATGAACAGTGTCAAAGAAATAGCATACAGGAGTGATAGATCATTCAGGACCACACTCTCAGAGACAAGCATGCATTGATAAGTGCTGGAGAGAGTGGGTTCCGCTAGTATTCATCAATGAGCTTCAAGCACGTTTGTTTTCATCCACAATTAAGCGTACCCTCTGAAATATGCATCGTCATCAGTGCGGTGACTACTCCGTTGAGAATATTGACAGCCAGGAATATGACAATGAGGAATATCAGGATCTTTCTGGATCGTTGATACATGGCATGCAACCGAGTGATGATGATGACTTGCAGCATGTTTCAGTCAAGTCAAAATCGCTGAGGTCTCGCAAGTGCTAAGCTCACCCTGCAGCATCGCAACTATCACAGTAACCGTCCAATACCATACTATGGACATCCCAAAGCCTGACAAATCCAATAAGTGACCAGCCTCGGGTAGCACACGCTCCAAACAGACTCACATCTGTGACGGTATAGCACGACAGTCATTAGTGGACCAATGAGTTAGTAAAGAACCACACCCACTCCTACATGGCAACACGGTTAATTGGAGCGAATGGCAGTGATCTGTGCAGAAAACTCACTGTATCTGACAAAAAGATGGTCGGAACAGTCCCTGAATGCCATTGGTCAGAAGAAGGAAATACAACGAATGCACTGAGACATACCCAACATGTACATGCTGATTATAAGAGATAGACAATTAGCACAACACTGATTGTGTAACCTTCCGAACATACACGGTAGCTAAGATTCCAAGGTAGCGCGCCTGAAATACTCTCAAGTCAGCACGACATGACAATAATAACAAATAAGGTACATGCACCGAGATACAGAACTGTCATTAAGGACCAGGGTTGTCTCTAGAATCAAATGTATTTTCGTGTGTTCCTCTGACACCAGACTCCACTCACCCAAATCAGTTCCACCTATAGAACCATTCTCAGCGAGATGGCCGCTCCGGTCGTAGCATCGACATACCTCTTGTCCAAGTGTAAGTGCTGAAAATACTTGTAAGAAATCAGCAGTCTTCGGATATAATCATGCTTACCCCAATCATATGTCACTACAACGAAGGCGGCAACTGCAAGGCAGCCGTAGAGGTTAGATTGAAATATTGGATCCGACTGCTCTCTACGAACCTGTAAAATAGCTAAAAATACGATTTGCATTAATCGTCGGCCACAAAGCCGGATCATCTGGGACTGTAGTCATATTGGTAGAGAATTGGGTGTGGATAACTTCTTGGTAGATGAGTATGACAATTACATTCGCACTATATATGTATACCACCATCCAGTGCGAAATGAGATAAAGGGATGGTATCTGTGCAATTCACGTAGATGAGGCAGTTGCATCATCAAGATATCAAGCTGTCGTACCATAAGGATGCTAATTATGTAAATGTGTGCGGAAACTTGCAATGTGGTCGACGACCGGTAATGTTTTGAGTTTTTGTATTCCTTATATAGAAATTTCGGGCATCGTGAAAATGCGACTGCCGCGACCGGTGCATGTGGTCCAGACACAGGCATGGCTGCTGCTGGTTCGGATTTTGTGCAGGTACATGTTGAGGGCACTGCATTAGTAGGATAATAGTAGCTATAAATGTATTAAGTTCGCTGGAATACTAGTTTAGAGTCTAGGTACGAGTCAGCGTGAGTGGTTGCTACGAGCTACGAGACGACGTACCTCAGCGAAGCTTTGAAATAAACGCTGAGGTGGAAAAAAAACGCAAAACGCGGAATGTGTGTGTACTGTGTGTTACATGACCATCAGCAGCCACTGATGAGAGTCACAATACTGTATAGTACGTATATATATGGTACCTGAAGAGGGTGTCAAGAAGTTGTCCTTGTCAGCCTCGCAAACATCAGATTGGAAGACATACTAGTGCATAATCATCAGGATGAAACGACAAAAGTTGCTCAACCCACCGATAACAGAAAGTCGGCTTGATTTGTGAGTTATTGACATTCTGGCACTAGTACTGATCTGTCGCGGGCGTCGCGGTCGTCACGGGCACCATCTTTTAGCTAGGCAGACGAACCTGAGTATGAGATTGGGAGGTAGTACCGACCACTTCATCAGCAAACTACCGGTTTTGGATACAAGATTCCCACAGCAACACAACTGGCACAGCCCCACAGTGGTACAGTGCGCAGAGCACACAGGGCTAACAGTGCGGCACAGTCTCACACAGCGCACAGGGTCTTACTGCATCAGGAAAAACCCCGGCGTGCATGAGCGAAAATCTCAGTACTACTAGCTAGTTGTTAGCAAACAAGACTGAGGTGTTGACATGGGGCACGACGGTGTCGCTTAGTACCGGATCCGGAGTGACTCACATGTGTCATATGGTGCGAGAAGAAGTGAGTGGAAGTATTGCATCAAAGGTGCAAGATATTTACCATGGCATCGCTTAATGTTCGGCAGATACACACAATCTATCAACTCCACAAATAATGCGCACTCCGTTGAGTCCGTTCTGTTGATCATGACGTGAGTTGTTCGGTATAGGAGAGACTATCGCTAGTGGCCCAGGTAAGTTTTGTTTGAATAGCGGGAACGTGAACTGATATCATTCAGCTCATACCCATAATAGCTGCTTTCTGATGGTTTGGGAATCTAACGAGTATGCACAGGCTCTCCTTGCTGTAAGTGTATCTTGTTCGTAATGATCAGAGAAATTTACACTATTATCAGCTTGCACGTTTCATCATTGTCGTCCAGCACAGCCGCGAGTCTCATGAGGAGTTGGGCTTGCCCTGCGAGATGTGCTTGAAGTTTAGCCTGTGTTGGTTGCACCATGCTTGAAGCTTGAATTCACGCATTACGTAGTCCTTAGCGCTTAGCCATGGCATCCCACTCTTTCAAAGCCTAACCAAGGCCACCTGATGAAATCGTACAGCTGATCAACTTTTGTTCACATCTACATTCACGGTGAGTGTCCCATCCCTTTTCGATTGTTTTTCGCTAAGCAAACCCATACAGAACCAGCTTTGTATAATTTGTTAGCATGCAAGGACTCCAATGCCACAAGAATTCTCAAGTCTCGAATCTTGATCGTCAATTGGAGTTTTGAGGTGTCGTTATAGTAGCTTGTTCATGCGAAATATAGAGGGCGTTTCAATCTACATTCCCAATGTGAGTCAACAGAAGGGCATCAACTGCATGATGGATTCAGTCTGGCACGGTTTGGATTGGTTTTCATTGGAATGAGCGTCGATGGTGTGCATTGGCAGCTGTATGACTCGGTGAGTTATTCCCTCAACTTCTTCAAATCGCCAACTTTCTGATGGTGTGCCAACAGAATTTTACCGCCTTCAGCCATTGTGCATCTGAGCATCATTTTCTCTCATCTGCTCTCTCGACGCTCTCTTGATATAGCGGTGATGATGTATCTTCATCATCCATCAATTTCGGAATCTCACGTCTCTGGTGAAACCTGATACCTCTTACCACCGCACCAACTCCACGATACAAATCGAATATTTCGCGCTCACCATTTCTGGCGTCCAGATGATATGGTAGCCCAATTTCCGACGTGGAGAGCGAGAGGGTGCGCATGAAGCAACAGATGACCTAAGGGTGAGATGAGACATTGAGACGTATGCTCGCTGGGAGGTATTGGTACCCAGAGTAGAATGCGAATTTGCTTCTTCGTGCGAATCTCCCTATTTTTGATGGCTGACTTTTCTGGTTCGGTGTCATGCCGCAGCTACATCGAAAGATTCACCTCTCACTGTCTCGAACTCGCCATCACGTCCGCAACCCGACATCAAGCAGCAGATACTCGATTCCTGCACTATCGCTGGTGCTGATGCCTACATGTCCGTTCCTGGGTGCATTGCTGTCACCATTTTGAAACCACGTTGGCTATTTTATGTTTGATGTACGATTTCCAGATGTTCAAGTTAGCCCCCCTGGATTGATTCAAACTCCCCTGACTCCACAGAGGCGCTGGGTCTCAGTTAAAGAATCATGGCCTTCATATCACAATGCTTGAAATGGTACGTGAATCTCGCGGTAGTGTTTCAGCAACGATCCTAAACATATTTATATTTATATTCGTATCCGTATTTCCACCTCGTCAAACGAAAGTGAAAAGCGAGTTCGTCCACAAGCATTAACCAACTTCAGCTTCAAGACTGATCCCTCACGTCATCAAGCTACGATGGACGAACGTGCTTCGCACACCTTGTAATCACCTTGAATGGATCATCATCTGTAAGCCAGTCGGTGTGATTCAGGTGAGAAAGCAAGGGTGGGACATTGAATGAGGCGAGCAAACGGATCGAGGATAGATTGCTGAGGAACTGATGCAGTGCGCTGTCAGGCAACTTTACTCTCGCGCGCGCTGCCTAAGCAATCATAAAAATGATTGTCATCGCACAGAGAAAAGGACGAATGGTTGGTGCAAGTGTGGGTGGGTAGCTAGTACCAGTATATTGAGGATATTGATTTAAACGACGTCAGCACGTATAGCAAATCACTTGATTAAATAATACAACAACGTTGTATGTATCCTTGAAATCGGGCGACTAATTAACTTCGATTAATACCTTCATGAAAGTGGGAATAAATATCCTGCTCCTTACAGCACCAGACGACTGTCAACTTCACAAAGTATCACACACCACTGCCAGTCGATATATGCACACGCTCCTGGAAAGCGATTGAGGTCATAGCAGTTGCTGCGTCGGCATCGGCCACGAGCTTAGCGTGGTATTCTCGAACGCCAAGGATCAGGCGCGGTCCCAGCACACACATCTGCACGACCTCGAGAATCTGAAGAATCCCAGAAATAATATAGTACGCGTCCAGGGGATTCTCCTATAGAAACGATAAATTATGGTAGCGTGCATAGGCAAGTGGAAGATTGACATGCCTCTGAGGATATTGGAGTAAACTCAAGGACGAGCGTGAAGCAAGAAACAACAACAAAGCTACCACGTCCGATCCTTCAGTGGAAAAACAGGAACCATAATCACAATGAGCTTACCTCGCAAAGTGAACCACGTGACTTTTTATCAACACCGTGAAACAGTCCCTTACAACAACCCCTCCTGCCGAATGTTGTCGCAGTTCACGGAAGTGTTGTACTGCGATCCAGACTGCGAGACATAGCGCGACGACCTCCCACGCGGTGCCGAGTATCCAAGCAGCAGAGGTAAGAAGTGGGCTATCTTTTGCATAGTCAATGTGGCACAGATAAGTGCCGGAGAGAATGAATTCCTCTGGTATTCATCAATGAGCCTCATGCACATTGATTTTCATCCACAATTGAGCTCACCCCCTGAAAACTGCGTCGTCGTCATTACCATGGCCACTCCGTTAAAAGTGCTGACAGCCAGGAAGGTGACAATGAGGAATATCAGCATTTTTCTGGATCGCTGATACATGGCATACAACCGAGTGCTTATAATGGCTTGCAGCATATTTCAGTCAAGTCAAAACCGCTGAGGTCTCGCAAGTGACAAGCTTACCCCACAGCATTACATATGCCACATCAGCTGTCCAATCCGATACCATGTACGAAATTAAACCTGACGAATCGAGTGAGTGACGAGCTTCAGGTAGTACACACTCCAAACAGACTCACATCTGTGGCAGTATAGCACGATAGTCGTTAGTGAATCAATAAATTATTGAAGAACCACACCCACTCCTACAGGGCAACACGGTTAATTGGAGAGGAATGGTAGTTATATCTGCACTAGACTCACTGTGTCTGACAGCAAGATGGTCGGAACACTCACTGAATGCCATTTGTCAGAAGAAGCAAAGACAACGAATGTACTGAGACATACGCAACATGTACACGCTGATTATGAGAAATAGACCATTAGCACGACACCGATTGTGTAGCCCTCCGAACATACGCAGAAAATAAGATTCCAAGGTAGCGCGCCTAAAATACCTTTAAGTCAGCACAACATGGCAACCGTGACAAATAAGGTACATGCACAGAGATACAGAACTGTCATTGGGGACCAACGTTGTCTCTGGAATCAAATGTATTTTCGTGTGTGTTCCTCTGACACCAGACTCTACTCACCCAGATCAGTTCCACCTATAAAACCATTGTCAGCGAGATGGTTGCTCCGGTCGTAGCATCGACATACCTCTTGTCCAAATGTAAGTGCTGAAAGTACTTGTAAGAAATCAGCAGTCCTTGGACATCATCATGCTCACCCCAATCATATGTCACTCCAACGAAGGCGGCAACTGCAAGGCAGCAGTAGAGGTTAGATTAAAATATCGGCAGCATCAAATCCGACTGCTCTCTGCGAACCTGTAAAATAGCTAAAAGTACGATGTGCATTGATGGTCGGCCACCAAGCGGGATCATCTAAGACTATAGTCATATTGGTAGAGAATTGGGTGTGGACAAGAAGCAAACTTGGTACATTAGTACGACAATAACATTCGCACTATATAGTGCGAAATGAGATAAATGGGTGATATCTGTGCAATCCACGTAGATGAGGCAGTTGCATGGTCATCAGGCTGTCGTACCATAAGGATGCTAGTACTTGTGCAAAATCTTCAATTTGCAACGTGGATATGAAAGTCGTAACGTTCACTCCATTTGATGCCGAGTTTTTGTATTCCTTATATAGTCAGCTCGGGACCATGCCTATCGGAGTGCCAACTCTTCGCAAGCAGACGAGTATGAGATTGTGAGGTACGACCACTTGTTAATAAATGAGGACAACCCGAAGAAAGGCAAGCTTGGGCTACACACCTTTTACACGTGCACTAGCGAAAAGCTCAGTACTAGTTGTTAGCAAACAATACTGGGACGTTGACATGGGGCACGGTGGTATCGCTTAGTAGCTAAGCGCTAATTACCGGATCCAGAGTGACTCGCATGTGTGCGAGAAGTCAAAAAGTGAGTGGAACGTATTGAATCAAAGGTGCAAGATAATGACCATAGCGTTGGTGATGCTATCATGATGTACGATGAATCAGTCATAGCACCAAAAATTCTCCTTGCGAAGACGTGAAATGAAGCACAGGTTGTCATAGCAGTGAGGAAAGAACCGTTAATAAGAGAGAAAACTGTGAGGGCGCAGCAACACAGCATGGATAACGATAAGCTTGTAGAAGGGTAACTTGAAAACTTATCTGAGTTCCGGATCAGTGTCAGGTAAAATTGCAAAGGCCCAGAAATATTCGCAACCTATTTGTACTGGCGGGGAATCACTCGAAGCCGCTCGACTTAGACCCGGCCAGACACACCGTCTAACAGGCCAGACAACGGGCGAGCCTTGGCAGGTGAGCGCTTCCGCTTGACCCTGTTGTCTTTTCTGAAAGCATGTCTATTGCAATGCATCGTGTTGATTCGTGCACTAGGTTCGCATCACCCGGTTCTCCATGATGGCGTTGCCTTGGTGGTCGGTGAAGAGGTGAATTTAAAGACAGGACTTCTCATGTGTCTAGCATGAACGAAATATTGAGTACAAGCTATATCCCCGTAACTTTCAGCGTAAGCCCAACCGCGAACCACAGCGTGAGTTACTTTTCTTCGAGGTCATACTTTCCGAATTCAGACATATACCATGATAGAGTAGACGTACACAACAGCTATATCACACTAGTCTAAATACAAGCATTACATTAATGTAACATCCATTCCTACGCTTCTCATGTCCCACTGTCGTCTGAATCGTTCTCCCATAGCTTATCCGAATTTTCGTAAGGAGAGTTCCGAAGCGCCCCCAGTTGTGAATGTGCTTTCTCCAGTGCTAATCGCAAATCAATATCGGCAGCACAATTCCTCAAGTAACGCTCGTAAAATTTGAAACTCCATAGAGTTGGAAATACCTCGGCCAGGAAGTATGGTACACGTGCAACTTTCGACACCCGGGAGTACCCAAGATGCAGGTTGCGAAGGGCGGTTTGTGTAGGCCAAAGCGCCTCGGTCCCGTCCGGTGCTCGAGGAATCGTTGTCGATTGCGTAGCATCCACCGTCAAATGTAGGGTCTGCAGCGATCTGCACCTGAACGCCAATGACATCATGGCGGTGAAGGTGACGCTATAAAAGGCGCGCCTCTTCCAGGAGATGAACTTCAATTCCTGAATGCTCGGCCAGGCAATTGGGACATCTTTGAGGAACCTATCGTCAAGTTCGAAATTTCCAATGCCGATGAATTTAACAGACGACAGCCTCTTGAACTTGAACAAGGGCCGGAAGATTTCGGAGTGGAGTGGGATGACGAGCAGATAATCAGGATGGTCTGATTTGTCGACCACATAGATCCGTTCCAAATGCTCAAAAGTTTGGCACGACGTCGACAAGGATTCCACAAACGCGGTGACTTCGGCCGGGCTAGCAGATCCGCGATAGCTGATATTGATGCGTGATAGTTGTCGGGTGGTGACTTGACGAAGGAAGTGCGTGCACTGTGACAAGGAACCCTCAGAGAGATAGAGGGTTTTGAGACTAGGCAATTCAAGGGGTATACCACTCGCGTCGCAGGAGGTTCCGCACAAATTGAGCTTGAGGGTCTGAAGACACCGTGCTTGCTGGATATTGGTGATCATCTGCCTCGTTAAGGACACATCGATTGCGAAAATGGCCAGTCTAATCAACTTTGGCAGCTTTCCAAGACTCGGAGGGACTGTCAAAGCCGCGGTACCATTGCCCGCCGATACTGATAATTGGCGCAGGCCATGTGCTTCCGTGGGCAGAGCAGCAAACAGTTGCTCTACCTCATGTGTTGGGATGCCAGTTATATCAAACCGGAGCGCTTGCAATCCAGGCGAAATGAACTGCCGAAGCAGCCAGAATTTTGAACTACGCTCCAGAAGACCAAACACGGCCTCGAAATGCAATTCGCAAAGGTTCGGGAAGAGTGTGGCAGGGGGGAACTGCTCGAAAAGCCTCTTCAGGACATGACCAATGACGTCTGGGCGCAGGATAGGGCGAAATAGATCCAGGGCACTACCAATGCCATCTGTGCGCCGCCTAAGCACTGGACCGCGAGGTAGCTTCGGCGCGTCAGTGAAGCCATCGATGCTAACAAGCCTGCGCACTCTTGATGCGTTCGCTCTGAGGTGCTCCCACTCGATGGGAGTTGGCTCTCTAGAAAGACGCTACAAATCAGAGCACGGTGAGTATTGTCCTGTCAAAACTCGAATGAGATACTTCACTTACGACAATATAGTCGCGGCAACACCCTTCAACCTTCCCCTCCCAGGTGTCTTGTGGCAGACACATGATAAGGCGTGCCAAACTGGACTGTCTGGACCAGAGGATATCGAGGGCGGGACCTGCCAGCCTGGAGCAAGTCATCGCCACGTTCACCAAGTCCGTCGCAGAGGACTCGACGTGTTGTAACACTGCACGGATGATATCGTCGAATTCGAAAATGCGATGCATGATTCAAAGTTGTCAGTGCTCAAGCACAACACCTTTTATATAGCCAATTCCACAAGAATCCACAGATCCACAGATCCTCTGGTGTATATTCGGGTGGGTATGTTCACTTGTGGAAGTCATGGCATCATTGACTCGATCGGCACCCTTGTGAACATCATGAGACACAAAAAACATTGTTCTGCTGGCACTGCTGTGGTCCGCCACTGTCGCCAAAAACGGCACCTTTTCGCTGGATGTAACGTACTTTTAAATTTCGTTTTGATTGTCCTTTGTGGTCATAGGCCCTATGTCGGACATGGCGCTATGCACGGGAGGCTTGTACAATACTTACGGTGTGGTGTTCCCTGCAGAATAGCCGGAGCAAAATAAACACAATAGTCATCCACATCACAACTTGCAAGCCTTACCATGTATTTAAGACAAGAGCGCCGACAGCATCCACATGCTCACTTTTTCTCTCAGCACCGATGAGTAGTATGGGGTGCATGACTCGAGGAGTGTGCCGGTGACAAGACTGACCTATTCGCGTGAACTACGGAGAGACGAAATTCCTGTGAAATATTCATGAGCAGTCAGTAACATATCATACTTGCGCTATGATTGAAGCTGACAACGTCTTATTGCATTCTAGCCAGGCAGAATATTGGTGAGACAAAGTGTTCGCTACCGTGACATCCTCAGCAGGCTGCTAGCATCGGAGTTTGAATTCACCACTAGCCTCTAGGAGTGACTCTTGCTCAATTAACTCATTATCGACCGGCTCTCGAACGAGTTATGCTTGAAATTCCTCGACATCCAGCCTATAGCGGCATACGAGAATCCTTGATTCCACTTCGCAACTGGTGATCATCCTAAGAATCTAGATTACAAACAATGAGAACACACTGGGAGAAAAGCAGGCACAGGCATCACCCTTACACTCGCAGGAGCCTTCAAATCATAAGAAGGCTCATACCATGAAACAATGATGATGATATTCTCGGTGAGCGCAGGCCAGCTGAGTATCAGCTGTTGGCACGCCATCAAATGAAAAAGTAACAGTCAACTCAGGCTGCCAATGCGCACCCCTCAGAGTTACTCTGCTCCTACCCCCTACTACCGTCCGTTTACTCACCTCCCTACAGTTCTACCGTCTGTTTTCCTCCAATAAAGAAATGTATTCTCTCAAAGTTATATCACCATGTGCCCAGGCCTGGGTCCATCCAGCTGCAGTTGTTTGATGATATGGAAATATTCGGAGCCAAGGTATGTGTAGACTGACCTCCTCCGTCACGCATTTTTGGCCTTGAACTTAAGGAATGCCGGGACACGAAGTGTGGCATAACCCGCATCTATGCAGCAACGAATGATAAAATGTATGACCTACGCTTCCTTGTTTCGGTGCAGGGTAAAGGATCTCAGACACCAGGAAAGGATCGAAGCACTGCCTTTTCGAGGATATTTGAATGACGAGCTTTTTGAATAATTGATTACAAAATATGCCTCTTACAAAGAGCGAAGTGTCTGTACCGTCGCGACACATCACGGTACTACGATCCAAAAACCTGTGCTGCATCCAACGGCATCATTCAGCAAGAAGCTTCTCCACTGTAGCATCAATCGCCTGAGGAGTAGTGGTCGATGCCCAGCGGTTCACAACTTTCCCGTTCTTATCAACCAAGAACTTCTCAAAGTTCCACTACGAGTGGGAAGTTGCGTTAGCTGCATGCACATCGGCGATCCGACCCCACATAACGGACCTTGATTCTGGTGAGGCCCATAAGGCCAGGCTTCTCATTCTTGAGCCATTGGTAAACAGGGCTCGTGTTGTCACCGTTGACGTCGGACTTCTTCATAAGAGGAAAGTTTACGCCGTGATTGAGCTCGCAGAAAGATGCAATGGCGGCGTCGTCACCAGGCTCTTGGCCGCCAAACTATTGGACATTATTGAGCTCTATATCGTAGTGAAACGGCGACTGGAGCAGCGCAGACATACTTGATTGCATGGGAAGCCAAGAATGACGAAGTCGCGTTCCTTGTACTTGTCGTACAACGCCTGAAGGCCTGAGTGTCCTCTGTCAGTCGCATACCAACTTCGAGAAGTATAGACTGCACCTTTGTATTGGGGAGTGAAGCCACTGAAGATTCCGAAGAGTGAATCCCTTGTAGGTCTACCATAGTTACCGACTCACCACTTCGATGCAACATTGACAATCAAGACAACCTTCCCTTTGAGCTGTTCAAAGTCATATGCTTGCCCGCTAGGCAGCTCTGCTTTCAGATCATAAAAAGTGTTTCCAGAGGAAGAAGACATCGTTCGTCGTGAAAGTGAAGGTAGTAGTTGGAGACGCGAGGGCGCAGTGACGCACCGTCGGAATGGCTGAAACGACCGGCAAGTTCCATTGAGTGTGCTGTGGTAATAATATCCTAGAGATCTGATGTTCGAATATTGGGTAATCAAGCGTGATTTTGTCAACGAAGGAGTAAGACTTTTGAATGATATTGCAGCTTTCGTCGACATCGATGCATCGGCGGGCAAAATGAACTGTTGGCGCTTGGTGTACGTCTTGACACGTGTTCATTGATATCTTATCTTTCGTGCGTCATGCCGTAGTCAATGTATCCGGCTCCAGCACGTACCCGATAAATAAATGAGATCTAACAGTACTAAGGATCTGTCATTTGCTCATGAACCCATGGCCACAGGCTGATAGACCCCGACCACGATCACTTAGCCTGGGGGAGTGAAGGTCATACATTTCCACCATCATCGATCATCGCTCCAGTCGTTTACACGCTACTAGTACGGGCTATTGTATCGAGTGGGCTGAACAACGATATCGAGAAATTTTTACAACGGCTGTGCAGGGAATTTGTTTGTGTTCAAAGTTCAAACAGTGGTGTGGTATAATACACTGTACTGGATCGAGTCACGCACGAAGTGCTTGCACTGGTGTCGGTATCCGCGATAAATTTGCAGATTTGTGATGGTGGCCCGAGGTATAGTTTACCTGAAAGAAATTCTAGAGCGGCCATATTCATCATAACCATATGTCCAACCTAGACCATCGAAATATCTGCTAGTCTATGAGGTCAATCAGCCCAACCTCCATAAACCACCTGAATATCGACTGAGCCAGTTTGAAACTGTAGTGTGACCAGAGTCAACATTTACCGTGTCCGCGACCAAGAACACCTACCCATGTGAAAGTAAGCTGATCCTATTCCAACAAAAACCTCTCCGGGCCACGTGTGGAAAAAGACGTGCGGTTAGACTGTAGCAGTGTCAGGATGATTCGAAATTATATTTTCGTTATAACACGTCACAGCTAGGCGACCAGGCTTGCGAATGAGAAGGTCTGGCAATTCGGATTGTACAAATTTTCGGAACGAGAGATGGCACATAGCCGGGAATATGGTCTGTATGGGCCGCTGCGCCTCGGAATACATGTACGACGGTAATGAACAACCGAGCTTCGGGCAAAGGTACGCGATTCGGCGCTGAGGCGACCTATCGGGTTCTTGCAATGCGTACACGGTTATAAGGCTGGAGCCGATCGCAACAATCATTCGTCGGTCGATTGCGTGGATTGCTGTACATGACCATCTCGTTTTTCTAGTAAAGGATACCGCTTATGCTAAGCCGCAGAGTTCTTGAAATAGAGGGACTTACACTCTCGTGTGTCCCTTCCTCCGATCAATCACTTGTATGGATGTGGCGCGCGAAGCTATGTCGCCCGTGTTGTCTACGCAGCGGTAGACAAATACACGATCATCATAGACTTCAGGTTGTCCCACAACAGAAACAAGTTGATCGCCAGGTGCATCAAAATATGTACCGGATGGGGACGCTAGAATGAAGCCGACCGAAACTCCACCCAAAAGATATAGTGATCTTGTTCGACATCGATTGCAAAGACAGATTCGGGCAAGGAGACCATGTCCACAAGATCCTGCAGAGTGGTGACAGTAAGACCACTCAGCGGTACTGAGCTGAGAGGAAAGTGTGTGAGAGCTACTGAAAAGGCTGAAGCGCTGATGTTTGTGTTACAATCTCCAATGAAGAGACTGTCCTGACCCAATATCCACCATAGCCCGCACTTCACACCCAATATCTACCTTACAACGTGACCATTGGCGGTGAGCCGTGGCAAAAACCATTGATTCTTCGGAAATAATATTTACATTGAACACGAGGATGTCAATGTTTTGATTGAGCGCATCTTTCTGGAAACGCCGTGAGTCCAGGGTAAACTAGGAGGTCTCGGTGAACTTGAAGCCCCGAGCAAAAAGCTCAGATTCCATAACGTTTTGCAGGTCTAGCATAAACCTACTAGAAGTTAGCAAGAAACATGACAACACAGATGAAATAGCGGACTATTGCGAAACGACAAAGTTCCTCGGGGTAGGGATGAGCGCTAGCGCTAGCTCGCGATAGGAAGCGACTAGAGCGCAACGCCCGCCATCGCCGCACTTGTGTGTCATCAATAAACGTTACATATTAGTAATAGTGATGTTATCTTGGTTCTGTGAGTTCCGCAGCACCTTGCAATATATCTATTATAATAAAATAGAACGTATTTTTTTTCTCACAGGGGAACAACTTTGAAGTCTGAAGGGACAATCAGGGTCCATAATTAATGTTCTTTATTTTAAAATAGTACATCGATTTTCTTCACGGGGGTCAAACATATTCCATCGTCTTTGCACAACGCCACATTCTCAATCGATTCGGAAACAGCCGAGAGCCTCGGTCCCTTGGTTGAGTGGGTTCGGTGTGTAAAGGCCACCGAACCTGGGATCCGAGGCTTCATATTCCCCCAGCTTACCCCAATTGCTGTGATAACTGCCCCTTCTTTTGATAGCTTCTCGGTCGGTATGCTTTACAGGCTTCTCTGTAATACTCATACATAGCTTCTCGGGCATTGCCAACGAGATGTACCTTGAATAATTCCTGCTGTACTTTCTGCGCTTCTGTGCACCAATTCTCTGGGAAGCAGTATCCGATGGGCGTTCCCAGCCCTATTTACCTCTTCTTCTCCACATTCCGAATCGAGTGACGTCATGGGTATACTTTCCCTACTTCTCGTCGTGTATCGATACAGGCATGTGCTATATTAACAACAAGTCCCAGACTCTGTATCAATACAGTGGCGGGTGCTGTTGGCGATCCGAACTTCACCAAGTCCTGCTGCCTATTATTATTACCTCGACAATTCGTAGTGTCTTCTTCCGAGAAGATATTCCGCAAGTCCAAACAATTGCATCCTTAAGAATGAATATATTTGCATCAACCAACACACGGTGAAAGATTTAGACAGCGTGCATATATACATAATGGTCAAGGTAACAAGAACATCCAGAGAAAGCTTATGCGGGCTTCTTCAGGTGACAGACTTGCAAGGTCTGCGAACGGACGTCCTTCTAAAACCACCTAAGAATTTTGAACTTACCTCTTTTGGTGCTACCAAGCTTGTGAGCGTCTGTTAGACGGGGCACATAATCGGTATTGTAATATATGGCGAAGCGCGCCTGGAATCGAACTAAACATCGAGCTCATGGTACAGAACGATGAGCACGATGTGTAGTGGGTGCAGAGAAGATGTCGGCACTGATGACAGCAAGTTCATAAATATACCTAAGCTTGCAGTTGGTAAATAAAGTATACTCACCTGCAAGATATATATTTACCCCCACCAAGGCGACTGCTACTGCAGCTGCGGAACTTGCTGTGGTACCGCAGCATCTAGTTAATAACGTGGCGCACCTTTTATGGACAGAAAGTGCGAGGTTTGGCCGATCTGCGTGAGGTCATGCAAACCGGATGTAGACTCGTGTCCTGTCAGAGGGTTGCTGGGATTCAGGAAGTCTCACAAGGTCGCCGTTACGATGTCACTATCATCCCAACCAACCTCTATCCCGCCCGCCTACCGCATCAGGATCTTTACCTCCTGATCCCCGCAAGTGTCTCACGCCTGCATGGCTTGTCTACTACCTCCTCGGCTCGGTGTTTGCCTATTTCCTACCCCCATGTCGTCGTCTATAGCTCCCAGTCTACGGCCGCTACGTTCTCCCTCCAGGTGACTAGAACTGCGACGGCAAGCTGATAAGAATGACGAGATTGGCATGATGGTGGCTGAGATGCGTGATGGTGGCTGACGTAGACACCGAGGGTGGTTGCGACGATAGGCCAAATAGACTAAAATAAACGAACGACCGCCCGGACCTTTCCGATCATAGACACCCGCCCAGACTTTATGCGCAGACCTCACAAATTGGCCGTTTCCTACATGTGAAATGTCGCTTTGGAGATCTCACCCCGTAAACCCCACTTTCTGAATCGTACCTCGTGCAGGGCAAGCATACCAAACCTGTGCACAACAATGAGCATTGTGTACTGCCAGTGCAAGTCAGAGGATAGTGTGTACTACTAATCTTTATCATAGTCCGTTGACAGACAGTGCCCAGATAATTCAGAAAGTGCGATTCCTCGGATCTTCTATTCATATTTATCACAACTAACTCCCAGGCATCCACTTGAACAATCGGCGAGATAGATACAGGATTGTGGCAGCATGCGGCAGTGCCTGTACCTCAGTCCCAACCTAGCATTCTTGCATAACGGAGAGTTTTATACTCGACTATCGGATGCTATCACATTCGTTTAGCTGTACTGCTTGGATGTCGGCAAGCTACATCCCGCCGCCCAAAGCCGCTATGTCAGGAAACGGAACATAATCTCTACACCCGCTAGGCCTCTTCGCCAAATGCAAATGCACGACCTATTCATCCCCTGAGTCTAGTGCCGCACTTGAGGCGTTTTATCATATCCGAAACAGAAAACAAGGCGTTCTGGGTGCACGCCGGTGCCCTGATTGTTATTTCTGGCAAGCGCGAATAGCAGTTCTCATTTCCGCCCTATTCTGAAAAGAAAATAGAAAATGGTAAGTTCCGCGGGAGGCGCTGTCGAGAGGGCCACGTTCCGTGATATAGAGATGGGTGGTGCCTCGGCACCGAAAATTCTCCAGGTTTACAAAGTTGCATACAGTACCTGCTGCCGGAACAGCTGTCATGCATAAGTCACCGCCCTCTGCCTGTCACGGGTTGATTACTGCTTCCTGGACATCGCACTCACCCAATATGGTTCTTACTGGTCGTCAACGGGGCCTGAGTCAGCTACAGTGCATGCCCAGCCAGCAGCAATGACGGCGTATAAATGGTATGAGGATCCCAAGTATTTCAATATTCATAATCACTGTATCCCAACATCGCCCATATAAATAAGACTCGTTCGCCTCAATATCTCTAGCAATATGTTCACCTCCTTGGACAGCTTCGCAGTTTATCTTGCTCTCATATCATCTGTTCTCGGTGCTGCTATCCCCACAACCACAGTGACCACAACGTCTACCTCAACCGCGACTTCCACATATTCTACAAATCCCCATGATGAAGTTGCTGGTGCCCTGTGGAAGAACAATGTTCACGATAAGGTCTATTCCTCTGAAGCGAGTACAGAAGGTGACCTATCAACGTCGTTGAGTTACAAGCCTTTACTAACACACACTTCGTTGCACAGCTATTCGGCGATCCGTCAACCTCTGGAGGGGGATCGAGCACGATGAGGTAGCCCCAGTTGGCCGTACACCCTCCCGGCGATCTGGCGAGATCTGGCACGGATTGGAACATCGGGGGATTTCCGTTCTTCCTGACGTTTAAGGTTTGTTCCTGTACGAAAACCATCAAAGCTCCTACTGACGCGCTGCGTGCAGCTATCCCGAGTCATCCGGATTATCCTAATTCAGACTTTGATTATTTTTGAGCGAGGAGCTCCACGCCCTTGCTGCGTATGCGGGTACACGGCAAGTTGGCTCCTTCGAGCCTCTGCCATCATTACCGAGTCCCGCATAATTCTTTTTTTTGGACAAGTGATACCCTAAAAGTGTTAATACCTGTCCTACAGCGGGACCTGGGGACGTCTCACTTTATACCGGTCCACTCCAATGGACGTTTGATTACTTTTATTATGTTAAGTTGCGGCTATTTGCATTTGTACGGGTTGCAACGTTGAAATGTAGTTGTTATTTCGTAGATTCCCTTACGAGAAAACTGATTCAATTAAAAATGCCTGGGGTCTGGTGGCGCAGTCTTCGCGTAATGGAGCCTTTTGCTAATAAATATTCCTATCATTTTTCGGACATGATGCGGTGAATCAAGCGAAAATTGGTATACCGAGGAGTCAATACTCCACTCTTCATGTTCCGTTGACAGTTAATAAAACCCTTTGCTTTCCGTTCGTGTATTCCATCATGCCATAACACGCCTTGGATTCTCTTGGTGGTTCTGATCAGTGATAAGGGCGACTCCGAGTTGATCACGGTGGCATGGAGAACTCGGCAACGCCCGGAACACTATAATCGATCTCCGCGTCACAGTATTTAACCTCCGCAAACAAACTTCTTGACCTCGTTTTGATCACCAGCTTTTGTGCCATCAACATTTCAACGATGTAGAGCCTTCGTGCACTTACGAGGAGAGGAGGTGAGTTGTCTCTCTGAAACTAGCTTCTCTTTACGGATGATATCTGTATCACCAAATCCGAAGCCTTCGTGGCGGTGGTGAAAACACAACAAAAAAACTAAGAACAGCCATCTGATCCTTCTTCGCATTTTTATTGAGGCGTGTAGCTTTGATGCTGATTCTGTTTGTATCCACAGGTGCTTGAAGTATATTGGCGCAGTGTATCTACTCCGCGGGCTGGCATCTTTCTTTATGAGGCTTGGTGCGAGATGCCTGATGAGATGACTCATTGATATCGATTCGTACGTGACATTTTCACCAAATCCAAGTCATCGGCTGCAATGGCGCCACTCGCATGATCTAAGAACAGTCATCTGACTGTTTTAGCTCCTTTGATTCTTGGCATTTCTTTCTTCCTGCGTTGTGGGGCATCACGGGTTATGCTATGATGTCTTGTGCGTGTATTGGTACATAATCATGTGTAGCGAGATATTAATGTGAAAAGTTATTACAAGCATGGCGATGATTGTGTCAACAGCGTATCTGAGAACGGCCATAGTCCAGTATGATGGTGTGCATCGATGTTCGAAAAGAATTGCAATGAATATAATAAAGATAAAAAAAACACCTTGTTCATGTTTTCTTTCCCATCATTTCTGCCATCTTGGCTTCCCTTTCTCTCTGAAAGAGGGTGAATCGCAATACTAAAAAACTAACATGAGAGCTCGTACCTCGTCTGTAGCCTTCACGATTCTCAATTTTTCGATCTCGCGGGCGCATTCTGCCATGCGATCCTCCATCTCCCTTACGATTTCCCTCTCCGCTTCCAAGCGTTCCTCCTGGGCCTTGACCTCTACTTGCTTGCCCTCCCACCGCGCATGCTCCTCCTCAGCACGAGCCCTTACTTCCAGGAACGTGCTCTCGGCTTGCTGAGCGGCCAAGAGTGACTTGGAGTGGGCTGCCTCTGCTCTGGTCTCAAGTTTGCAGGCGGCCTTGTGAAGATCTTGCAGAGCCGCGAGAGACTTAAGAGCCCGTGCCAATGCAGCTTTTTCCAACTTAGATTCTGTCTTCAGAAGCTTGGAAAAACACTTCGACTCTCGTTCTATCGAAGGGCTTCAGTTACGAAAGAAATTTAGAGTCGTAATGACGGAATACTCACTCTCATCCTTGATTATTTTTTCTTTCTGCTTCTTACTCAAAGATCTCTCAGCGATGACCCCCCGTTGGACCACACCCTCATCTATATCTGGCTCGGCGTTTGGACCGGTGAGAACCGACCCGCTCTGGAAGGCTGCTGTCGCCTCAGCCACTGATCTAGTCGTGCGATTGCTTCTTGTTGTGCGCACAGATGCCTTTCTTCCCAACGGAGGGGTGTGTCCACCTTCCATACTATGAGCGGAAGGTGCATCCTCGTCTATGTCCTCCATACACACGGGAAGCGATTGGATCGACGGAGACCTGCTGCGGTCTGAATGATTTTCGCCGTGGTGCTTTGTGAACTCCAAGTGGCTGTCCTCCGTACCAAGATCTTCTTTTGGGGGCGAGGCATTTGAGCCTGGGATGTTGCCGTTTGGTGTAGGAGTATTTCCTGATTTTTTTGGCATCGAGACGTTTTGCCCCTGACTGTTGGATTGCTTGATGTCAACGTTCTCGGCAGGATACTGGAGTGCGTCGAAGTACTGTGTTTTTTCACTGGGCGTTGAAGACAAAACACGCTCCATCTAATGGTGAAGTCAAGTTGAAGTATTTGTCTAGGCAATCCCGAAATGTTAGACTGACTTGGAATAACGACGTCATTGTCGGTCAGTGGAGACGTCACCGATCATGATGCATGATGACTCAGCGTGCGATCATGTCTTCATGTCCGCTCATGCCAGGCAGCCTGTCGACGCCGCACCGGGTATGCGTGATCGAATTGCGTGGTGTACAAAACTAAGTCATACACTAGGCCACAGTGGCAGTAGTAAATATCACAACATGTACACGAGTAGAACGTACAGTCTGAGTGACACGCGAAACCATATTGGTTCAAATGATAGCGGCGGGACAGAGCTTGCAAGTGAAGAATGAACTACTGACATGGTGATCGGCTTTGATTATTTCAATTCCAAAGGTAGCGTTCGTCTTGGCCTGCAAGCGAGGGCTACCAAATACCGATGTGGACAACGATCCTCGTAGTCGATTAGGTAGCTGCGTCAGACTTATAGCATAACTCTATGTACGATAAATCTCCATAAAATTTCTCTGATCGAGGAACATTCTACAATACAATAATTGATCGCACCTGCCAGCCACGTTCCAAAATATATCACGTTTTGACCACCATCCTCTGCGTCCCATAGATTTTAGTTGGGTCATCGAGTGGTGTCGCGAGACCTTGTAGAGGTCTACCAGAGATTATCGAGGTCCCGCGTGCTGACGGAAAGCAGCTCGTCATCATGATCAGCGTATAGAGCCTTGACGATCTCCTGCTCTTTCCATCCTCCACCCTTGACAGGTTCCAATGTGTACTCGACTGACAGTGCCGACAAGGCACCGCCATAAGCATGCGAAATACCTTGGATATTAATAATGATATTGAGAACACTCCGAAGTATCTTGGTGCCATAGAGCTTACCTGTATCGATGATAAGCACTTTCCCGTCACACCTAGCCGCAATGCTGTCAAATTGCGGGGTGTGACCCATCACCATACGGCGAGTGCCTGTCTTTTCGAGAACCTCGTCGACCATTCGGCATACCTTCCGTTCATCCTCATCGGCCCAGCCACGGTACCACAACGGCCCATCGCTACCGTACAGGCGGGCTTCCTCGCGAGTCGTGCCTGCAGGGAGACCAGGGTATGAACTGGGTGGGTGTGGTTGAGGTTGAGGCTTACGCTCTCTCAACCTGTGTAAAAGCGATGATCCAAGGTTATTAATAGCACTTGGGAACGGTTGCAGATTTGGGTATGTAGGAGCCAAACCACCATGCACAAATGAGAAAGCAGCATGCGAAAGAGGTCCTGCATTGGCACGTGCGAATGCACTTCCATCTGGTACTGGGTAATCGGTGTTGGGAGGGCCAAGTAAACCGTGAAGAGGAAGTCGTGCAGCGGTAGTGTAATTCTCTGCCCATGCATCCGCAAGCCAGCCAGTCGTGACAGCTTCCAGGCGGCTCCCGCGAGGCTCAAAAGTCTTCTTCTCCGACTCCAAAACGTAACTGTGATCAACCTCAATGGCAACGCATGCTCCGTGGATGACATCACTTACCGCCAATCACCTGGTAGAGAACTGGCTCAGTCATGTACTCCACGTTATGAGATTTATTGCATACCTATCGCGTTCATATACTCATGATTTCCGAGGATAGACAACACGATGCCGTTGACGGCTAAGGCTTGCTCACGAAGGTCTTCCATCCAATTAAACAACTCGATGGTGTCATCGCCCCTGCAAACATATTGAGTGGGATTGGAACGCCAGTCGGAAGCCCTCACCTGTCAATGATGTCACCAGTCTGCACAAAAACATCCACTTTGCCGCTCCAATCATTGTTCTCGTCCACGACGCCGGCCATTTGTAAGATACGCTCTGCGTTTCCAATGTCACCATGTATATCGCCTACAGCAATAATTTTGCGCGAAAAACGTGGACGAGGCTCGCGTGTATATTCGTACTCATCAGTATCGATGACTACTTCCTCAGGCTGTTCTACAGGTTTGAACCTGAAAGGTGCCTGCACGGCCGCTTGGGCGTATCCGATGAGACCTGACAGAGCTAGTGAAAGCTGCAGTCCAGTTCCGAGGTGAGGTGCGGGTCCAAGAGGCGAGGAAGAGGATTGTGCATAATACGCAAGTGAGAGCGCGAGTAAAGGGAGGGCTATGAAAGCCAAAGTTGTTCCACGAGGCATGTCTGTAAAATGACGTGTGTCTGTTCGATACTACAGAGTAATCAGAGAAGAGGCATACTGAGTAGAGCGCACTATATAGCTCACTATTGGAACCACGACAATCCGGGAGCACTTAAGCGAAGACCACTGCCAAGATCGATGGAATGTCTGCTACTCCGAATCACTCCAGGGGGAAAGGAAGAAGTCTCAAGCTGTGTTGCAGGGTTGCGGCGTGCTTAATAGTATTTGAAGTTCGAACAAACACTCGACACCTCAATTGATTCAGCCTCAAGGCCGCGGTGGAGTAGAGAGAAACGTGGCTGGCGGCGTGTACTACTCGTGCTGCAGCACGGCATGTATGTGTGAAACCAAATTGTGAACTACCCAAATTGGACATGGTGTGAAACAGCGGAAGCAGACAACGATACATGTCTACGGAAAGTCGCATGCATACACGTACGTACGGTGCTGGCTTTGACTGGCGAGGCGGGATATCAAACCCACCCAAGCCTGTGCAGGCAGCCAGTACGGAAATCATAAATACGTGAATATGCAGTACGTTCGCCATCTCAAAAATCTAACGCAGGAACACCTTTAAGACCCTCCTTCACCACCTTCTTGAACCGGCGCTTCAGCAGTTTGTTACGATGCAAAGACAATTGGAATTGGAGTGAAGTTAGCAGGGTCGAACCATCGTAAACATTGGGCTTCTTCGAGAACACGGTGTAGAACGCATGCATCCCTAGCCTGTGGATGTTGACGATGAGAACAACGAAGTACAACGCCGAGGTCAATGCTTACCATGACACAGGACATGTCTGCAGATCGCAAACTCCACCGCTGTCGCGCGCAACCTTGTTGCACGACTGGTGGCGTATTGCGGTATAGGTATATCTGATAACATGTCTGATCACATCTATTTTCGAAGCAACATGAATCTGAGGTTGATATGTATTTAGATTCAACTTACTGTTCAAGAATTTTTGATTCTTCACAATATCTAAACCCCAGCTCATGATATAATGGTGCATCTTCGTTGCAGCAATGATGAAACTTTGATAGACATTGACATGTGCAGTATGCAGCCCATTCATTTGGGTGTCAGTGTAGATAATATGACTTCTAGATTTCGCCATCCTAGGGACGATTAGTCGATGGTCAACGAAGGATATACCATACTCACAGTAACATCTTACGAGTGAACGCCACGCCGGGACGTCGTTTCTTGTCGACTGTGAGCGAATACTCGAGGTCTAAAACATTGAATATTGGAAGTCTATCATAATGCGCATGAGAAGGAAATACTCACCATGTCCATCATACCTCGAGTAATCAGCCATGACCGAGAGGTTAGACATATCGATCAGCAAGCCACACCAAGGAAAATCTATTGTCTTCAAGCAATAATATAGTAAGGGAGTGTGATTAAACATACGTCTTTGGTTGTCTTCGATAATGTTCGCTCCTTGGATGGAATCGTGCTCGAAATTAGTCAATGTCTTTTGCTTGGATACGATGCAACCGTATTCAGGATGTCCTAGCCGATTCAGACTATGAAGTGTGGTAAAGCACGAAGCACGCTAGTTTACCTTCGTACATGACGTCTAGGAACCGCCTAGCCTTTGCCAAGCTAGTTGTCACATATAGATAGTCGTCAATCCATCGAAGCAATAACTATGCGTTAGGGTTAATATGCTCTTATAAAAAAGGAAGGAGCACGCACGCTTTGGGGGTCGTCAAAGATATTCAAACGAGTTCTCTCTAAATCCCCGTAGAAAAACGAGCACAAGAGAGCCGATAGTACAGATCCTTGAGGAATGCCAACAACTTGTCGATAATAACGCTCGCCGATCTGACGAAAACGTCAGGGACTTGTGACAGCCTTCCAAGACAGTTGGAACAGACCTTCACAAGGTTTTCCCTTATGTGCTCTTCGAGGAGCTTGAGAGTGGCCATCTTGTTCTGAAATTCATACTGAACCTACATGACAATGAATGACCGGTATAAGTCATGCACTAAGTGACCAACCTGATCTATGAAGATCGTGTTCCGTAGGAAAGCAGCCATTTCACGAGCATACGCCACAAAGTCCGTGGATTCATCTTGGGGAATACCTCATCAACACGTGACCAGCGGCTTGATGCACAATAACCCACCGTCTGAATCTGCCTGCTTGATATACTCGCGTTTGATTTTTTTGAAATCAGCTGCAACCCGCCCATGCTTCCGTATCATATAGTTGTCCTGCATAATCATGTGAGTTTTGGTACTGAAAGCAGACGCGACTGTTTACCTCGGATATTATGTTGTGAATAATCTTCAGCAGCATTGATTGATCTATGGTGTCGAAGCATGCTTGCACGTCAACTTTGACGAAATATAGTTTCGGACTATGAAATACACGGGTCAGTGATAAGATTCCAATTGAATTGACAGATCACACAGTTTCTCCGAGGGTGCGTCCTTCGATAACTCCGTCTTAAACCTCTTCAGCTTTTGGTATATCTCGTTAGAGCTGAAAACGGACGCTCCAAGGAGGTCTGGTTGTTGTTGCTAGCCATGACATCAGCAAGAGTCATTTCAACGTAGCACGAAACGAAACACCTTCTCATATGTCAGAATCGCAAATGTCGTTTTCAGAGTCTGGTTGATTGACAGCGGTGGCCTTGTAGACTGACCCTGCCTAGCAATGTGCAAGAGTTCAACCAATTTCACTGAGAGAAACGGACCTTGGGGTTTGCTCTTCGTCGTAGATTCACAATGGGGCGAACACCAGTTTCCTTGGGTAGCAAGCGAATGAAGGCAAATCCGAGTTGTCGTTGGCGCAAGATCTCTTCTGCTTCATGCTACAGGAGCGTAAGAACTAAGCCACACCAGTAATTCAAGACAAACCTTCTCGACCTCTTGGAACGTCTTTTCACTTAGTCGGTCTATCAAAGGTGCACAGAGAATTTCCCAGTCGTCTTGCCGAAAGTAAAGAACGTGCTTTCGCAATGCGGATGACTCCGTGACGTAGAACGTCGTCTGGAAACGTTTGTGTCGATAAGATGTCTCCATCTTAGTCGAAGAAAATACGAACTCTGAGAAGCGGAAGCAAGAAGGAGTCGAAGTACCAGAAGAAAAATTCTTCAAGAAGTTCACGACGTTTGAGAGAATCTGTCACGGATACTCTATGCTGCTTCCGGGCACCCTCACCGGGAGGCATCAACCAGTCGCATTCTGACGTGCTGAAACCTTGAAGTACGTGATGTAATGTAGACGTTTCGAATCTCCGGCATACGATGAATTCATTAAGATCTGATGAGCGTCAGCCAAATATAAGCGTGTGAGAAATAAACACACATACAGCCTTGAAAAACCTCAAAATTCTTCTCGCATCCCCAGAAAGCTTTCGGAATAATAGCCTTAGTCACGAGTATAGCATAGCGAAAAACCTAGTTAAGCGGTTAGGGGTAATGCATGCACGAGTCTCTGAGTCGTACCTTGGCGTGACTACAAGTGAATTCCAGGAATCGCGGTTTGTGCTCTATTTCATTTTTACCCGGAACTCGATCTGCGACGATGCTGTTTCCTACAGAGTCAATCGTCATGTTCATTTGCGACGCTTGCGATTTCAGTTGGATTGAGTTCTCAGACACCATTTCCTGCCGAACAGATAGAAAAAAAAGCTGCGACAGTGTTCTATTTTGCTCACCAGTATGATGCTGCTGTCCATCGTCTTGTTGTCCGTTGTCGTGATCTATGAGCGAAGATGAGACTAGTGCGCGCTATGACTTGAAGCTCGCCTACCTTGGATGGACAAACTGTGTCTCTAAGTAGCTTATAATGACATTTGCCATGTCGCCAGATCATCTTGTCCAAAAGCACAAGCACGTCCTTCAGCCGCTTCGGTGTCTTGCATGTTCCAAAGAGCTATAAAGTACACGCATTCATTCGACGTCTGTGTACCTTGACAGACCTAGCCTTACCTCAATTTCACGCTCTCTGTCAGCAAAATTCGGCTGCTTATAGGTTTCTTTAGCGGCTGACGGCTGGCTGAATACGTTGGATAGACCGTATTGCAACGGAAAGATATATTTGCTCAGATGTCTGGCCTTCTGTGCTTGCAGGCGCGGGTCAGGGTCCTGATATGCGCCAGCTTGTGGCTGCGCTTGACGAAAGTAAGAAGGATTCAACCGGTTAAGCACATCTTCACGATGATCAATGAATGTAAATCCAATATGGATGGAAGCTTACGGGTACAAGGCAAGCCCACAACGATACTTTGCGACGCACGATCACGATTCGGTCGCGCGTAAAACATCCGTGCACGAATGAACGAAATATCGGCTGATGTTCGTCTGATGAACTGGTCAGCGAAACGAGCAAAATGTAACGTCTCTTCTCTCACCGTTCCGAAGGAATAGCGTCCAACTGGATGACACTCTTCGGGGAAGCTTCACTCTTTTTTTGGTTCTTCCATACGATGAGCTTGAGGCGTTTGCGTGGTCCTGAGCCCTCCAAGGGGTCTCTCTTCCGCTTTCCAAGGTCATTTATACAAGATTCACTCGAAGGCAAGTACCAACTAAGTGTCGGAGGCGTAGCGTAAATCAACGGCATACCCGTCATTTGACACAAACACTCGTTCGGGAGTTTAATGAAAATGGAAGTCTTAGTCAGGAGATGCAACATGGCATCTGCCCCGATTCTGTAGCAAGAGAAAAGTTAGTGATGGACCTCGTGGTAATCATTGCTTTACCTTGTCAATAGATTTGACCATTCCGGGGCTTGCAGAGCCGTGATAATTGTGTTCACAAAAGTGTTCGTAAAGCCGCATGGAGCAGCGGTCGCTTCAAGAGCCTGTGTCTAATTGAATATACAGTGTATAAATGCGGTATGGGCTGCTTACTCTCTTATATCCCGATGTTATGATATTGTCTGGCTTGGACTTCGAATTTGATGCCCCAAATAGACGCTGCTGGGCCTTCTGAATGACCTTCAGAGCACGTTAGATACTGTGTTCTTGCTGAACAATTAGAATGCATGCTTGCACATACCTCCTTCATGTCAATATATGGCTCGGATGCTGAAAATTGAGTACGTTCCGTGGTAGACTCTTTTGACAAGCAAACAAATGAGGAGGTAAGCAGTTCCCGAAACTGGACAGAGTCGGGTGCTTGCAGTGGAAAGTCAGACTGCCCGTCGCCACAGGTCTGTTTGTAGGATTCTTCCTTCACAATTTTCTGAAGATAAGCCTGGAGGTTATGAACTTCCGCGTAGTAGAAATTAAGAACGTCTAGGGTCAGGTGTTTTTTGGTAACGGACATGGCAGCATACAATTCAACGTGGGATATCCCACGGACTCGAATATGAAGGATAAAAGTGACTGAAACAACTGGAGTATTATTAGTGCCGTAGTGCGTGTTGAGAGAAGTCACAAAACACGATATGTCACACCCACGTGACTAGCTACTACGCAAGCAGAGACGATGCTGATGTTCATTTCGGATCAGTATGGGCATCAATTTGCCCATCAACTACATAATAAGCACCAGAAAGATCCGCACGCTGTGCATTCTCTGCGTTCTCAGACCTTGATTGTTAGTCGGAGTTCTGGCGTGTCGGTGTAGTCTCAGCCGTCACGGCGAGTTGGTTCATGCGAAATACAGACGGCGTTCCAATCCACATTTCCACCCAGGCTACTGTGCAAAGGCGCGAGTCAACAGAAGAAGACCTTGACTCTAACTGCACTAACTGCATGATGGATCTAATGTGGTACGTTTTGAATCGATTTTTATTGGAATAAGCGTTGATGGTGTGCATTCAAGTTGGCAGCTGTACTACTTATTCCTTCAATCTCCGATTCTCTGATGGTGTACCAACAGAATGTTACCGTCTTCAGCTATTGTGCATGTGTGCAACATCTTCTCTCATATCCTCTCAGCGCTCTCTTCAAGTTGATCTAGGGGTGATGTTGTATCCGACTCATCATGTATCAATCACGGAATCTCAACCAGGACATCTCTGATGAAACCTGATGTCTCTCACTACTGCACCCACTCCATGATACAAATCAAATATTCTGCGCTCATCATATCCTGATGATACGGATAGCCTTTCCGGCGCGAGGGTGTGCGTGAAGTCATAGATGGCCTAGGGACGAGATGAGACATTGAGATTTATGCTCGAAGGGAGATTTCGGCAGTCCGGGTAGGCCGCAAGTTCGTTAAAAATCTTTTAATTCGCATCAAACAGCGATAGCCATGAACGCCCGCCAGTTGTTTGTTCCTCGTTTAGCATCTCATGCTTCTAGTACCCATTTGATATACCGTTCCGTAACCAGATTTTCCTAGGCCAGCCCCAACGTACTGGTGGTATCCAGAATGAACTTAACTCAATGCAATCCAAGACAGACTTGGAGAAGAGGGTTTGCCAGGCTGTCATATTCAGGAAGCACACACTCGCTTGCGAACCTGGCTCCGGGGATCATCACAAACGCATCGTTCTCTAGTGCATCAGGGCGTTTCAACGGCATTCATTACCCTGATATGCAATCCTCAGCCCCCCATGCAGGTCTGGCCCTCTGTTCTGTGGAAAGGGCTCATCTTTTCTTCCATCAAATCCTGGCACATCCTTTGTTCAACCTACATCACCTATGGCAAAATATGCATCTACCAGAGAAGACTCGACTATTTCTGGTCTCAAAGACGCGCATATATCCCCTGCAGGTGTCGTTTCGGGGTTGATCTCTACCTTTCGTACTATTGCGGCGCCTGTCCCAAGCTATGGGTCTATCCGGGAAGGCGAGCACGATGACGGAGACACATTGAGCTCCAAAAAAAACCCCGTAGCCGAGTCGCAGCCTGCGCAACTCCTTGAGACAATCCATGAAGACGTCGAACCAGAGACAGCAAACGAGGACAAAGTGCTGCTTGACGCTCGCGGGACAAAGGTTGCCGATCATCCTGTATTGCGCAGGGCGAAGCGTATCATCCAAGGCTCTCAGGAGGACGATCCCGATTTCTCACCCCTTGGTGAGATTGAGTATATGCGTAGAGTCAAACGGGTCGGAATAGACAAGTTTCCTCGCGAATTGTCAGATAGCCGTCCTGATGGCAGTAGCCACTCGGGCGTCGACCACACTCGATTTCAGCCTGATCTTAATAACGATATGGCTTGTCAATCTTCACCTGCTACGAACCAACTTGGCGCGGGTGCCGCGGAGGAAATATCTCTTGATGGCATATTCGTTGTCTAAATGGGTTCTAACCGCGGTCGTATAGAAATTGTCAACCAGTTTAAAAATATCATTGACTGCGTCAAGAAGAACCTCACGTGCGTGTCATTTCAAAGTCCATCTCTTGCGGTGGAGTAATTGAGCAAGATCACACCCTAATTATTATACAGAGCCAGCGTCACTCTTTACTCCTGTCGGACAACCAAGTACGATCGCCGTGAGGAACAGGCTCAGCTCACCGAACATCTCAGGCAAGGTTTGAGATCGGCCAGGACAAAGCTATTTGTCGAGGGAAGTAAATCGAAGCTGTGATTAATGCTGCGGTGAGATACTGGCACGACGTGCTTTTTTCCTCCTATCATGCTGAAAAGAATGGACTTCATATGAGATTATACATGTCCATTTGCACAATCGCAATCCTATTTTTTTCTTTAGATCTCAGGACGAAGTGAAGATAAAGTAAATAGTTTCTTATCTTGAGCGCTATACATGAGGCGCGCGCCAGCCCTGGTGGTCAACGTTTGATGTCTTCGGTAGGACTGTCATTGATGTTGTATTAGATAACTAGACTCGTAACGCGCTTCCACTCGGCAGAACCGGTTATTCTGTCACAACACTAGGTCACGACTCACTGCACCATGTGACACACTCCGGATCGGAGGTTACCCTTCTACATACTTTTGATTATTATTTTTAATTCAATTTTATTGTCTGCTGGGGTCAAGGACCCTATGTTGGACATAGCCCTAAACACGGGGGGCTTGCTCCCGCCTATTCTACTGTAAGTATGTGTGTATGTGTATGCTGTGGTTTCGTCAATGGTAAAACACGTACTCTGTCAGCATGATGTCGGGCAAAGGCCGACACTGATTTCATACAGAGGGAATGGAGTGGTGCGATGGGGCTTGGTGAGAGGCCGCTTCTTTTCCTACAATGATGTCTCGACCGGCGAGACGTTTCCCCTCTAGGCTCAGAGATGATTAGGTTTGGTTTAGGTTGATTAAGTGATGTCTTGAGAATATTCGTGCGGGGTGGTGATACACTGTGAAGCGGGTGATTCATGTAAGCTATCTATTTGTCTGAAATCTCACCGAACGTTGGCTTAAATCTGCCTGTTTTTCCGATATAGCGCATGAGCGGCTTGGTGGCTTCTTCAGCTGTGAGGATGAATGAAATAGATGTTGCTTGACGGCGGAGAGTGTTGGCGAGTTGGTGACGTTCTTGTGCGTATTGTGGACAATCGAAGAGGTAGTGGTGGACGGTTTCGTCTATGCCGGGGCACATTGGGCAGTGGGGTGAGTCGTGCTTTCCTATGCAGTGTAAGTGGTAATTGAGGGGGAGGTGATGGGTGCGAAGTTGGATGTACACGCTGGCTTTGCGTTTTGGGAGTAGGGCGACGAGTTTGATGAATTTGTTTGATGGCATCGTGGGGTCTATGTTCTTTGCTCTCGCATGACGCGGAAATTTCCTCCATTGCTCTTTCCATTGTCTGTTCATTGCGTCGTTGTGCCATTGCTTTAGTGCCGATACACTGTCCGGCAGGGGACCGTTTCTGAGGTATGTGGGCAGTTGCCTTGTTGCGCTACTTTGGTGGGCTCCCTCCGCTGCCTCTTTTGCTGCTTTGTCCGCTAACTCATTTCCAGGCACTCCTGCGTGGCCTGGTATCCATCGGACTGTTAGACCGAAGCCTTCCTCTTGTTCTTGTCTGCGTTTGGCTAGGAATCTGGTCATGCTGCAGAAGTTTTCTATTAAGTATCCGCCTGGTTTCGTTCTATGACTCTCACCAGATTTGATAGCTGCCTGATTGTCGATGAATATGGATGCCGGGTAGGTTACGTTTTGTTCTGTGGCTAAGAGCTTCGCTGCAAGGGTCAGACCTACTACTTCGGATTTGTATTTCTACATACTTACTTATCGCGATCCATGCTCACAGTTTTCTCTCTCACTGCTATGACAACCTGTGCTTCTTCATTTCCTGATGATGTTGTTCTTTGCAGGAAGAATTTTAGGTGATATCACTGATCCCATCGTATATAGCATCACCAGCGCTATGGAGCCTCCATTATCTTAAGCTTGCACCTTTGATGCAATATGTTCCACTCACTTCTTGCACCATATGACACATGTGAGTCACTCCGTATCCGGTACTAAGCGATACCGTTGTGCCCCATGTCAACGCCTCAGTATTGTTCGCTAACAACTAGTACTGAGCTTTTCGCTAGTGCATGTGTAAAAGGTGTGTAGCCCAAGCTTGCCTTTCTTCGGGTTGTATTAACAAGTGGTTGTACCTCCCAATCTTATACTTGTCTGCTTGCAAAGAGTTGGCACTCCGATAGGCATGGTCCCAAGCTGACTGTATAAGGAATACAAAAACTCGGCATCAAATGGCATCGCCTGCATGCCGTTGGTCAGAAGAGGTGAAGACAGTGAATGTGCTAAGGAGGCATACTCAGCATGGACAGGCTGATTATGAGAGATAGACGATTAGCACAACACCGACTATTTAGTCTTCCAAACATAGCCTACACAGCAGATAAGATTCCAAGGTAGCGCGCCTAGAATACTTTCTAGTCAGCACAACATGGCAACCACGACAAGCAAGCTACATACACTGAGGTACAGAACTGTCATTAAGGACCAGTGTTGCCTCTATAATTGAATGTACTTTCATGTGTGTTCCTCTGACAGACTCTACTCACCCAAACCAATTCTACCTATAAAACTATTCTTAGCGAGATAGCTGCTCCGATCATAGCATTGACATACCTCTTGTCCAAATGTAAGTGCTGAAATCACTTGTAAGATATTGGCAGTCCTTTAATATCGTCATGCTCACCCCAATCATACATCACCCCAACAAAGGCAGAAGCTGAGAAACCGCAGCCAAGATTAGATTGAGTCAGCTTTGACATCCGCCTGCTCTCCATGAACCTATAAAATAGCTTAAAAAGTGATTTGGATTGATGGTCGGCCACCAAGTGAGATCATCTGAGACCATGGTCATATCGGTAGAGAATGGGTGTGGGTGAGAGGAGAACTTGGTGGATACCTGACGATGGCATTCATGCTAGTTATACCAACATGCAGTGCTTGGATCGCCCAAACAAGATCAAGGGAGGATGGTCATTCCTGCTTTGATTGGCCGAAGTAGATATTTTTGCATAAAAAAGCTGATCCATCCAGGGACTCATAGTAGATGTTGGTGGTGAAATATTCACGCTAGCAAAACACTTGAACACCGCAAAAGATTGAACAACATCACTTGAAGAACTGTTCATAATCTTGTCCCCTTGTTTCCAATTGCAATGCCATTCCCGATATTTTTGTGCTACACATGCATTAGTCGGATCAAGTGCTACACCATCTATTTGATACATACTGCCAATCATGGTGCGAAAAGCCTGTCATCTCCTCTCCTCGCCAGCACAGCCATGGAGCATATGCATAACAGCTTATCCAAGGCCACTCAACAAATGCACATTAGCATCGGAATGACGCTGTAATGAGACAACTATTGCTTGACACTACATGAAGTAAGTAATCAGCAATATAATAATGTTGTGGTCTTGCACGGCCTAGTCTGCTATACTTGTAGACAAGTGTGTTCGACCCGAGGGGTTAGCTATCTGGAATAAGTCTGAAAACAGTGAAATGATAAGTGATCAAAAGTCTGAGCACAGGAAACAAAGTTGGGAGGTATAATCACTAGTCCGACGCCAAAGCATCGGATCCGATGTTTTCAGGTTAGCAGACTAGCGGGTTTCGGGTGCGGGTTCAGCGGACTACGGAGAATAATGACAACGAATGTCAGGAAAGCGAGCGGTATGCGGTGAATATCGATAAAGACGGTTATTTTGGATAGAAAGAGTGGTAATATTTGCAATGTCAACTAAGAACTACGAAATATCAGGTTTGACCACAAAGTGTTGGAGAACGGCTCCCCACTACTTGGATGATGAATAATGCTCGAGGTCAGTCCAATATATATGTAAGTACGTAGAAATGCGGAACCCGTAGGCGAAAGTAGCAGCAGAGTGTTTCGGATCCGAAGTACATGTAAATAAACATGAGGCGCTGCGGACTATGGGAAAACATGTAATAGCGCTGGCTACGACGTGAGTACATCAGGAAAAATCTAGATGAGAATATAGGGCTCTGTAGGCAACATAGCCTCTGTAGCCCCGTCGTCATCCCCCCAATCTGTAGAGCAATGTACCTCCCGAGGCCTCTACAGAGCGCTATGACATGCCATGTAACATGAGAGTGACAAAATATATCTGACATAGCGCACCTGTATGTAGCACAATGTCGTTATATATTTCAATATTAAATTACATATCTCCCTGAGCCTCCGTCCCATCCCTCTCGTCCTGTTCCTCCTCCTCGTCCTGCATCTCCTGCTCATACTCCAGAAGAGCATCATCGAATGCTTCCTCAGTCACACGGGACCCAGTTGACGACGCGAGGAGGAAGTCTACACCTGCATGAAACCTTCGAGTTGCCATTAGAACTTCTATAGTAGTGTTGATTGAATGAAGACTCACCTAGCTGCATCGTGCAGATTGACACGGATTTTTTCGAGGAGTTTGTAGGGGGCTGTGTGTTCCTCGAAGCGCTGCAAGGAGTCGAGATGGGTGTTGTAGACAGACGCATAATTTGCTGCCGAGAACTTGACATCTTCTTTGATACCTGTACCCCACTCGTCAATGCAACATTCAATCTGTCATTCATCAGTGTTGTTAACATCAGAAAAGCGGTCCTAGTACTCACAGACGCCAGCAAGAGTGCCATTGTTTCGACAGGCAAAGGGTTGAAGTACTGGTGGTAAACGATGCCCTCATCGTTGCGGTTCGCAAACCACATGTGATTGACACCCATTTGTAATAAGTCCGTCTTGTAGATTCCCTGCTTCGACTCCCAGTCCTAGAATCACATGAGTTCAATCAACAAATAATGTAGATGATCCATCACACACCTTGTAAGCAAACAGCGAACCCTCTTTGAGAGATTCTGCACGATCACGATTGCGCCTAATCACTTCCCTACTGTCGTTCGCACGAAAGCCAA